CTGAGTAGGAGCGGACTGACGAAGCGAGTGTCGATGGGTTCTTCCTTCGGAGCGGAAGCTTGCGCAGATTCGAAATGGAGGAAGGAGGATAGGACGGGGTTTGTGGTGGAAGGAGGGAGGGCGACGCGTACGAAGAATGTGTTGTAAGGACGCTGCACTTGAATGCGTTCGGCGCCGACGGCAGCGGCGGGATGACAGGGCTTGAACTTGACGTGATCGGCGGTGTGGCGACGCTCTTTCCGGGCGAAAGTGCAGTGGGTGCAAGGGAACGCCCACATGACGCTGAGGCCGGCGATGAAAGGGCGAGGGTCCATAGACGGGGCCATGGTGGGAGTGTCGGAGGCGGCGCCCAGCTCCACGAGCTTCTTGCGGAATGCTTTGATCTGTTCCTTGTCGGCTTTGATAGCCTCGCCCTTGATCTTGTGTTCGCCGCGCTTGAGATGCCTCCAGATATCCAGAACGATGCAGTCACATGTGGGACATATGACGACGCGCTCGACGGTGTTGTAGATGAAGGAGAATGGCTTGAACTCGGCGGGCTGAACGAGGGAGTTATCGTAGTTCTACACAGCCAGAATTAGCAGAGGTCATAGGTTATTTCGCCGACCACGCACGAATTCAAAGGCGGGTGTCGGCGAAGGCGAAGGCGAAGGTTGTGATGTGCTCTGATGACCAGTCAGTCCGGGAAGGAAGCGAGCAAGTGCAGAGCATGTAACGTACAGAGCCTGCGGTAGACATTGCGACGAGGAGGGCAGCGAGCACAGTGGATGGGAGGAAGAACAGAAGATGGAGGCGGGAGGAGAGACACGACCCGTACGAGCTGCGCAGCCGCTATCAGGGGAAATCAGCTTACCACGCCAAAAACGTCTGGCGAGAGAAACGTCATAACTCATCGATATGACGAACAATGCCGAGGACCGTGTGCCGGGAGAACAAGACCGCGATATGCATTGCTGAGGGGCCGTCGTTCAGGCGCCCCGGCGGAGCATGCACCAGGTTCAGCGCAACGTGAGTGTTGAGAGATCAGACGGAAGGCCGAAGGAGAAAGCGGCGTGAATTAAGCCGCATCATGAGTTGTTTCGCAGCTAGATAGCGGCTTGTTGCACAGGCAAGCGGTAGTGGTCCTCAGCGCGCAACATGCACAAGTTGGCGCGCACGAATTAACACAAACGACTGCTTAATACGGAAGGTATGCTCGGCGACGGTCATTGTTCTACATGCGATATACAAAGCTTCTACGACGCGTAAATGGATGGCTTGATCAGAGGGGGTGCAAGGGAACGTACAACTACTATGCGTCACCCGCCTACTTCGCCTTCTTCTTGCCCTTCGCCTTCTTCTTCGCCGGCTCGTCCTTCTCGCCAGAAGGAGAGCCATCGTCGGACAACGACCGATCACGACGCTTGGCAGACGACGCACGAGAACCGCCTGAACTCGCGTCGGTCGATGACGCGCGAGAGAGAGCTGGGGAACGACTGCCGCTCGGACCCGCCGCGCTCTGCGTGTTCGAAGTCCCGCTCCCTTGCCCGGTCGTAGCGAAGCCCTTGTTGTTCCACGCCAAGCGTGGGAGGTTGCGCCGGTTACCGTGGATCATGATGGGCGGGGTGATCTGGGGAAGGTGCCCCATCGAAGGGTCCCGCTCCTGCGAGCTGTTGTCACGCACAAACGTGTCGCTCTTGGGAGTCCTCCCCTTTGTCGGTTTTGGGCGCGGCTTGCCTGGGTTGCGAAGGACAGGAGGGCCGCTGGAGAGCACCCTCGGTTGGCGGCCGCGCTCGACCAAGTCGTGTGGGTTGGCGTTGGCGGCGTCAGACAAGTCATGCAGCTCGTGGGACGATGACTCAGCGGAAGACGTGTCCGGCGCGCCAGCTCCCTTCGCCGCGTTCTTTGACGTTCTGGTGCTGCTGCTCGCACGTGAGCCGGCGGCATCGGACTCGCGCGCAGCACTGCTCTTCCTCGACGATGCCTCGGTGATTTTGCGCATGGTCTGGGTGGCCTTGGGCTGCATGGGGTCCAGCTGCAGGCCGGCGGACTTACCCTTGACGGCCTTAGCGCCATCGAAGAACAGCTTCATCTCCTCTGACGTGGCTGCGACACCTGGCAGGAAAGCAGCATCGAGGAGAAGCTGGTGCGCAGCCTCTCGTTCTGCCGGCGTCTGGCCGCCATGGAAATGCGCGATGTACTTGGTGAAGATCTGCACAGACCAGTCAGTGCTGAAGTAGATAGCAGTCAAGCGAGTCAGACTATACCGAGTGTACCACACGAAGGGCGTCCAGCAGATCCGGTGGTATAGTCTGCATGCCGCGAGCGTCCTGCAATGGCAAGGCCTTCATCTTGCTCCTGAATAGGGCCTTCACGTACTCGCCTAGCAGATCTCTGCTCATCTGCACCTTCAGCAACGCCGACTCGTCGATGGCCGTAAACATCTGCGCGACGTTTCCGGCGAACGCGGTCTTTGTCTCCGCAAACACCGGGTGAAGCTGAAGATCTGCGCGAGGAAGAGATATCTGGGCAGGCGGCGCAGGGGCAGCCTTGGCGGCGACGGAGGAGGGACCGGCCTGTCCACTACCCACATGGCCTTGGGCGGCACTGGAGGACGAAGCCGCAGCGGCGTTGCTACCCGCAGGTGACGCGCGACCATTGCCGGACGAGGTGTTGGCAGCGTCTGTGGCGGCGGCCATAGCGGCGGCAACAAAGGCGGGATCGACCGACTGGAGCCAGTCGCATACCCAGAGACTCTGGTTGACACGCGTGGCGCGAGTTGCGAAGTTCTTGCACTCAGAACGCAGCTCCGCTGAAGGCTCGAAGGCTTCCCACTCGCAGAACGGTATGATCTCGTGTTCCATGCCGAGAGCATCGGCGATGGCAGAGCAGATGGTGGTGAGGATGTTGGCGATAGGCTCGTGACCGGGCTGCTCCAAGAAGACGCGATTGTAAGGGGCGGCGATGTACGCGTCCACTGCGGCAGCAGCGACGGTTCCCTTGTACGCCTGATGTGCCGCCTTATACGTTGGCAGAGCCGCCGCGCGGGACAAGATGCCGTACGGCCACAGTCGAAGCATCCTGACGCACGTGTTGATCATCTTGTCGGCGTCCGGCGACGACAAGTACGCCCGAGTCTGCTTCTTGAGCATGAGCACCGCCTCAGTGGCGTCCTCCGGGATCCTGTTCTCGCTGGCGATAGCTTCGGAGGGCGCGCGCTCACGCAAGTCTGACCAAGAACTCCAGTGCCTGTCCAAGATGGAGACCAGCACCGTGGTGACGCCGAAGGTGTCTATGTTGTCCGTCTGATACGAGGTGAGGCCTTGAAGATCCTGCGACAGCTTGTCCTTCATCAGGTACGCCGGACCAGTCTCGAGTATAAAGCTGATGATCTACAAAACTGTGAGCGCAACGTAAACCGCATGGTCAACGGGCATACAGTCATGATTGCCACGTCCAGCGCCAGAGGGAGATGCGTGACAGGTCCGGAGTAGCCCAAGGCGTGGGCGTTGTTGAGGACCCACGACCGGAGCATGTCGAATGGGGTCTGGAGCGTGATAATCTTGTCCGACGTCGTTCCGGGGCGCAGCTTTTGAGAGTACAGCCCAGGCATGACGAACGAGAGTATCTGGCGCACACGTTAGAAACAAGGCAAGGAGGGCGTTGATTCAGAAGGACCCATGATCTCGCGCGCCGCAAAACAAGCCATAGCTTGGCTTATTTCACGCAGCGCGCGCACCAGATACACGCCTCGCGAGATGGAAAACATAATGAACTGAGGCGAACGGTGTCTTCACTCGCAGCAGGTTGCGCACCACACGGTACCGCACGCTCCGCTGAATTAAGACACCACTCGCCTTAGTTCACGAGGCAAAGCGTGTTCGACTCACCAGCGTCATGTAGTTTTTGGAGATCTGCGCCCAGTGTGTACGAGAGAGCTCCTTGACGAGAACGTGGAGGACGGAAGGGCAGAACACGGGAAGACGAACGGTCCACTTCAGGGCGGTCACAGGCGTCGCTTCCGAGTCGAGCAGCGACAGAGCGTAGAAAAAGTCCGGCAGTGTCGCGAGCTGCAGACCGCGCGAGCCGCTGGCACGACTGGACAGGTCGTGCTTGTCGGACAGCACCACCAAGGCGGCCTTGAGACGGGTGTACAGCTCTTTGTACGCGTTGCGCATGCAAGAGAGCCACTCGCGGCTGACCTCCTCCACCGGCTTGTCGCCATCAAACAGCCCGTGGAGGACCTGGTCGAGGAACATGCCGAGCGGGAGCGTCAAGAACGCCTCCTCTGCGACAGTGGCGATGACCTCGCCGACAAGCACCTCTTCGGGCAAGAACCGCAACTCGCGCATATCCTGCCAGTTGAGGTCCAGTCGCGCGAAGAACCGCGCTACTTCGTGGTCTCCAATCTCCCGGTCCAGCACGTTAGTGACCGTGAACGCTGTGTGCATAGCAGTGTACTCGAGGGCCTTGTTGCACAGCCAGTACGTTGATATTGGCTGCAAGTGGCGTGGTCGGTCGCAAGCATGAGCGCGGAGGGATAGACACTCACGGTCAGGAACCCGCCGCCAAGCGTGGCGTATGCGTCCGCGTTGAAGCTAAGCGACATTGTCGCCTCGTCCCGCGAGTACGGCTTTCTCACCGCCAGGTCCGGGAGCATTTCGCGCGCCTGCTGCAAACTCGTCGTGATGATCTTGACCTTCGCGCTATAGGCGTTGCCTGTCGCCTCGCCGTACACCTTGTTCACGTCCTCGGGCGTCTTCGCAAGGGCGATACGCAGCATAAGCCGGTACAGCTGCCGGTCCGGCAAGTCGCGGAAGACACCCATCTTGTTGTTCGTGACGAGGTTGTGCTTGAACTCGTCTCCATACGCCGACGCCTCGAGTACGGCTGGTAAAGTCTTAGCCCTTGAACAGCACGCAAATCGGTACTACTCACAGCGGCGGTAGAAGATGGCCGCGCAGACGCCGAAGCCGTTGGGATCCCGAGCTGCCTTGTACATGTCCGGCATCCACTTGACGTCCTCCTCCGGGATGTGGTCGATGTTGAACTGGATTCGGAAACGCCTGTTCTGAGCGTCGCGGCGATGGTTGCCATTCAGCTGCGTCACCTCTCCCGTTGCGCCGTTGATCAAGACCACCGTCTTCAGCGCCTTGCTCATGTCCAGCGTCAAGGACGACGGGTCGATGACGTTGTCGTCCACGAGGCATACGATGGCGAACTCGGGGCTGCGAGGCATGAACTGGCCGGTCCGTATGAGCTCGTCGAAGCGATCCTGGTTCGCGCGGGTGAGGTTGCGGTTGCCGTGTAGGATGACGAGCGTGACGTTGGAGTCGGGGTGTGCCAAGTTCTTATGTACAAGGGGCAGGAGGCCGGCGCCAAGGCACGACTCCAGACGCAGGTGATTGAGCGCATCTTCCAACTCCAGGTCCTGGACGTTGGTCAGCACCTAGAGAAAGCACCGGTAAAGCAGTACAAACTTACCTGCAGCGTCGGGCGTCGCATGCCATCCTCGTCTACGGTTGACTGCGCCTGCGCCGCCGCTGCAGCCGCTGCAGCTGCCGCCGCGGCTGCCTGACGTTTAGGCTTCCGCGGCTGGGGCAGGCCCTTTGTGGCAGTCGGAGGGACTTGAGTAGAAGGCGGCATGGCGGGGGGTGGCGACGGTTGAGGCGGAGGGGGTGATGTGCCCGATAACACGGCCTGAGCCTCGCGCTCCTCGGCCTTCTTGCGCGCGAAGTACTGGGCAGGCCGCTCAAGATCAGACATCTCTTCGTCCGATAGGTTCATCTGCGGCCTCATCAGTTGCCGATGACAAGCGCGCAGCATGGTCACTCACAACAGCAGGCGATGCGCGCTTGCTTCCAACCCCATCGTCTGTGCTGCCCGCGGGAGCACGAACATAATGGATGTCTTCCGGCGATTCTGTCGGCTGACTTAACGCAGCGGGTGCCGGGCGCTCGGGCGAGTCTGGCCCGCCTCTGGAATCAGGTTCCGTGCCCTGTAGACAGTGAGCAACAATCACATAAGCGCGCCAAAAACATACCTCTTCGCTGTTCGTTGCCTGAGCCGCATGACCATCCCCCATGTCCTCGGTGTCGGGCTGCACAAACATATCAGAACGCGCTCGCGAACTAAGCGAAACCATCGCTTAGTTAACACTCACCTCCGTCGCCTCGTCGTCATCCTCCATCTCGTGGTCCCTAGGTACAAGCTCCATCTGTGCCAACAGTTAGTATCGTGAAATAAGCCGAACCGCGGACTATTTCACGCGCCTGAGCTTCTTCCGCGCTACCCTCCTCTGTGTCTGAGCCCTCATTGTCCGCGCCTTCCTCAATCTGCTTCGAGTGGCGTGTCAGAACCAACCCAAGCGGCGACTGGGATGACGCTCACCAATGCGTTCTGCCGTGCGTCCTTCTCGTCGTCATCGAGCTCGATGTTGTGCTGTTGGTCCAGCGTGAGCAATTGATACGCCTGTCGGCCGAAAAACGCGGAAAACATACATAAACAGGCGATTACCTAGTCGCATTAGTCTGGATTGTATGGGCGGATCCGTATATACTGCATCGACGTCGTGACTGTACAACGGGCGCGTCGAGGGTATTTTATGGCACAGAAACACAAGGAGATTACGCTTCCTAACCATCAATCGAACTGTTGTGCGGTCTTACCCACCTGCAACGACTGACCAGGGATAGCAGCGAGCTCTTCGGCACCGGATCACGAGTCTGAGCGTCGTCGATGACATCCTGCGAGTCTTCTGGCTGGCCCTACTTAATCAAGTAGCTGCGCTCCTTGCGCCACAAGCCTTCAGTCGGTTTGCCTACCGCTTCAAGAACATACTTCATTGTTGGGGCTCGGACAGGTCTACTTGTCGCTCGCCGTCATGCGGAGACACGCAGAGCACCGCTCAAGCGGAACTCGAACCATCAACGTGACTGCACGTGACTTCGGGTCCGAGACCGGAACTTCGGGTCCGAGCTCGTGATCTCGGACATTGCCGAGTTGAACTCCGGGCCAAGTGTCGGCGCCGCCAAATGCTGTGCACACCTCGGCAAGGACATCGTTCACCGCGTTTCAACCGTCTAGACTGCGTCCTCCTCACCGGACAGGCCTCTGAGCCTGCGTCGAGTCAGAGGAGACCGGTGGAACCCAAGCAGGCACTGCCCTTGGTAAACATCAAACCGTGTGGAGATTGCGCCCAGCCGCATTGTGCAGGAGGATACCCGACCAGTCAGCCACTCTACCGCCAGGAACCGGAGTATTTGCGCGATTATTTGGGCAGGAGAACGCGTGGAAAGGCGCTATTGTTGGATTTTGACTCAGAGATAGGGTTTGTGTGTTACCGCTCGGTCTAGATGGCCGAGACGACGCGTTTCCGTTATATACCGAGCCCTACATACGATTCGGGGAGCCCGGAGGTCGCCCCCAAGCGTCCCCCTTGCTGCCTCTGGCAGGGGTTCCACAACCTACCACCTACTATACACCAATAAACCCCTCATGCTGTCAGCATGTTGTACATCATAAAACTCGGACTTCTGAGCGCCTGATAAGCCTGTGAAGATTCCGACTGAAACCTGGGAATGCTTGTGTGAATTCTGAGGTGCCTCTTGCACGCTTGAAGTCTCGCATCAGTCCAGCTCGTCTGTGAGCCGCCAATAAGGCGCAGGGTATCCCCTAGCAATACAAATCAAGCGGACTCGCTCGCTCCTCGGACGAAGCTATGAAGCTAGACGCGCGTTGCTGTCGTGGTTGTTGGTGTTGGGTGGTGTGGTTCGTCTAAGCAGACTGTACCGTGCGTCTTTCGAGGAGCATACGGATCCCATCACAATGCTCATCACCGGCGACCACATACATACCTCAACCTCCTGTAGCCGGCCTGCCTCTTGCCAGAAACCGTCCGGATACTGGTCTTCATCGTCCTCTTCTGCGTCCGACTTCAGGAGGCGATGAGAAAGCGGTCTGTTGTGGTGAGCATGTACTCACAGGCCTGCCAATCTCCGGCTCAGATGCGTCGTCGACCACCTCCTGACTGTCCGCCACCTCCTGACTGTGAGCCGCCTGCCTCGTTTGCCGTCGCCGAGCTTGCGATGGGGGTGCAGCACGATGTCCAGGGTCCTGCGCGCGTTCCCTTGGTCAGTAAAGAGCGGCGCGTCGGCTGAGCTATGCGAGCCCTCACCTCGTTGACTGTGATTCGGAGTCGTTGCTGCGAGGCCTGCAGATACACAATGAACATGCATGCGTGAGGTGGGGGAGTCATTTCACATACTGAAGGAGCGCGGCTGCTTCCCGCAGCTGTCTGATAACAGTCGTCAACATCTGCATGTCGCTAACTGCGCGCCACTCACAAAGGGGTTGGCGACTTCCTTGAGTGGGGTTGTCTTCGACTTGCCGTGCGTAGATCCCTTGAACATGTTAGGGCATTCGCTGACTGCCGAGTCATGTTCACGCACCACGTTATCCTTCCGCTGTCCGTCTTTCCCTTGGCGCGATCGGCCGCTCATTGTGCTATACTTGCTGATTGCGCAATGATCGGTGTTTTCCTGGGCTTGAGCAAGCAGATCAGTGCAACTGAGGTATAGCAGATACGAGGGGGCGACCGATCTTGCTCGGATACTCACCAACAGCCTGTGCGCGCGATGATAGCAGGATGTAGGATGCCTCGCCGACTTCGGCCGTCGACCGCGTGAGGTCGGCTATCCGGGCCGCACGGCTGCCGGGCCGCTCGATCGTTCACGCGACGCCGGATCAATTTCTTCCGCCCGTCCGCGAATTAAGCCGCACATTTGCTTAATTCACAAGCGTCGTCAACATAGCCATGCTTGCGTGACCTTAGGTGTTGGACTTCAAGCCTTAACGTGTATGGAGTCCCCCTCACGTTGTAGTGTATCCTGTAAATTGATTGTGGTGGTGCCCAATTTCATGTGCGTGTCCTTAGGGATGAATACTCGTCTGATATTGGCCATTAAGCACTAGAACTAACATCTTGATCCCCTAATTCGCCCGGCAGTAGGCGACCCTGCCGTTTAACGGACTGCATGGGCGCATGAATTAAGTTGAAGACTACGTTAACTCGTGGGCACCTTGTGTGCGCGCGTTGTCGTACCTTCTGCGTCTCGAATTAAGCCACCTCCCATGCTAATTTGTTGCCGACGTTGTTGGTTGACGAGCTATACCCAAAGAATTAACAGCTTCAGCCTCTTAATTTTCATAGCTACGCAGGTATACTGCCATGAATTAACCTTTTCGTCACCCTAATTCTGAGAACCACAGTTGAGTCCCCCTAAGCATTGCGGTCGGAGTGCACCTGCGCACTCCAACCCGCTGCGAATTAGCTGACCTTTCCCCTAAATTCATAAGATTTCCCCGTCAGTCACCCTAATGAGCTATTTATTTCCCTGAAAAGTGGCTGCACGTATGATATAAGGTCGGAGTGGTAGAGGGGTTGGAGTTACGGAACTAACACTAGTGCGGCCAATAAGAGGGATAGGCACCTCACCAGATATGGCTCACGACTGGCAGACGTGCCCTAACCTATCAACGGAGGATGCCCGACAGGAGTTCCATGCCTTCCGGGCCAACATCAAGTATGCACGCGGCCATGGGGTCTGCTGGGTCTGCCACATTGCTCCGGCAGGCCCTAGTATGCTTCACAACAACCCACCACTGGAGCTGCACCCGTACAGGCGTGTCGGCCTGATGATGGCGTGGGGTATATTCTCGGACCTACAGCTGAAGACAGAGGCATATCGTGACCTAGTCGAGTCCTCTGCCTGTCCTGCAGCGCGTAAACACAGTTGGGACACTGTGCGCGAGTTTGCGGAGTGGATCGCGGACCAGGATGCGACGGGGGAGCCGACAAGCGTCATGGCAGTGATGAGCTTTGTACGCAGAAAGTATATGTAGTTGCGGGACTGGTGTCCAACGAAGAAAGGAGGAGGGACCCTATTACATGCTGCCAACCGTGCCTACAAGTCAACCAAGCCCTCCAAACAGACAACCAGCAAACATGGACAACTCTGAGGCCGACAGCGAGCACCCGCCAGAAAATATTGATGGGATCACGAAGCGTCTGCCCGGAATAGCAGCAAGCGTCTGCCGGGAAAGGCAAGTGTGATGGAGGCGTGTGACTGGATCAGCAAGCGTGTGACGGGAAGGGTGGGAAACTACTGATGGGATCACGAAACGCTTCCCAGGAAGTGTGCGACCGGTGTGCGACCGGTGTGCGACCGGGCGAGGTTGGGCAGAACCCTGCCTGGTGGAATGGTTAACCCGGCTGAAGACCAGTCCTAAGGGCACATCAATGGTATCATGCAAGGCCCTGCACTGAGGAAAATCTCACTCAACATCCTATGTCTGACACCAGGCGCTGCCCAAGAAATATTGAGCAAGCGTCCACCAGGAATAGCAGCAAGCGTCTGCCCGGAAAGGCAGGTGTAACGCAAGCGCGTGACAGGATCAGCAAGCGTTTGATGGGAATCACAAGCGTGTGACGGGATTGGCAGGAAACTACTGATGGGATCACAAAACGCTTCCCAGGAAGTGTGCGACCGGTGTGCGACCAATGTGCGACCGTGTGCGACCGCGTGAGCCTGGGCAGTACGCTCCCCGGCCAAATGGTGGACCATGTCGCAACTAAAGACGAGTCCTAAGAGCACACCAATCCTATAACACAAGGCCCCCGTACCAAGAAAAATGTCACCCAGCATCCTATGTCTTGCACCAGCCGCCACCCGAGAAATATTGATGGGATCAGCAAGCGTCTGCCCGGAATAGCAGCGAGCGTCTGCCCGGAACGGAAGCGTGTGACGGGAATAGCAAGCGTCTGATGGGAATCACACGCGCGTGACAGGAAACTACTGATGGGATCACGAAACGCTTCCCAGGAAGTGTGCAACCGGTGTGCGACCACTGTGCGACCGTGTGCGACCGGGCCAAAACTCATTTTTTCGCCGCTATTGCGCTGCACACGACATGGAATGTGGTATTCCTAACTCTAACAACACTTTGGCTCTGAATACCTGCCCAAAACATCCTAGAATAGACTGGAAGGTGAGATGGCGAAGGGTCCCGGCATTTGCCGAAGCATCTGATGGGAGGCGGTAACGTGTGGCCGGAAACCGCTGACGTCTGATGGGAATTTGCAAACGCCTGATGGGATTCCGGTGAGACGCCTGGCACTTCCTCGCCCAATATCTCTACCTTCCCGGACTTTCTAACCCTAACAAACATGGGCGCTACCAGGTTATCGATGTCTGCGCGTCGAATGGCACCGGTTTCAGCCTGATCGGAGAAAATTGATGGGATTGATCCAGGCGCGCGCTTGGAATCGGGCAGAAGGTTAGGTTTGTCTACATTATGAGTGGGTGGGAAGGTGCTGCCGCAGACTCCTCGATGTACAACGAAGCTCGATTTCGCGACCTACCTGTGCGGAATGGCCATTACTACCTGGCTGATGCTGGGTTCGGGTTTTGTGACTCGCTTCTCATACCTTATCGAGGAACTCGGTACCACCTCCATGAATGGGGCCGTGTTGGTCAAAGGTACATGATTTCCTCCTTCCTACATGCATGAGCTCATGGTACTCAGGCCCGAGAACAAGGAAGAGCTCTTCAATCTTCGCCACGTGCAGGCCCGAAACATCGTCGAACGTATCTTCGGCGTCATCAAGAAACGCTTTGCCGTCCTGACTCGCCCGGTCAAGTTCAGCCTTGATTGGCAAGCGCGTATACCAGCAGCCGCCGCAGCACTTCATAACTTCATCATGAAGTGGGACCCATCGGATTTGGACAGGATCTTTCGGGAAGCGGAGGCCGAAGGCGACAGCCTCGAGGACGAGCAGCCAGGGATAGAGGCTGGGAATGAAGAACATGGTCGTCTAGCGGATCGACGCACTTCGCGGGCAGAGCAGCAGCGTGCACGTGCTAAGCGTGACCACATTGCGCAAGATATGTGGGATGGGTATATTGCAGAGCTGAGGGCGCGAGGGGACCACGCGTATCTTGAATATCTTCGCACCCAATGTGGCCAGAATGTTTGAAGGACACCAACATGATTACTAGTATTAAAAGAGTGTGACCTACAAGTACCTAAAGCAACGAACGATGTCTACTATAAGCTATTTAGAAGTCAGAAGAAAACATATTGGAAATCACATCCTTCTCCGGTGGGCTCCAGTACGAGTGCTCCTGAAGCTTGAGCTTGACATATGCCTTACGCGACTCCTCCCCCTTCTTCCCCATGTAGGTGTCCATAGCCGGAGTGTCCTTCTCGAGGATCATCGAGAAAAAGGCCTGCGCCTCGGCCGTCATCCAATCCTCCTCCTCGACACGTGCCGCACAGTCACGACGACGAACGGGGGTGGGGGGCAGGCCAGATGACGGGGGCGGCCCAAACAAGTCGCGGAAGGTGGTGTTGAAAGCGCTGAGCTGGTCGACCATCCCCTGCATCACGGTGACGCTGGGGGGGACGCGGGACGTGCGCTTGAGGGCCGAGGAGGCCGACGCGGGCTGGCGGCGCTTCGAAGAGGTGGTGGCGGTGGTGGCGGCGGAGCCATGCGTGGCGGCCGATGACGAGGGCTTGGGGGCAGTGTTGTGTGACGACGAGGTCGTGGTATTGACGTCCTAAGCGGGGTGTTAGCGGTGTACTGACAGCGTGAACATACTGCGTACCTGCGAGCCCGAAAGCTCATCGCGATCAGACTCGATGATCACGAACCCATCGTCCTCCTCCTCACCCATCGCCTGCGGCGGCTCCTTCTCCTCCTCCTCCTCCTCCTCCTCCATTGTGGCGTCGGCATCCGCATCCGCGTCCTGCGAGGGCTGATCGTCGCCCGAGCTCGCACCCTGTTGACATCGATCAGATCGATCGCAGCAAAAGACGGCGAAAAAAAACGCACCTGGGAAGGCGTGAAGACGTGAGCGCCCGGGACGGTGGTGGGAATGATCTCATCCACCTCGTCGAACCACGGATACCCCTTGTGCGCGTACGGCTTGCACTCGGGGTGGCGAGCCGTGAACTCGGTCCATGAATCTTGAGTATCCGCATTCACGCCGGCGCCGTGCTCTTCATCGTATGCCCCCCAGCCCGACGGCGACTGGATGAGCTTGATCGCCTTGTACTGCGCGCGGTGCTAGGGATACGGGAAAAGAATTTTATCAGCGCCGCGCACGCTAGCGAGATGAAAAAGAGGCCAACGCACCCAGTTCCACTTGTTCTTCAAAGAAGTGGCAGACTTCGGGGCCCCTCGCGTCCTGTACTGCTCCATGTATGGCACCATCGAGTGCCAGAACACCTTCTTGAAGTTGCCGCCATCGCCGGCCTCTCCCTTATGATCACGAAGGTACTTGATGAACTTATCGTTGTCATTGCGGGTGAAGCTGGACTGCGAGGCGGCAGGCATGCTGGGCGACGGCCCCTATGGGCAGTGGTGCACGAAAAAGCGAAAGACAAGGGTCTGTGGACTGAGTGCGGCCTGTTAGTTCGACTTGTCACAAACTGGCGTGACAGTTCACGGCCGTCGGATACTTCCGTCGGCCAACATCACAGCTGTAATCACGCGCGATCACGTTTCTTCGGGATCTGGTGGGACCCGGTGGGGCCGGGCGCTGCCCGGTGCCTAGTTTATTATTTCTCAACACTTAGCGCTCAGCCGCTAAGTGTGGCCGTCCAGACTCTTATACAGGCAGTCACAGAGAAGGAGTTAACGTAGCAGGCTTCTCTGTCTAGTGTATTTTCTATGCATATAATATCATTCACTACTGTCTATGCCAATCACTGAGCCCCTCGCCAAGCCCGCACCCTCTGCAAGACAACGCTGAAGGTCACTTCGGCCTTCAATACACGCGTAAGGTCTCATGTGGCGTGGGAGGACGGGCCCCGGTCCGGTCACGTGATGCTGAACGTGCTGGCGGGATAGCGTTCAGTTTCTGCGGAACCACCGGAAAAGTGGCTAAGGCTGACCGTCAAGGTCTTCGCCAGTGTCTGCGCGACGTGGCGCGCGGTCGCACTCGGCACGCCTCAGCTCTGGGCTCACATCGATGTGCACTCAAGTGTGCAGGCACGTCTTGCCCAACTTAATCGATCTGGAGGCTCTCCGTTGACCATCATCCATAAACCCCGGTTCGAAGATGTCGACGATACCATTCTCTGGTTCGCACTCAAGGACCTTGATGCACATGCAGGACGTTGGGCGTACATTGACCTCGCCGCGGCATGCACTTCTTTTTCTCTTATACCGGAGCATGAGCTACCCTCATTACGGCGTGCAGACATCACTCTGCGTGGTCTCTACGTGGACGATGCTCTCCACTTCCTCCGGAACGCGCCGAACCTCCAATCCTTGAACCTCACATTGAATCACGCAGTGGGCGCTTCGCATGCTACCATCGAACCCCTATTCATGCCTCGCTGCCTCACCTCATTGATCTTGACGAGTCACAAACCGCGACGCGTTGAGGCCTTCACTCACCTCCTCCAACAATGCCCTTCGACTCTGGAACGCCTCGAGATCCACGGAGATTGGACGCCTTTCAAGACTTCAATTTATTCCATCTCCCAAATGCACTTTCCCAATCTTCACACCGCCTTCTTCGAGCGTCACACCCACCACGTGCTGCAATCCATCACTGCGCCCCGTCTTCGCCATCTCACCTTCAAGTTCTCCATTCACTTCCTGGGCGACGGGGATCCCCTCTCCTCCTTTCTCGTCTTCTTGCATAACTCGCCCGAGTGCGCCCTTCATGTACTCGATCTCGACACGGCAGTCGTCGAGGACGAGACTCCCTTCCTGCAATGCGCGGAGCGACTCGGCGAGCTCAAGCAGCTGCGCGTCATCGGCATGTTCTGCGCGGGCATCCTGATGGTCCAGGACACGATGCGGAAGATGACGGTTGACGACAGTGAGAGCGCGCCACTGTTCCCGAAGCTCGAGTCTCTGTGCATACGTTACGAGATGATGAAGCTCCGGAATGTTGAGCATGCTGGGAAGCGCACCACTCAGCTTACCTGAATATAAGAGAGCTTAGCTAGAGGCTATGCGCAGAGTAGGTGAAGACCTGGTATTACAGGGGCAGAGGAGCCCTCCTTATATACTACAGGAGAGGCGACGATGTCATATGTAGTAATAGCTAATGAGTCAAGAGGACAGAACACGCTGAGTAAAGCGTACATGTGACAAGTCCAACCTATGTGTCCATATGTGTCCATCTGAGTCATATGATACTCGCGTGTAAGTGCATGTGATGCACACGTGACATGTCGTGACAGGCCGAATGTTCAACACTCCCCCTCGCTAAGTGCGCGCCAGCGCATGCAAGCGCATATCTTCATCGGCCGTCTAGGACGAGTAGAACTCAAGTCCTAGTTGCGATCTGAACTTCAAGAACAGAGTGCGCCCTAAGTTCTTGGTGAACAAATCCGCAGGGTTGTCAGAGCCGTCTATAAAGAACAACTCGACCTCCTTCTCCTCGACCAGCTCACGGATGTAGTGGTAACGAATGTCGATGTGTTTCATCCGGCGGTCTCGGTAGGCGTTAGAGCCCGTGAAGATGGAGCCCTGGTTGTCACCGCAGATGGGGACAGGAACAGTGATTTTGCGTCTGAGTTCTGCTAAGAGACTCTTCAGCCACATCACCTGGCGGCTACAGTCGGAGAGCGCCATGTATTCTGCTTCTGTCGACGAGGCTGCGACTGTGCGCTGCAAACGTGACTGCCAGCAGATGTTCCCGTTGGCCAACTTCATGAAGAAGCCGGTGGTCGATCTCCTCTTGATTGGATCGGAGGCCCAATCCGAATCAGTGTACGCAATAAGTCCGCCATTGGATTTGCCATCAAAGACAAGTGCGTAATCCCTGGTACCAGCCAAATAGCGGCAGATATACAGCGCTTTATGGAGGTGATCCTGAGATGGGTTGGCGGCGAACTGTGACAACTTGGTCACTGCGAACGCAATGTCGGAGCGCGTGCCCAACATGATGAAGAGGAGCGATCCAATGACCGACTGGAATTTCTGACGGAGTGCGGGATCGACTTCATCCTCATTTGGCATCGGAACGTAGCCGGCCGGTAGAGGTGTCGCTGCGAACTTGCAGTTCTGCATCCCAAAGCGTTGCAGCACCTTATCGAGATACGGAATCTGATCGAGCTTGATCTTAGATCCGTCTCGTGTGATGCGCATGCGCAGGAACTCCTCAGTGATTTCCTGATTGCGGCATTCCCATCGCTTGTTGAACTCAGCCTTGAGAAAGGCAATGAGCTTCTTGTCCTTCGAGAAGAACATCGCGTCATCTACGTAGACGATGATCACACAGAAGTGACCGTTCGAGTCCTCGTAGAAGAAGACACCGGCATCCGATGTGAGTCGGACCCAGCCCATGGCTTTCGTGGACTTCGTCAGCGCTTTCCACCATGCGAGAGCAGCTTGCTTCAGTCCGTAGATCGCCTTGTGCAGGAGCATGACTTTGCCCTGCTTCCCTTTGGCAATAAAGCCTTCGGGTTGTTCCATGTAGATCTCTTCGTCTAGATCGCCATATAGAAAGGCTTTCCTGACGTCAAGACCTGACATATGCCAACCTTCAAGCGCTGCAAGCGCGATGACCAGTCGGAACGTCTCGTACCTGACAACAGGCGAGAAGATTTCGTCATAGTCGATGCCCTCGACCTGACTGAACCCCTTGGCTACAAGCCGGGCTCGTTTGCGGCCATCAGATTTCTGATCAAAGACCCAGCGGCATTTGATGACCTTCCGTCCTTTCGGACGGTCCACAAGGGAGTAAACCTTGCGCTGACGGAGCGCCTCAAGCTCCTCGCGGCAAGCGTCAAACCACTCCTTCTGTAGCGCCTTCGGCAGCTTGTAAATATCGCGAAATGTCCAATTGCGAATATTGGACGTGTCTGGGACGGTCTCATTCGGAATCGCCTTTGAAAGCAGCTCCGTGATGAGTCCTACTCCCCCTTCCCGGCATAGCTTCTGTATGCGAGCTTCGTCGTCGTCTAGATGCTCAGGAGCGTCTGCGCGCGAAGATGGCTGCGAGTTAGGGTCGGGAACCCCTTTCTCAGCACCGGATGTGGCTTTCGAACGCGAGCTACGCGGTTCATCATCGCCAACCATCTCTCTCCACTTCGTCTCGCTCGAGACATCGCGTTCAATTTCCGCTGGAGCGCGATCTCCATAGACATTATTCGGACGTGCAAGCTTCGACCGCAATCGCGTAGACTTCCGAGTAGGCTCAGGAGGTGGTCCTGCTTGCTTACGCCCTCTGCCTCGCTTAGGAGCGGGCGGGGCTGCCTCTGGAGTCTTATCCCGGCGATCAGGCGGCGGGTCCTGATGATTTTGATCGTCATCATCATCATCATTTCCTCTTGGGGGTAGAGGAGGAGCCGGAGGAGCCGGTGGAGACGGAGCATCGTCATCATCACCTGGCAGATCTCCTGGTCCCTGCAGATCTTGTGGATCCGCTGGATCATCGTCACGCTGTGGTTCATCACCAACAGGGACATGTTGACGACGATTCGAATCGCTGTCAGGGCAGCGGGGAAACACTTCTTCATCAAACATTGCCTGAGTGGCAACGAAGAGAGATGTGTTAGAGCGCATGAACAAATATCCCTTCACACCATCGGGAATACCCAGGTACGTCATCAGCTCCGATTTGGGCGATAACTTGTTCTGGCGTTTCTCCTCGGGGATAAAGACATAAGTAGCGCAACCAAAGACCCGGAGATGTGAAATATCCGGTTTCTCCTTGTGGAGTGCTTCGTACGGAGTTTTCCACTTCAAACGCCGGATGGGTGTCCAATTGTAGATCCGTGTCGCGAGTGCAATCGCGAACTCCCAGAACGAGTTAGGCAGACATGCCGTGAAGCGCATAGCTTCGGCCTTGTCCATAATCGTCCGGTTGAAGCGCTCGGCACGACCGTTCTGCTGATGAGCGTAAGGTGCGCCTTTCTCCACCAGAATCCCGTTCTCCGCAAGGAATTCCTCCATTCCCATGCCTTTAAACTCTCCCCCATTATCGATATGCCACTTTTTAATCGTAGCACCGAACTGGTTTTTGACCATCGCAATAAAGTTGCGCGTAGCCTGCTTGGCATCGGACTTCTGCGATATGCATACCGTCCAGCCAAAGGAGAGTGCCTCATCAAAGAAGCCAATAAAGTAACGATACTTGTGATAAGATATCGTCGGGAATTCTTTGAGATCCGAATGGATAACATCAAAGGGATTTTTCGCACGATGCTCGGAAGGCGGGAAGGCACGTTGGTGCATTTTCCCTTGCGCGCAACCTTTGCAGGGGCGAGTTTCCTCGGGAAAAACAAGGTCTTGGGGAAAGCCCTTGGTGTGTTTCTTCGCCTGACGTAGAACGTCTTTCGACGGATGTGCGAATCGCCGGTGCATGATGTCATAGTCGACCTTGTATACGGTAGACACAGACTGCACAGTCTTCGCCGTAGAAGGCGTCGACCAGAGGAAGTACAGGGTATGCACTTCGTTGAGCTTGTAAAACTCAAGCACCGAAAGAGGAGAGTTCTTCCGATGTAAGCTGATCATCGTGCTGTTTCCACGCACAGATAATCCTCCTTGAAGTAAGGAGCCCAAGGAAAGTAGACGACCATGCAATCCAGGCACGTGGTACACTGGATATAGTTGGGAAGTCGTGACGACTTTCCTCCCATGCCTCGTGACGCAGTGATCAACAAAGGCTGTCCCGCGACCAACCAATGCAAGCGTAGTGTCTTTGGATGCGGTCTGCGCGACAATTGGCTCAGAGAGTTTCTCATAGCCAGCCAGATCACTCTCTTCCGACGTCACGTGGAGAGATGCACCAGAGTCGACGAGCCAAGAAGGCGGGAAACCCAATTCGTCTCCGTGAAGCGGTGCTTTTCCCTTACACTTAGGACACGCAGCAATGTCGTTGCAGGCACAAAATATATTCGTACATAATTCATGCGAACCAGTCAGCATACAATATAGTACAGAATCGCGCGATAAGATCAAGCGCTGTGTGCCGCAATCAGTATTGCGCAGTAAATCCTCGTGAGAGGGTACTTGCCTGTCGGCGCCAGTGAGACCGGCAGCCTGGGCGATGGCGTCATCGACGTTGACCTCGACGTCCCCGAACATATTCTCTTCGCGCAGGTACTCCTCCAGAGGAGAGAGATCCCAGCTGATCTGCTCATCGATCGTCCCGTCGAAGAGGAACGAGTTGAGCACCTGATCATCAGCGCGAGCACGCTTGGCGGGCAGCTCGTCATCGATCTGCATCTTCGAAGAAGACGCGCGGGGAGTGGGGAAATCGTCGGTACAGTCCATGTTGACGGGGAAGCCGCCAACGTTGACAACGGAGTCGATCTCGCGATAGATCTCAGGAGTGACCTGAAGGTCGAGCTCCTTGGCGGTGGCGAAGACGTTCTTCGCGCCTTCCGCGATGGGGGTGTCGGCGATCGCCTTATCGGCGGCGACAGCTGGCTTCTCAACCACCTGACGGACCTTAGTCCCGGCGGGAGTGATGAGGGCGACGTGAGACGTCTTGACGTTCTCGACAGATGGAGTGAGCGCCGAGATGCGAGCGGATCCGACGACCTCAGAGATCGTGGCATGCGCATGCGCGTGCTCAGGCTGCTTCCCTTTCCCCTTGTCCTTCTTGTTCTTCCCGCCGCGCTGGCCGCGTTTGTCCTTCTTCTTCTTCTCAGCCTTATCGCCACCATTGGGCGCAGAGTTTCCACTCTGTTGCTGATTAGAATACTTCGGATCATCGCGCTTGCGCTTGACGTTCGAGAACTTCTGGACGTGAGAGCCAGACATCGTCTGCTTGTGGGAGTAGTGCGTAAGAAGCGCCTCTCGAACCACAGCAACAGTGAGATCACTCTTGTCATATCGCTGAAGGATAGACTCGGTGATGGACTGTATACCAGCGACATGCAAGAGAATCATCGCCTTGAGCAACTCAGGGATGACGATCTCGTCGGCAGCGAGCCGTGCAAACGCGTTGGTGACGACGTTGATCTGGGGATCAGGATGCTGACCGCTATTGAACTTGGCGTTCAACGCCGTCTGGAAGAACCCAAAGAGGTCGGCAATCTGAGTGCTGCCATACTCCTCCTGGAGATATTCAACCAGCGACTTCGCAGTCTCCATCTTGTCCGCCGGGATGCTGCTCTTGACGTTAGGTGAGAGGCGCAATTTAATGCTGCCCCTGACCTTGACGTCGTCGCGCTTCCACGACGTGATCTCGTCTTGATTGACGACTGTGCCCGCGTCGTTCGTCCGAGGAGAAGGAACTTCTTCCTCAATGACGTAGGCGAGCCCTTGGGCTTCAAGCCACGACGACATGCCATCCACCCATTGGGTGAAGTTGTTCCCCTCGAAGAGGAACGTGGCCTGGTAGAGCGAGTTCGACATGATCTGAATAGATCGTCAGCATCGGATCGAACATCATAGTGGCGGCCAGGAACGGCGCCGATGAGCGAATCGAGCATGATGCCGATGGCCATCGTCTCCTTCAGAGACGGGTGCATCGGATCAAGCGTGTAAACGCGATCCGGCATGGTGTCACCTGCGCTTAGAGCGGCATGGTGACGGCAAGCAATGAGGGTGCTCGTCATTGCAGCCAGTGACGGCGCTAATGACTTGTGTCGCAGCCACAGAGGGCGCAGACACTGTGCCGCTGCCAGCAAGGGCGCAGGCACTGCTCACCGGGGCTCATAACCTGTTGAGCATGCTGGGAAGCGCACCACTCAGCTTACCTGAATATAAGAGAGCTTAGCTAGAGGCTATGCGCAGAGTAGGTGAAGACCTGGTATTACAGGGGCAGAGGAGCCCTCCTTATATACTACAGGAGAGGCGACGATGTCATATGTAGTAATAGCTAATGAGTCAAGAGGACAGAACACGCTGAGTAAAGCGTACATGTGACAAGTCCAACCTATGTGTCCATATGTGTCCATCTGAGTCATATGATACTCGCGTGTAAGTGCATGTGATGCACACGTGACATGTCGTGACAGGCCGAATGTTCAACACGGAATTCGGAAACTGCAGTCGCAGCAGGAAGCCTGTGCGCGTCTAGGAGGGAGGCCTGTGAGCGGGGTGGGATCGCTATTTCGAAGTTGGAAGATGTGGATATTGATATACTGGGTGAAGATGAACGAGAGGATGCGTCTTAGATAACTACGGGTATCTATCAATGTATGGTTTGCTTGACTGTCAACGGCTACTCTTGCGCATCATGTATCAGGGCCGCCGCCTTCGCCGACCTCGGTCGGATGCTGCACTTGAACGGCAGCGGATGGCTAACGAACCCATCAGCGTACGCGAGCACGAAGCTGATCATTAGACGCACCTGATGGTCCCCGAAGTCTGTCCCTCGACTGGCGCGACCTCAACGCCGTCCTCCTTCCACTTGCCGATCTCGAAGACCGACAAGATGGAAGCGCACGCGAAGAAGAGGGAGATATCCGCGAGCTCTTTGCCTAGAACCTCGTCAGTGATGCAGCGAATGTAGCTTGGACGAGGGTACCAGGACAGATACGGCGGCCTAAGGTGAAGGTGTATAAGCGACGACGTCAGCGGATTGTATACGCTCTGACTCACCAAATCCGAAGCAAATAGTCCGCGGGTCCTTCTCGGGCTCGTGCCCTTCCGTCGCGAGGAACCTCTCCGGGCGGAACTCCATAGGCCGAGTATACGTCCGCTCATCATGCAGCATGAACCTACTCTCGCGTCAGCGTGCCCTTCACCCACCTCGCCACTACGCATCCAACGTACCACAGATTCGCCAACACCAATGATCCCTTCGGGATATAATACCCCTCATACACATCATCCTCCGTCACCCGATGCGGCACGCCCGTCGGCGCTACGACGTGTGAGCGCAGGACCTCGAGCGCGAGCGCGTTCACGTAGGGCAGGCGCGGGCGGTCGGCCATGGTGGGGAGCCGGTCTGGGCCGACGACGGCGTCGATCTCGGCTTGGGCGCGGGCTTGCACGGAGGGGTTCATGGCCATGAAGCGGAAGAGGGCGTGAATCGAACCGACGGTGGTGTCTGCGCCGCCTGGAGGTTATTGTAAGGCACGGCGAGAGATGTGCATGGATGTGAAAGCATACCTGAATGAAGGGACGCGGCGGACCACTTGAGGTCGAACTCCTCTTCCGGCGTGATCTCCTTCTTCTCTTCGAGGAAGTTGGAGGTGAAGGACGGCTCGGCGGTTCCCGCGCTCTTCTCAAAGGTCAGAAAAGGTGCGAAGCAGACGCGACGTCCTCACCATCTGCGACTTGACGAACTCGTGCGGAAAGTCGGCCATTTTATCGAGGGTGGCCCGCCAAGCGCGTCCCGTCGCCTTGAAGCCCGCTCCGGGCATCCAGTCAGGTAGATGGAGTACTGAGCAAGCGATAAGTCGAAGTCTGCAGAAGTTTGAAGCAGTCGCGACGTACGAGGAGGAACAAGGTTGGCAAGGAAGCCCCCCGGGGACGTCGACTGAGCGAACTGCTCGGTCGCCACGTTGGCGAGCTCGATGAAGGGATCCTTGTCAGGCTGGACATGGTAGCCGTGCGAGATGCGCAGGATAATGGAACCGGTCAAGCTGCAAGGCCCGATAAGTATCAGCCGCACGTCGTCGAACCAAGGGCAGTCGCTACGCACTGCCTAATATGCTCCACGAAGTCCTCCGGCTTCTTGAGCAAGTCCTTGAGAAAGACGCGCATTTCGCCCTCCTCGATCTCGTCAAACTTGTGGACGGCGTTCTGAGTGCCGATAACCTGGTGCATGAGGCGGCGACTCGCGCGATGTCCTGCGCCGTAGGGAAGGAGGACCGTCGTGCGCGACCAGCCGACGAAGTCGCCGCCGAATGCCATCACGGGTCGGTCGGAGTAGATTGCGCTTCGCCTATCGAGGAGGTCCGTCGCGATCTGGGGCGCGTTGACGATGATCATCGTCTGCCCGAAGACGGAGACCGAGCAAATGTCGCCTGGGGATCGTGAGGAGGGAACAATGGGAAGGAGGGATCGACGCACCATACTTCGCGCCCCATTCAGCGAAGGTGAGCCATTCAGTCTCGCTCGGCATTGAGAGAAGGCCGCCGATAAAAGGGAGAGAGGGAGGACCGGGAGGCAGAGGAAGGGCTTGCCGCTGGCGTCGCACGAGGGCGGCGAGCAGCACGGCAGCTACCCCGCCGAGCGCAAGATCCAAGCCGTTGACACTTTCGAGCATGATGAAGAGAGGGAAAGAGAGTTGGTCGATGCGCTTCGAAGGCGCCAATCCATTCTTATACGTCGAGCGCCCATGTCTTCTGCGCGACGGCACGGGTTCCCCAGGCGCTGCGGACGATGATGAACACAATGCAAATACGACCCTGAGGAAGGAGAACATACCTGATCCTCGGAGGTCGCAAGACCCCGTATGTCGAGATAGAAGGCTTCGGGCGCTACGCCAAGTCCGCGGTGCCGAGGACCCCGTGCCTGCGTGAGAATAGAGATGGGTGGTTGACGGCGTCGGCATGCACGACTCCACCGAGGGCGGAATACATCAGGGCAGAGCGAGGGACCTGGAAACTTACCGACGTTGCCACAAGGTCCGCTTGGAAGGGAAAGGGAACAAATATATGATTGAATGAGACTTGTAAGGAGGGAATCCGAGAAGTACATATGGATGCTGTATGGATCGCAATGAGCACGCTGCTGCAAGGAGAACGACACGCACCTGAGGTTCAAGCGATTGCAGAAGCCACTGATAGATGGATTGAGCGTACGGAGATTGTATACAGACATAAGCAAATCACGAACCTGCCAGATGTAATCAAGAGTCCATCCTGTCTTGTGATCCGGCGACGGGGAACGGGGTGTCAGGATTCCACGCGAGATATTCGCGCAGAGACTCTTGGGCGCTCCTCTCCTCGGCCCTCCACTCCGCGAGCTCGTACCGGGCGTCGATCGTCACAGGCATATAGTAGGTATAGCATACGTGCAGGTAGGACAGCTCTCGGAGCAGAACTGTGCGAGTGAGCGCTTGTGAAGTACCCATGAGCTATGTCACCGCACCTTCGTTGCACTCGACTGACGAAGACTTGAAGCGCGGGAGCTTCTCTATACATGACCTAATGTTAAGTGCACAGACGAGGTTTAACCCTGCAGCTTCAGACACACCCGCGAAAAGATACAAATACGTCGCCGTCATTGTCTCCTTCTTGAGAACCCGGGAGGATGATGCGCGCGAGCTTGGGTGCAACGATGAACAATGACCTGAGATGCATGTTCTCCGAGAGCGCGAAGTGGTTCTTCATGTTGGGGAGGGTACGCGGGCGCGTAAGGGCGAGGTCGAAGGGCGAAGGTGGCTCTCGAGGTCTGCATCCGAAGCGTGAGCACCTCGAGGGATGACGCGCAACGCCGGATCGCGTACAGACCTTGAGGGGTATATCAGTTTACGCCAAAGTCTGGATGAAGATAAACACCCACATCAACTTGGGCGCTAATCTCTAGCATTGCTAGAACGGACGATAAAACGCCCCCAGTTGAGCTTGAGGAGGGAAAGAAAAATACGCACCTGTAAGTCTCTCGATCGTCGCTATCAGATGATGGCAGAAAGAAGCGCGTCGAGTAACCTGCGCCTGTGCATGAGCGATAGGGGTCAAGTTCGCACGCCTTGCCAACCTATTGTGAGGGTCATGTAGAGCGGAGCGAACGCATTCGTTGACTGTCTGCAACATCAGATGACGGAAGGGAGTAGATACCTGTCTTGACTGAATCACAGTAATATCTGCGAGGGGGTCCGAGAAGTCATCCACGCTCAATTGTGTACTTATTCCTGAACATCTCGTATCAACGCCGCGGCCTTCGCCGACCTTGGCCGAATCCTACATCTGAATGGAAGCGGATGACTATCCTTGTCGTCAGTTACAGCTCAAAAGTCAGGTAAGACCATACCTGAACGAGCCGGACATCTGTCCTTCGACAGGCGCGACTTCTACATCGCCCTCTCTCCATTTGCTGATTTCGAAGACGGACAAAATCGAGGTGCACGCGAAAAACAGCGAGATATCCGCGAGTTCTCTCCCTGGGCAAATGCGGCGACCTGAGGAGCGATAGCAATCAGACACAACACAGTAGTATCACGTACGTGCGCGCTTACCGAAGCCAAAGCAGATCGTCCTTGGGTCCCTTTCTGGCTGACGTCCCTCGGACGCGAGGAACCGTTCAGGACAAAACTCCATAGGGTGTCTATACGTGCGCTCGTCGTGAAGCATTGACCTACGATCCGCAAAAGTCAGCGTCAATCTGAGACACGTACGCTAAGCTCACCACAGGATTGGCATGATAAGCGAGCCCTTGGGAATGAAATATCCCTCGTAGACGTCGTCCTCCGTCACTCGATGAGGCGCTCCCGTCGGTACTACGACGTGCGAGCGAAGGACCTCCAATACAAGTGCGTTCACATACGGTAGAGAAGGGCGGTCGGGCATTGCTGGGAGTCTGTCGGTACCGACGACGGAATCGATTTCGGCATGCGCGCGGGTCTGAACATCAGGGTTGGCGGCCATGAAGCGAATGAAGGCGTTGATGGAGGCGACAGTCGTATCTGCACCGCCTGAAGAGAGTTCCATCAGTACTTGAAAGTGTACGTTCGAAGGGCTTCACCAGAATAGAGCGACGCGGCTGACCACTTCAAGTCGAGCTCCTCATCGGCTGTGATGCTCCTGCGCGACTCGATAAGATTTGCGGTGAATGAGGGCTCCGCTTTGCCTCCACTCTTGAACTACATTAGTCGAAGTCTTGCGCGGCTGAATATATGGCTGACCAGCTGTGACTTGACGAATTCGTACGGTAGATCGACCATGCGGTCGAGCGTTTCCCTTCAAGCGCGACCTATGGACTTGAACTGCGCTCCAGGGAACCAGTCGGGGAGGTAAAGGACTGACAAAAGCATTAATAAGATTATGGTCGAAGGAGAGAGCATCACGACGCACGTGGAGGTACAAGATTGGCGACGAATCCGCCCGGAGAAGTTGCTAGAGAGAACTGCTCTGTCGCTTTGTTCGCGAGCTTGATGAAGGGATCTTCGGCGGGGAGGGCATGGTATCCATACGAGATGCGAAGGATGATAGAGCCCGTCATACTGCAGATTAAAGGTCGGTTGGGTGCCATACTTGCGAAGTTCAGGTACTTACTGTCTCACATGCTCTGCAAAGTCGTCTGGCGTGTCCAGCAGGTTCTTCAGTAACTTGCGAGTTTCGCTCTCCTCGATCCCGTCGAACTTGTGCACCGCGCTCTGAGTCCCGATAATTTGCTGCATGAGGCGCCTACTTGCGCGATGTCGGGCGCCGTAAGGCAGAAGGACGGTCGTACGCGACCAGCCCACGAAGTCGCCGCCAAATGCAATGACTGGGCGGTCAGAATAGATGGCGCTCCGCCGGTCTAGTAGGTTCGTTGCGATCCGCGGCGAGTTGATGATGATTATGGGTTGTCCGAAGACGGTGACCGAGCATATGTCACCTTGAGGGGCCTGAGTAGATGACAAAGAAAAGAATGGTCGACGCACCGTACTTCTTCCCCCACTCAGCGAATGTTGTGCGGCTAGGCTTGGTTAGATTAATAGCCTGAGAAATCCTATATAAGAATAGAAATATCTCCTTGAGTTCTTTGGGGAATATTACTGTGAGTGGCTGATAAGTGAGAGCTTCCTAAAGTGGTGGAAAGGGTAGAGGAACAGGTGACAGATATGTGGGAATTGTCACGAGAGGTAGCGAGATGAGATGATCTCGTGAGATGTGCGACAAGCGTGAGGTAGGGCTGACTCGCTGAGGCGGAGGAAAAATCTGATTGGAAGGCTGGCTTAAATCGGGCTTGGAGCTACCGGGATTCACTAGAAACGGTGCGAGGATTCGTTCACTCGACGCTCTCAGAGATCGCGGCTAGTTCAAGTAAATACGACGTAAGACGGCTTGTTCTCAGAGATCTTCGAGGACGGCGAGATGAGTTGAAGCGTATGAATTGCACTTATAAGTCAGCTGATCTGGCTTAGGCGTGGAATGGCTCGGAGCGTGGTAAGTCTTAAGAACTTCTTGTGCGTGAGATCTGTAGTCTTCTCTGTTGTCTCTACAGCACTGAGAGTGGTCCTTATATATGTCTAGACTTGCCCTTTGCCCACAAACCCTCAGCCCTGTGACCAAATAGCTGTCTACCTACGTACACTGCATTCCTGTACTACTACTGAATGAGCAAGCAGCGTCGACCACAAAATTGTACCCGCAAGGCTATGATCTACTTATACTAGGCTGTGCGTAGGGTCTAGGGTATGCAATATTGCTGTACGCTACATTGTCGGAGGGTGTTGCGTACACAGCCCTCCATCGTCGGACTCAAACAAGTCAACCTCCGGTCACGTGAAAGTGGTGTGACCTGCCGGCATCTTCCGATGTGGCGTCGAAGGTCTGGTCGAGGCTTCCGAGGCTTGATTGGTCGGCCTTGATATCAAACAATGTTGCGGTAGCACATACGCGGGGAACGTTCCCTCAGCGCCCTCGCTGACCAGGCAGCAATCAGGCAAGGAAGTCCTCGACGAGAACTCATAGATTATATACAAAAAAACGAAATACGAAACATCCAAGATAGTCAAAGTCCGGTCTCGTTCGGCGATAGGTAAGGTACATAAATCAGCTCGTCGGCAGCGAGAAGTAGCTCAGCATGTACGGTACGAAGGTCTGCGCCTCGGTAAGATTGTTGGGCCGAGAGTCGCGATCCTCTGGTGACCTAACGCCACTGCACGCAGCGTGTACGTTCTCGTAGACGTGATGCCGAGCCTGGCGACGCGCCTTCACGGCCGCTTCCGCCAACTGGTCAGCCCCAAGACGCCCGTTAAGCCCGACCAGACGCTGAAGATTCGTCATGAACGCGTTCCACGACGCTTCGCGTGAGATCAGCTTGCACTGATCGACCTTGCGTGTAGTGAGGACGACGGCGTGGCTGTCCTGGCTGCGATAGTAGGCGCACAGGAACTCGACGTGGTGCGGGTCGCGCCTGAGCTCATCACCGACGACAATGGCTTCGGGGACATTGCGACGCCTCCGCAAGTTGCTCGGTGGCGTGGCACGCAGATCCACCACCTGCAACATCATAGCCGAGCGTATCTCGAGGTAATCGGCCTTCCCGGCGTCAATCAGCTCGAAGTCATAGACCGGTAAGAGCTCCTTGAACCCGTCGACACGACGGTTATGCAGCTTGGTGAGCTTGACGCGAGGAATGCAGGTGTGGAAGATGGACTCGTGGTGGAAGCGATAGTATTCCGCGACAGGCGCCAGAGGTCCCGCGCGGAGAGTGGCAGCGGTCACGGGATATGTGAGTGGGGGACCGCTTGCCTCCTGCGCAACTTGGCGGGGCAGATCGTTCGGATCGAGGCTGCCAAAACCCTCGGGTATGGCGACGGTGACTGGCTTCGAGGGGCCGATAGGAAGGTCCTCGACACCCGGACAGGCTTTCTCCAGTACGATACTGTCCTGCGTGGAGACGGGTGTGTTTGTCTGCGACGGATGCGGCGTAGGTGTAGGACTATCGGAGACCAGATTAATGAGCGCTTTCGAGTCGGTCGAGGTCGGCGGGGATGGGAGGGAAGACGCGAGCGCCGGCGCCGGCTGGGTCACGAGAGGAACCTGCGTCACATCAGAGTCCTGGCTGGAGCGTCGTGGCTTAGGAATAGTGATGGCGGACGAGGATGACATGGAAGAGAATGAGTGAGGCGAGGAACTATCATAGGACGATGCGACGGTCTCCGTCGAAGCGGAAAACATGGGTGTCGAGGGAGGAGGATAGGCGCCAGGAGGGAACATCGAAGAGAAAAAACCCTGGTTCGAGTCGACGGTGGGGGCAGGACGGAATGGTGCGGGCGTGAAGCTGGGAATTCCGGATGACGCGGGCATAGACGTGGGTTGCTGGTGGTAAGGGGCGTAGCCGGGCGAGCTAGCGGCAGGGTAGGTTCCCGCCTGGTTGTACTGCCCGAACTGAGAGGAGGAGAAGCCCGAGCAGTGGTCCAACCACGCGTTTGTGTACGGGATGATGGGAATTCCTCCGTAACCGTCGATCAAGGGCCCCATGCCGCTGCTTGTGGGGACAGAGAACACGTTCGGGGTCCGCCATGGCACGTGGTGGAAACGTTCTTCGTCGGGGGTGGCCCCCATGTACATATCATGGTCTTCCTTGTCGTCAGCTCTGTTGTGCGTCGCGGCAAACGTGTGCGGACTCACTCGGCACCGACTGGCTGTAATGTGAATAGTTCATAGCGAAATACACGGGAGGACGAGCGACGAGGTGGGCGGTCAGAGCTAGATCCTGCCGGCTGGTCCACCGCTGCTTGCCTTATATGCAAAATGAATCTATTCAGTTGGTGGGATCATAATCCGAACTGTCGGATTCTGATGGCGTCAATTCAGACCCTGAAGTGGCGTCTTCAGACTCAGTCAACTCTCCTCGCATATTCTGCTTCAAGAACTCATGGCGCCTGGAGATGTAAGGCAACAGCCTGCGGGGTGGATACGATCCATAGAGTTCGGCACCGTCAAGTTCTCTAAGAATATATCCGCCTCGATTGGTCTGGCGTACTACCATGTAAGGCCCAAGATAGCGCACGGACATCTTCGCCGCTGCACTAATTTGTCCTTCTCTGGCTGAGTTGCGGAGCAATACCATTTCCCCTTTTCTATAGTCCGTCTTAAGCATTCGTCGAGCGAAACGCCGTTCAAATTGCGCCTTCGATTTGAACCTTGCTTTCTGCAGCGTGGATGCAGCTCGCTCAAGGTCGGCTGGGCGGCGTTCCAATTGATGAATTCGTGCTGCGAGAAGATCGGAGGTACTCATCTCTGCATGGAAGGCGTTCGACATGAATGTGGCCTCAGCTAAATCCAGGGGCAAGATGGGGTCGCACCCGTGGAGGAGCTGGAAAGGAGAGAACCCCGTAACACGGCTCACCGTAATTCGATCGGCGAAGAGCGCTAGTGGCAGCTTCTCCACCCATGAGTCTGGCTCTCTGGCGCATGCCTTAGAGACAGCCTCACGCAATGTGAAATGTCCCTGTTCGACCACTCCATTGGCGTGATGGTGGTACGGAGATATGCGGCACATGGGAACCTTGAGGCGGCGAGCTAGCTTCTCAAATTCTCCAGCAAATTCTGACCCATTGTCGGTGATCACTCTACGGGGATAGCCATATCGAAAGACAATCTGCTGCTTTAGAAATTCCCCAACATTTTTCGAGTTGAGCGTCTTGAGTGCTCGAGCCTCGCAAAATCCGGAGAGATCGTCTCGCGCAGCGATGATGTAACGATAGCCTTTCTTGGTTATGGGCATAAACATGGCGTCCATATAGATCTTGTCAAACAGCCTGGTCGGAAGGGATACCGTCAGCGGAGCTTCTAGACGCTTTAGGCTACGCAATTGGCATTCGTGGCATGAGCGGATATGATGACGTACATCAGCGTACAGATGCGGCCAATACACTCTCCGCCGCAGTAAGTCGAACGTTCCCTGGACACCGGTTCGGTGGCTGAGATCATCGTGAGCCGCTTCCAAAATCCGGAGCCGCTCGTCGGGATCGAAGACTACTTTCTGCGGAGGCCATTTAGCGTGGCGTCGAAAGAGAGTTTCCTCCTTACGAAAGAACTCCATCGCCTTGTTCAGGAAGCGGCGCTGTGCCTGAGGGCTTGCTAGAACGGGCTGCTCCAGGGTCCTGAGAAAATGATCGATCTGTCGTAAGAGGTCATCGGCTGGTTTCCGTGCGGCTAGACACGAGGGCAGGAGGCTAGGGTGGAAAGGCAGCTCGGTTGCCTTGCGAATATGAAACGAAGGAAATTGTCCGAGCTCCGATTTCCAAGTCAATAGCGCCACATCGTCCAGCCAGCTATCATCGTCACTCACAACTTCATCACCTTCGGCGAGAGGGCGTCGAGAGAGCGCATCGGGTGCTCGGAAACGATCGGCTGGTACATGAATAAGCTTGAAGTCGAACAATAGGATACCCTGAATCCACCGGTTGATAGACGCATTTGGCTGGAGGTCAGGATCATTGAGCATACCCCGGATGTATTGTGCGTCCACCTTTATATGCAAGTTCTTGGCACCCACAAGGTATATCCGCCAGTGTCGAAGCGCGCGGTAGAGTCCGAAAAGCTCCAATTTCGGCTGCGAGTAGCGGGATTCGCGCTCACTCATGGGAATCGAACCGTAACGAGCGGGGTGTTCCCGGCCTTGCTCATCGATTTGGGCGAGGATCATGCCGACAGCTTCCTTACTAGAATCCACCGATAACACAATGGGACTGTCGGATGTATAGTCGATGGGCCGTAACGCCGGCGGACTTGCCACTAATTCCTTGATGCGATCAAATGCAGCTTGGCGTCGCTCATCCCATATAAAGTCATGATCGCGTCGGTAAAGTTCCGTAAGCGGGCGAACCAGCTGAGAGTACCCTTCGATCCATATGCGTACAGTGCCACACAATCCAAGAAACTGACGTACTTCCTTCGGGGTGCGGAGCGGTGGCCAAGAGAGGATCTTCTGAACCTTGTCATCATCCGGAAGACGTCCTTCCTTACAGCAGACTTGTCCAACTATAAGCGCCTTGGGCTGTGCCATCTGAACCTTATTGGGTGCAAACGTGGCTCCGGCGCTCTTGATCCGGTGCATGACTCGGTGCACATCCAACGCATGTTCCCAGATGTAACGGCGGATTCCCGGATTCTCCGCGAGAGTCTCAGGTGAACCATCCTCTCGGAGGTATCTTGTACTCGGGCCTCGAATAGCTACATCGTCAATGAAGATATTCGCTACATGAGGAATCTCCGGTTCGAGTACGAAGGACATACACTTCTGAAATTCAGCCGGTGAGTTGGTGTACCCCATGGGCATCGAGGTCAACTGTAACGGACCGAGTGGTGACTGGAAGGCCGTCAGGTGTCTTGTAGCGGGGTCGGTCTTTCGGGCATCAAATCCCCAGAAAAGATCAAATACCGAATAGCATTCAGCCCCCGCGAACTTCTCCACAAAATCGTCAATGATGGGAAGCGCTCCGGCGTCTCGGACGGATACCGCATTGAGGGGCTGTAGATCATGAACGATTCGCAGCTTGCCGTTCTTCTTCAATACACAGAACCATCGTGACCGGTACGAGGATTGACTTGGTTCATATACACCCGCTTTGATCTTCTCCCGTAAGAGACTCAGCACCTTGTCATGAATCCCAGGTGGAATGGGTATATTGCGATACTCCCACGCCTTGTGCGGAATTGTGACATAGATGTAAGGTGAGAAATACGATTCCTTCAGCGTTCCTCTTTGGCTTTCTTCAAAAGCAAGAGAAGTGTCGTTCAATCGAAGAATGTGGGCGAAGAGCTTTTCTTCTTCGGGAAGGAGGTATCCGTCCTTGTTGATGCTCATAGCCATGAGGCGATCTCGTGTGAGCCTTTCCGAAGGTGTGAACTCGGGAGGATGTGGAGTGAGAGGGACTTGATCCGCGAAAAGCTCTTCTTCCGAAGGTCGGTGGCGCGTGACTTGCTGATCGACCGGTACAACACCCGTCACAGGTCGGATCTTCTTATCTACCCTCTTATATGCTGTGAGAGACCGTCGATTCCCACATGTAAGAGCGTCTGTAGGAAAAGGTTCGGTACACACTATGAGCTCATCGTCATCTTCGAGCATAAGCGTAGCAATGTCATCAGGTGAGAGCGCGAGTTCCCGAAAAGAACTAGCCAGAGTGGCGCTCTTGCCTGCCATAGTGTGAGATGGAGCCGAGGAGTAGATGAAGACGCGAGGGTTTTGAACTTGAGTCGAGACTAGGCCTGAGTCACGTGTCGGGACTTGCCGAGGACTTGTGGGTCCAGGTCCTCGTCGAGGAATTCGGTCCTTAGATCTCTCTGGAAGATACGCTGCGAAAAATGTGACCATTCTCGCTGAGTACATACTTCTCTGCCACTGAACAAAGGTATAGACAAGTAAGTACCACGTAAAGGCAGAAACAACACGATAGAAGGCTAGCACCACGCGTAAAAATGCGAGTACTAGTTGTAGAGTAAGGAGCGTGCGGAGTACTATATTTTCTACAGTTCTTGCGAAGAACTGAAGAAAATATTTCCTCATAAGTAAAAGAAACGGATGCGAGCGGTCAAGGCGTATAGTATCGGGTCTAATATAAGTCGGCGAAGCGCGATGTAACGGCGTGGAACGGAGACGGAGAGCGGAAGCGAGGGGTCGAAACCAATACATAAGAGCCATCATAAATATCAAACCAATCGTGAATAAATAGCAGCGGAACGGAACACGCGAGAATAAATAGGGAGGCGATTCGGGTGAAAAAAGGTAAGCATAATGTGCGGACGTACTGAGATGCCGCGCCGAGTCATAAATACCGAAGGCGAAGTTGACGAGAGAGTGCCGTATACTGTCCATCGCGGGGAACGTCGAAAAATAGCTTGTAGACTCGGTATAAGTAGCCGAAACATTCGGAAAGCTCGCGAAGCGCACCAAAAACCCAATACTATAGCGGCACTCGACCACAACACGACACGCGGAATGGCGGAGACGCTGCGTAAGCATCGTAAGAACAAACCAGAGCAGTATGACAGTGCCCGGCTCACCCTGCGAGACTCGAAAAAGCGGGCTAAAGCCGCTGGGGGCCGCGTTGCTGCTCCACTCGCGCGCGCGCGAAAGAGGAAGCCAAGCGATGCGGTCCCCCGAGATAGCCAACGCGTAACCAGCCACGTACGAGATAGCCGGTATGCGGCAGTTCTCGGGCGACGAGCGCACGTGTATCGTCCGGTTCGGTGATGAGAATAGTCGAGTAATTGCTCCGAGAAGTCTGCATGCGGTAGCCCGTAATCGCGTCCGCAAAGGCGAGTAGGAACAGCGCCTCCTCCTGGTAGAGGAAAGGGTTGAACGTCGCGGGTAGCTGAACCTTGTCGAGCGCGTCGGTGATCGGGCCAGCAAGGGATGCTAGGCAAACGAAGAGAAAGGCGCAGGTACTGCTTGGCCGCGAACTCGCCCCACTCCCGTCGGAAGGTCGGTCGGCTCGGGTCACGCGGCGCAACTTCGCGAATGGGTGGCGGAAGCGCGTAGTCACGGTGCTTCTCCGAGATCTCAATGAACTCGTCACGGGTGGCATATGAGAGTTCGGGCGGGACGCCGCCGATATCCTCGGGTAGGTGGGGAAGCGACAGGTGATACCATTCGTGTAGGAGTCGGTCTTCGTTGGTGACGCAACGCGAGCGAAACTCGTTGAGCATACTGGGCGGCGCGAGGTCGATCTGGTGCCAGCCTTCGCTGACCAGCGTGTCGTCCTGGTGTATTTCGTGCATGAGGAGATCGCAGATGGCGAGGCGAGCACGCTGAAGCGATGAGCGAAATTGAACCATGACCTCGTATGGCGGCTGGCCGAAGTCGTCCGGGATGATCTCGTCCTCGTTGAGGTCGATCATGTCGAGAAGGCGCTTCTCCACGACAGCGATGACGGCCTTCAGCTCTCTCGCGCGTTCTTCGCCGGTGAGTCGTGATGCCATTTGTCGTCGTGCAATAAGTAAGCCGATTGCGTCCTCGAGAGAGTGCATGAGGTCGATTGTCGTGCCGATGCGCCGTAGGTCGTGCCAAACATCTTCCATCGAGGACTTATTAGGCCGAGGGTACCAATGCCGGTCCTCCTGAAGCGGCGGCATCGAGGAGGACGTCGAGGATGGCGGTGTAGACGCGCGTGAAGGCGGACGGAACGCACTTGTCTCGTAGTCAATGGAGTCGTTCGACGGACTGCGAGTTGCGTGCACGTACAAGCGATGATCATCACCCGTGTCGGGGTTCGCAAAGACGATAGAGCTCAGCTCGGATGAGCTCGGTGACGTCGGGCAGTGTACTGCGATAGCGGGCAAGGACTGAGCTCGACGTAGCTGAGGCGGAAGTGAACTGTAAATGGCGGGTGGGGATAAGCATAGGCCGGGAATAGATTCGGAATCGGAGTCGTACCCCATGGAAATCTCTCCCCCTATCGTCGCCTTGGCGCGCGCGCGATGCTCGATAGGGTCTGGACAGCCTTTGTACACGTCCCCTGGGTGAAGATTCTTGAGGCAGGGAGGACAAAGCGGCGTGTCGTATGGTGAGATATCGCTGGCAGACGTCGGCGGGGCGATATGGAAGGGCGAGAACGAGGCGCTCGAAGAGTCGGAAGGATAAGCTAGATCGTCGGGGGTCGCAGCGCCATTGGCAGGCTCACGGCTTGAGGAGTCGGCGCCGCTTGAGAGGCCCCCAGCCACGGTAAAATCCGGTCGAAGTTCGTCCTCGCAGGGCCGCTTATCGAGCACCACGGGAAGCGCACGCTTGACCCCATTCTTGAAGAAAGGATGAGGCGTGTTAGCTCGTGCGTCGCGTGTGGTGAGAAGGAGTACCTGGGCGTCGCGGTTACCAAGCGGCATCTCCACGATATCGGCGCGCGAGTCGGCGAGAAGGGCGGTTTCGCCGAAGGTGTAGTGTCCTACCCACTTCGAAGTGCGCTGAGAGCGAGAGGCGCGCGTCATGCGCGAGGGACGCTCCTCGTCGGGCTCGATAATCTCCTCGGCGTCGGTCTTGACGGTGCTTGGGAGTGCGAGCGGATCGGGGCTCGAAGAGTCGCTGGACGCGTAACTGAGGCTAGTGATGCCCGACGCGTCGTCTGGCGTGCCCTCCTCGGCGTGCTGGGTGCCGCCGTCGTCTTCATCGTCGTCTCCGTCGTCTACTTCTTCGTCCTCGTCATCGCGGTCTGCGTCGCGGTCCTCCGTGCGCGCGCTCATCCGAACGTCTCCCGAATTGCTCAGGGGCGACGTCGGTGACGTCGGCTCAAAGGCGTCCTCCACTAGCCAGTCGGACACGTCGGGACCCAGCTCACGAGGAGGGCACGCTATGAAGCGAGGCTCCTCGTCGTCGCTGTCTTCGTCGAGCCCGGTGTCGGTGCCGATACGACAGGCCCGCGGGTACTGGATGGTCGTGCGCTCGTCGAGAAACCGGCGTACTAGCTCGTCGCCAAGTCGCTGGTGGAAATGCTTGAGATACTGCGGGTGGTTGCGTAGGAAAAAAGGAATCGGTCCGCGGCGAGACGGGGCGTCGGGCACGTCCGTCTCCGCGCTGGCGAAATATGATACCACCGTTCCAGTAGGGGGCTGGAACACGGAGGGCTCGTAGACGTGGAGGTTGCGTCCGGCCGCGGTAATGCGCTTGAAGTAAGGCGGTTGGACGGTGGCGACGGGGAAGACGTAGTTGCCGGGCGCATGGTCGTCGAAGAAATGACAGATCGCGTGACCTACACGCGTATAGGTGCTGCGGGTGCCCTCGTCGTAGCCGGAGAGACAGGCATTATGCCAGACGAGTTGCGTCGACACGTTACCGTGCTCATCCCGCTTGTCGATCGTGATGGGCATACCCATCCCTGAGAGGGAGACGGGATGATACATCGACTCGTCGGGAGGCGCGTGATCAGCGACGTCGAAGGCGAGGTCGGCGGCGGCGTGCAGAGTCTGGTAGGGCGTCAGTCCTTGCGGAACAGGACAGACACGCGGCCATGCTCCGAAGGCGCGATCCCCGTTGACCGAGGGGTGTCGTTGGACTAGGAAAGGCGACACGTGAGGGCCGTCGAAGCCCGCGCAATTGAACAGGTAATAGTTCTCGATGGACGGAAGGGTGGCGCGTAGCTGCTGACGAAGCTCTCGTTGGGGATCAGCCATGGCTTCTGCGCGGGAGCGTAAGTATCCGTTGTGCATGTGAAGGAGGAGCGTACAGACAATGAGTAGAAAGATCGATGGAACTCCGTGTATTCTGCTGAGGAGACCGGGGGCGAACATCTTGCTCTTATACTTCATGGCCTTCCGAAAATCGCGCGGGTAGGTGCTGGGCAGAGGGGAGACGAGACCCAAACAGAATGTGATTCCCAATGGACATTGTATGTACTGAATGAGGGAGGCAATACCGAGTGCGATGCCACTGATGATGGAGTCCGTAGAGAAGGCCCTCGCGCGCTTGTTTGGCCGTGTGTACGCGACTTGATTAGATCTTGATGGCGAAGATCTTTCCCCATTAGAGACAATCTCCTTCTTGACTCCGTCTGTACTGAGTGGCTCTGCCACGACCGCGAGGCAACTGGCCTGACGGAGGTAAGTGTTTGTTCCTTGTTTGGCAAACCTTTCCTGTGCAGGTCGTTGCTTGGGTGCTAATCGTCGGTCATGCAGAGGCGCTAGCTGTCTTCGAAGAGCCGCACTGACATCTGGACGTCGTTGAACGCGAAACTCATAGCGCTTGTGCCCGTCGTTCGGGTCGCGTACCTCGAGGTACGTACCATCTGGGCGCTCGTCTATTGAGATGAGGTTCTGACGTTGCCATGGTCTTCCCAGCAGCAAGTCATATCCTACCGGTCGGTCAGGTCGTGAACGCTTACCGATATGGATATCCGCGACTGTGAGAATGTCCGAGTCTGCTAGCTGCAGGTCGACTTCTGATACAAGACCCCGCAATCGGGCTTCTCCTCCGTTCGCATCATTCATTACTATAGCTCCGGCGAGATCGATCGGGCGGTGGGGCAGGAATAAGTCTTCGGCGAGTTCCCCTCTCATCACGTTCAGCTGTGATCCAGTATCGACAATAGCAATTATCTCTCGGCCTTCGCAAATGACTTTCAGCGTGATTAACGCGTCGTCTCCGGGGTTGAGAGCGTACGTATCTACTGCTGCCTCAAATGCGTCGACTGAGCTAACGTGCTGCTCCTCGTACTCAACAAGATTGGAAGTACTAGGCTTCGACACCGAACGCGGCTTGAGTCGCTCGTGGAATTCAACCTGGACATCCTTCGAAGCTACTCCTATCACTTGTCCGATAGGTAGCGTGACTGCTTGCTCTAGGATATTGTCGACGAACGACTTTGCAGAGACCCCTTCGGAAATCGGTGCGATTCGAGCTGGCCCGCGCACGCGCACCTTCGGTTGGTCTGGTGCGTGACGCTCATCACTCTTTTCGCGGTTCGGTCGAATTTCTCGCAAAGGTCTCTCTGGCTCGAGTCTGGTCACACGTTCGCGCGCTTCATCCGCGGGAAAGTGCACTCTAGGCTGTCGTGCATCAACGGGGATCACAGGAGGCGATGTCTTGTATGGGTCGCGCTGCACAGCCCGTCGGGGAGGTGGCGGAGATCCTGCCTCAGTTGGGTGATGCTGGGATTCCGGACGCGAAGACGGCTGGGCAAAGGGCTTGCTTGAATTGAGTCTTGGGCCCTCTTCTTGTGGTGGCTGATCGGGCGCGCTCGCTGGCTTGGGGTCCGCCGAATTAGGTTCAAGTGGTGCTGGGGGTCCCATTTCGACGTCTTCTGTGCGGCCTATCTCACGCGGCGGACGCGTGGGTTGTTTAGGCTTCGGTGGAGGCGCTTTCCGAACACCGGCAGGCATTCGAAAATCCCGGTACTTGCTAGGAATCAATTGAGGGGGCTTGGGATCCCGCAATCCAGTGCGTCGAGAACCGCTATCCATCATCTCCCGACGAGTTCTGGTGCCAACATTCTCCTTCTCCGCGCGATCCTTCGCGGGGAACGTTCTGTTGTACACTGCCGGCCCGGGTGCGTAATGCATTGCATGGGCTTCCTCATCGCTAAGCCATTCCTGCTCGTCGTCGTCCGAATTCTCTTGAAAGAATTCGTCTTCCTCCTCTTCCCAGGAATGCTGTGAGTGGTAGAATGACTGCCAATGTGAGTCATTCACGGCGATGGCGTAGTCGGCTTCAGATTCCGAAGTGTCGATCCCGTAAGTCGAAATTCCTGCAAAAAACATCCCAACTCGTGCGTTAGTATCGTCGTCACTTCCGCTATCGTACTGATCTGGATAGAAGAAATGTACGTTCGCTGAGGTTAGTCGCTCAATGGCTTGAGCCATTGTACTTTCCCCGGGAGTGCGCCTGACATCACCTCCGTCGAGGAGAGTGACTCGGCCAGAATAAGGATCACGACGTACCTTGCCTTGACGAACTAGTTGGTCGATAGTGGGGCATGCGCTGAGCCGATGTCCCCGCTCTCCACAGCCATAGCAACCGGGCGGCGGTGGTACAGCATTAGCTCCTGTAGCGGGCGTCGGATAGGTGCGCGATTCATCCATATGTGGCGGGGGTGGTCTGTCCTGATAATTCCTCAGAGGTGGTCGTCCATACGGCTCCGTACGACGGGGAGGACGGTCTTCGCGACTCTTGACAGGCTGTCGATTGGAACGGGAGGCTTGGGGCGCGATGGGAAGACCATTTGCTCGGGCTTGATCTTCGCTATGAAAAATAGGCTTCGCTCGAATAAACTCCTCCACGCGATGCGTCGTATCCATGCACAATGCCTTGTAGTACATGGGTGCGTACATCTCATGATCTGGTCTCATCTCATTAAGCTGTTTAACAAGCTGAGTAAGATCTGTAGGTGAGTTCATCTTCGACACACGATCAAGCTGCTTCTTCTCACGCTTAGCCTCCTTCTTCTTCGTCTTGTGCTTGCGTCCGAGCTTGAGCTTACGGCGGAGCTTCTCCATGTCAGAATCGTCTGTCGAACCCTCGTCATCGGATTCGGTCTCGGAACCCGAGGATTCTGCTCCTGGTCTCTGTCCAAAACGGTCAGCATCGAACCGACGAGTCACGAAGCGGTTCCTCCTGAATAGGTGACGAGCGGCTGAGGAAATTTCCTCATTCGTATACGGCTCTTGCTCTTCTTCGTCTTCAGTGTCGGATCCTCGTAACTCGCGCTTCATCTCAATGTGAGTCTCCATCTGAGATTGAAGGTCAGGATGAATACCCATCCAGAGATAATACGCTTCGTCTGCTTCCTCAATCTCGCCAGAGTTCACGAGTGCTCCTGATCGTCGGGTGAGTCGTCGGTAGTACTGCTTCCACTGAGCTAAGTTGCGAATCTTCTTCTCACGGGCTTTGTAGGCGAACTCCATGACATCGCAGGCGGTGTACATGCGGTCTGCCTTCTCAGCGTCGTAGTAGAAAAGCAAGTTCTTCTTAAGTCCTGCCCAGTTGTGGTCGGCAAATTCACGAACTCCTTTAATATACCGCTTGACTTGCGTCGAACAGTATTGAAGAAGTGCGTTACATTTCTCACGATCTCTCACAACCTTGTAACGCTTAAGAAGTCGCTCATAATGGTCAAGGAAGTCAGCTATGTCTTCGGCCTTACCTGTGAACTTTCTAGGAGCATTCCGCGTGTTGAGCGGAGGAAGCTCATAGACACCATGTCGAGAAGATGATCTTTCTCGTCCAGATTCAGGCGAGGTTCCTCGGCTGTGGGAGAAGTGTCCTTGTCGAGCTTGACGTCGTTCTTCAGTGGATAAGCCCTTCGGAAGTACCTTGGGTTTCGAATCCGATCGGCCTCGGGGTTGGTCACTAAACTGCGCCTTGGGTGGTGAGTTATTCGTCGGGCGATGGGATCGAGAGCCTTGCTGACTTGTATGGGAGTCTTGAGGATTGGATGTGCCAGTACGTCGGGGAGATCCATCGGAAAATGCTTTACCAAAGCGATCCGTGAGGTCGTCAACGTCTGCGTCGCGAGGAGGCGCGGTCTCGGGATAATCGTCGGGCTCGCTGTCAGATACGTGAGGATGAGACGAGCGATGAGAAGAGGGATGAGATGGTGAGGAGGAAGCGTGCGGATGGTCGTGTTCTGAGTCAGTATGCTCAGAAGGGGGTGGATCTCGGTAGGTTGCGGTGTGAGACGCAGCATGATTGTCGGAGCTATGATGGCTAGGTGAACTGATGATATCAAATCCAGAGGTCGATCCGTGGTTGGATGGTGAGTGAGACATAGTCGGTAGTGGTGAGCGATGGAAGGTCACAGGTGATCAGCAGAGAAGCAGTAATTTACCCCTCGCGGTGGGCTCCAGATGTGCGGCTAGGCTTGGTTAGATTAATAGCCTGAGAAATCCTATATAAGAATAGAAATATCTCCTTGAGTTCTTTGGGGAATATTACTGTGAGTGGCTGATAAGTGAGAGCTTCCTAAAGTGGTGGAAAGGGTAGAGGAACAGGTGACAGATATGTGGGAATTGTCACGAGAGGTAGCGAGATGAGATGATCTCGTGAGATGTGCGACAAGCGTGAGGTAGGGCTGACTCGCTGAGGCGGAGGAAAAATCTGATTGGAAGGCTGGCTTAAATCGGGCTTGGAGCTACCGGGATTCACTAGAAACGGTGCGAGGATTCGTTCACTCGACGCTCTCAGAGATCGCGGCTAGTTCAAGTAAATACGACGTAAGACGGCTTGTTCTCAGAGATCTTCGAGGACGGCGAGATGAGTTGAAGCGTATGAATTGCACTTATAAGTCAGCTGATCTGGCTTAGGCGTGGAATGGCTCGGAGCGTGGTAAGTCTTAAGAACTTCTTGTGCGTGAGATCTGTAGTCTTCTCTGTTGTCTCTACAGCACTGAGAGTGGTCCTTATATATGTCTAGACTTGCCCTTTGCCCACAAACCCTCAGCCCTGTGACCAAATAGCTGTCTACCTACGTACACTGCATTCCTGTACTACTACTGAATGAGCAAGCAGCGTCGACCACAAAATTGTACCCGCAAGGCTATGATCTACTTATACTAGGCTGTGCGTAGGGTCTAGGGTATGCAATATTGCTGTACGCTACATTGTCGGAGGGTGTTGCGTACACAGCCCTCCATCGTCGGACTCAAACAAGTCAACCTCCGGTCACGTGAAAGTGGTGTGACCTGCCGGCATCTTCCGATGTGGCGTCGAAGGTCTGGTCGAGGCTTCCGAGGCTTGATTGGTCGGCCTTGATATCAAACAATGTTGCGGTAGCACAATGTAAGCCATTCCTGTTCGCTCGGCATCGACAGAAGGCCGCCGATTAGTGGAAGGGAGAGAGGGCCAGGTGGTAGAGGGAGTGAATGCAGCCTACGTCTGAGTAAAGCGACGAGCAACGCAGCACCGAGCCCGCATAGCAGGAGATCAAGACTACCGAGTGGCTCAAGCATGACGAAGTGAGCGCAGAAGGCAAGATTGACGCGCTTCAGCGGCGCGTTGAGCACGCTTATACGAGAGCTTCTGCAGGGGAATCAAATTCCGCGCCACCTCCTGGAATGAAAGTTATGAATGGAGAGTATGTTTGCGGAAGCGCGACGTACCTCGCGGGAGGGCGCTTAAGGCTCCCGTATACCGTCGCTGGCTCGGCATACCGTGAAAGAGGAAGCCGAGCAAGAGGACAAGTCCGCGCCGGCGCCGAAGGTATGCGCTTACGCGCGACAATGAATGGGCGCTAGATGACGCATCTCGGAGGTGTGTACCTTGCGCCGGCAAGCCTCGGTAAACAATATCAAACGGCATTACATAGCCAATGGTACCGACGATAGAGATACACTCGAAACACAAACATACGGGCGCTAAAGAAGAGTGAGTACGGTTCCGCTACCCTTAATGCGTGATCGCGCACCTGAACGAAGGCTTCCCGTGGAAGTGGCTCAGCATCCTCCCAGTCAATGTGCAAGACAGACATGCATTCCTGGCGCATATGACTACAGGTCGAACATTGCGCTGCCGTAGTCCGGAGACGGCGCACGCAGACCTCTGTCAGGCACATCCGCATCGACGTAGACCAACGCCTTGACCACAACACCCTCGTACATCCTCTCCCGACTTCTCCAATCTAGAAATGCATACCACGCATCGAGCGTTGCTGGCCAGATGCCGCCCAAGTAGTGCACAACGATGTGTTGCAGGTTCGGGAGCATCGACGAGCAGCTCAGAGTCTTGAGTGTCGTTGCATCCATCAGCGTCCGTGTTCCCGGGTATCCATTTATTGACAACGAGGTCAAGCTCGTAAGCTTACCGAGGCAGCGCACGAAGTAGGCCGCGGATTCGACAAAGACGTGCTCAACCTTGAGCGCCTCCATGGAGTTCTCCCCGCGTTCTAGCAGCGCAAGGAGCGAGGCGAAGACATCTCCATCGCCAGACGCCTCCGTCGAGAGGCTCAGGTCGACATGAGTAAGTCGCGGGGCAACGATATACGCCAGGACGGTGTGCGTGTACTGCGAGAGGCGAACGGACGAAAGGCGCGGGAGTGCTATGTGCGAGTATGAATCAGGGAGGCAATCGGAATGATTCCGCCACGCCTCCACTGACAGCTCGAGCTCTTCGAGCCTCAGCCCCAGTGAGAAGTTCGGATATGCCAGCCAATCCCACGCAATGGTAGCCACCTACGCCAGCCTGCCTTGGTTTCAGTAGTCTCTAGTTTGCTCAGCATACGAAAGTGGCTGCAACATCTATGGAGGACAATGGATGACATTGTACTTTGAATAGCATACAGTAGCGTTGCCTAGAGTAGGCTGCTAGCTACTCGAGACTATGGGTAAAAACTGGAGCCAATACTAGCCGATCCTGCCCATAGACGTGCGTCGGCATCACGTTTGCGTCGTGCTCGATCCCTGCAGTACTAGGTCAGCGCTGCCTTCGCACCACCGTGCCCACGAACCTCGGCACCTGACTTCCCCGCGTTGCCCTTGTCCACTTCGGCGAAGTACACATCCAGTGAGTTGTGCGACTTCTACAAGTGCATTAGAGAAGCAGATGGCGAGGGCGTAGTGCAAGACTTTTACCGCGATGTCCTTCGCCCGCTTGACGTAGTGCTGAAGTGAACGGAGACCGATGAGAACGACGCGAGTAAAACAATTCAAAGCCATGTACCTTGTACTCCTCGTTCCCTTTGATAGAGTCCCACGCGGTCTTCGTGGCGGCGTATTGCGCCTTATCGTCTTTGCGGCGACAATCGTGCGCAAACAAGTTGCTGGAAAACCAATGTCAGCAGGTAAAGGTCAGCGTACCAGCAGCGATACACGACGTACAATGCGGTAACCTTCAAGCCCAATACCCACGCCTTTGTTCTCGGCAGCGTAGCCTTCGTAGCCTTCGCAGCGACGGACTGGCCGCCGAGCTGACCTTGCGACGATGCGTGTCCATCCGCAGATGCATCGCCCGCCTGGGAAGCGGGCGCCGGCGGGTTCCCCGAGCTGTCCGACGGCAACATCGGTGAAATGACATTCCCCGTGTCAATGAGGGTGACGTTCATTCTAGCCTCGTCTATCAGCAAGAACGTCGCAAACGCGGGACGCACGTACAACGGATTGATGACCTACAGGAGTGCGTCAAGGTGGGATCTTCACTCGAGAGACTGCGGTAAGCGTACCTTGTATCGGACAGTTGCATCGTCCGTCTTCTGTCTCTTGTTAGCAGTATCACTAGTATTGTTCTCGGAGCTATGCATCCGCTTGTTGGATGAGTGCCGAGGCGGAAGCGTAGCAGCAGAGCGCTCGTCAGGCAGGGAGCTGGAGTCCACAGAGTCGAGGCTTTGATGAGCGGGAATAACAGCATCGGGATTGTCGGCGCTGTCAAGCGCAATTAAGGTCGAGAAGTCAAGTGAGGGGCGCGTAGTCGCCGTAATAGACAATGGCGGCAGAGCAGGATGCGTCGATTTGTGCGTAATCAGAGCAGGTGTGGGTGTATGCGAAAGCAGAGCGGGAGTGGTGCGCTCTGACTTGATGCTGCGTCCTTTCGGAGGGAAAAGATCGGCGCGGGACTGTTTCCACGAGGAGTACGCGACCTGCCAGAGTCTCTTGAACTTCCAGTGGTCGTCGCAGTAGTTGATCTCGGGGAATTGCTGGTACATCTCGTGCTGGATGTAGCGCAGAGTCTCGACACCGACGTCGCCGTAGTTCGGAACCGGCTTGCCTTCGCGAGAGACTTGATTGAGGCATTGTCGGAAGTGTTCTCGAAGTACTGCGACGCGTGCAGGGTCGATGATCGAGCCGTCCTTGTGGCGAAGGAAGCGTAGCGCCTTGTTGAGCGGCTGCTCTGCAGCATCGGCCGCGGTCTTCGAGTATTTGTCTAGATCTTCCGTAGTCCAGCAGACCTTCTCGCTGAAGTTTTCGTCACGACGTGGGGGGTGAATGGGATAGGAGGTGGTGGCAGTAGCCGAGCCTGCAGTTGAAAACGTGCTCTTCATCTTGTCGCGGAGCATAGTGAGTTTCTTGATGTTGTCGTCGATCTTCTGTACGCCGTCGTCTATTCTCTTGAGGCCTCCTTCGAGCCCGAGAGTTGCTGCTTCGACAGCCTTGAGCGCAAGTTCCAGCTTGCCGCCAAGGTCCATATATGCGCGTCTAAAGCTGAAGTTAGTTGGAGTTCGTGACAGTTAGTGGTATAGGCGCACCTTGTAGAGTTGCTATCCATCTCCAGCATGTTGTACTTGATCTGAAGTTGCTGATACTGCATTTGCCAGAAGGTACCGTTCGTACTCGGACGCATAGAGCCGGCGTGTGAGTTGTTGGGCATGGTGATACTGTCGAACGAGCCTAGTCCGTAGCCTTCGAGGGAGCCCGGGACACTGTCAGTCTTGTGGAAGTTAAGCGAGTCCATGATGGGCAGGAGCAGGAAGGAAACGGATGAGGACAAGACGTGTAGCGGCTTCGCATTGCGCATCACATGAGCATCCCCTTTTGGACGGGCCATTGTTCAAGAGGTCAGAATGCAATTGGCGTAGATCAGAAGCGTTAATAGAGATTCATTATGACATGTATTAATCCTCCTCCTCTTCCTCCATACCCAGCCCTCCCAGCTGTGCAAGTTCGAGACCTAACTTCTCCGCGACAAAGAACCGAATAGCTTGTCCTGGAGACGGCAAGAAAGGCAGATTACCCGCGACGTTGGGGAACTCGGGGAGCCTACCAAATGTTGGCAGTGGCACCATACCGACAACCGACTTGATCTCCTGCACCCGCACGACGTACGCGTCATGTTTATTGGCCGTGCATATCGCAAGAGCCTGATGTGTCTGGTTGAGTATCTCGGTGTCGGGAGGCGAGTATCGGTGGACCATCGCAAGAGCAAGGGGTTCTTCGAAGCCTTCAATGCGGTGCAGAAAGTAGTACAGCACCTCCGCGATGAAGGAGCGGGTGTTGCGTGTGACCTGGAGGCGGTGTCAGTATATATCTGGGAAGTAACGCACGCACTCACTTTGACATTCCGGGCAATGCGCATTCCACGACCGTGCATCCGACCGCTTTCCTTCCACTCTGACCGGGCGATCTGTCCATTCGGCAGAGCAAGCCGTGCCCACCGCATGACACGTAGAGTACCGCGCTGGGAGGTACGGCTCGACGGCGGCAATCCGGACTCGACAAGGAAGTCCTGAAGCGCGCGAGCCTGAACCTGCGGCACGTCCACCGGCGTCTCGTCACGCGCGCTTCGCAAGCTGTAGCCGCTGCCAGCGTCGTGAGCGTTTCGTGGTGCACGCCTCTGGTTGTGCGATGCCAGGCCAGGCATGAGAGCTCTGACGGCATTGAGCTGTGCGCGACGGACGGCGCGTTCGGAAAGGTTCATGTACGGGTTGGACGGCTGTCGTATCTCTTGTCCTAAATTTCCAATTGTGCGCTCCATCGTCCACTGCGAGTACAATCCGGGTGGTCCAAGACGCTGGACCTCGAGAGCCACATGTGTCAGTGAGTGGATGCTCTGTCTCACGAAGTGGAAGCGGCTGGTCCGTCGTTGATAATAGATCTTCTCGTAGTCCGCAACGAAGGTGAGTAGATATCGATGGGCTTGAATGAGGTCCGATGATGATATCGAGCGCTGGTGCAAGATGCGGAGTCCAGTGACGAGCATGCAGAAGTTGGAGTAGTAGGGCTCTGGAAGGATGCGGTAGAGCAGCCCTGGACCAAGGACGAAGAGGTAGGTGAGATATTCAATGGCCTTGTACCCGGAGTTGATCTTCTCGGCCGGATTCCGAGGTGGTCTGTCGAAGGACCCAGGCAGGTACGGAGTCGCATCCGCTACCGTCTTCCCATGAGCCTGTTCAATTGGTCAGGTAAATCTCGTCGCTAAACAGATGTCATACCTTCCACATCTCGTCTCTGAGAACTGCCCATGACCACCGTGCCGTAGAGTCGCCACGGTCTCGGTCGCAGTCAAGAGTCCCCCTCCATAGCCCAAGCAGCACGTCCGGGAGATTGAGTGCAGCATGGTGCATCAGATCGCCCGGACAGCACTGCGGCACGGGCAGTATACGGGGCAAGCCACTGAATATACTGGGCTTGTTGATGCCCGTTTCCTGCCGGCGGCTGACGAAGTCGCGCTCAGTGCGTGACTGGCCGAGATGGCGCAGGTTCTTGTCGAAGGTGACCTGGTCGAAGGATGGCAGTGCGGTGACATCAACGCTAGGGTGGTTGCAGTCCTGATGACGGTTGCAGCCTGGGAAGTCAACCGCAGCGGACATGACAGGATAGTACTGCCCCGTCTGCGGTTTGTGCCGGCCCTTTAGCCTGCAGAACCTGCGGCAACCGAGAGTGGCCAGATGACCATTGTTGCCATTGAGATCTTGCATTGCGGGTCCATCGGCGGTGATGAGAAGGACGAATGGTCGGTTGATGACCAGCTGGCGTCGAGCACCGTTCCATACCCGAAGACCTTCTTGCTGAATAGCGGCGAGATGCTGAAGTGACGGAAGGAGGAATGACTCGAACACCTTTGGCTTCCGTGGTCCTGGGATGACGAAGGACGGCAGTACATAGTCCTTGAGGTACCGCAAGCTGGGCGGCAGGTCGTATATCACCCATATCGCTATCCATACGTCACTCTGCTTGCTGCGGTAAAGTTGCGCACCGTCGATGGAGAACATCAAGACCGTGTCGTCCTTGTCGATGCCGAGCGTGCTCTGGTAGGCATCCCCACAGAAGACGTCGTCGTACTTGTCCATCTGTATCCGTCCATGCACATCCGTCTATAGCGAATCAGAGTCGATTACTTTAGGAATATAGGACACTCACGTTCGCGCGAAGCTCTCGGGTCTTGCGGTCCCGGTATGCCATCGCTTCTGCTGTAGTTGGGTGCCGGTAGAGCGCCTGCAGTTGCGGGCCTATGGGCATGGTGTAGAAGGACTGCCGAGGGATTTCAACCTGCCCCCCGGATGCAGCGAGGCGGGTTTGGTCGTAGCGGGGTTCGTTACAATGATTGCACACCTTGAGCGTAGCGAATGGACCCGTGAACGCGATGCAGGAGTTGACGCACATGTCGTGCTTCACTGGGACGACGCCGCTGATGCGACCAACCAGGCGCTTGATGCTGTCGAGAGAGCGCAAGTCATCTTGCGGGTACCGTCGGTGGATGGCCTGGCGAGTGTCCTCATAGACTGCCTCTGACGTGTTCGTTGTGGCCGCGAACAACTCGAGCGCGAGCTGCGTATCCGGATCCAGGTTCTCAATGTGTCGTGGTGGATCCAAAAGCCTTGCAAGATCGTCGCCAGCAATGTCACCGTTGCTGATCGTAGCTTGACGAACAGCACGTATGAACTGCTGCGACTGACTGAATGAGGCGATGCACGACTGAGGGTCCTCGAACTCAGCGTCCTCGCCGGTTTCGGGCGGCGCACGAGGGTCGTCCGGTACGATTTGATTTCGTCGAGCCTGTTCCAATGCCGCTGCGTGGACGTCCTCCTCGCTGAGCTGGACGGGTGGTGGAGTGCTACGCCGTACGCTACCTGGGGCCGAGCTTTCCGCACGCTATACGCGATGTTAGACACCGGTACTCTATTGAAAGTATATGGTACACGCACCTGAGAGGACCGCATTGCAGGAGACTGTGTAGCAAGGCTCGTCGCCCGGCTGATGGAGGGGGGCGAACGAGGAGTGGTCCGGGTGGCAGCATGAGCATGCCCTTGCGATTCCGAGGGTATGATAGGTTCAGGAATGCGCGACTGGTTGTGGCGCCTGTACGTCGTAGCAGGGACGAGGCGACCCTCGTCGCCGCCAGACTTGCGACACTTGTCGCAATGGCATTGGCGAGATGGTTCGGGAGCACGAGTAGACATTGCTGTAGAAAGAGGGGATGGGAGAGGTATCGCTACCGCGTTCTTGCTTTTATACTCGAAATTTCATTGAATCTACATAGGGGGACAGCAGAGGCGGTACTACTGGCTGATCTGGAGAGGTCTCTTAGTTCGCTTCCCTGGCGTCCTGGTGAGAGACACGCACCTCAGACTCCACTGTAGAGTAGAGGCGAGAGGGGAATACCCCAAGCAACCTGTTCTACCTAGACGGTGTGTGGTGCTGGCATTGTGTAGCTGTACCTGTCGGATCCTACATCCTCGTAAGGAAAGCATGGTGGAATCAGCAGTGGGACGCACCTGGCCGGTCGCCGCAGATGGAGCGAGCCTCGATAGCACTCCTCACATGGCCTTCGTGCACCTACCGCCAGTACATCTGCAAACATCATCAGTTTTGGAAGACTGTAGCGCGTCTCCTGCGCAGCGCCTGTCGACGTGTCGCTCACCTTGGTATGTGTCAGCGATGGTGAACGTCGCAAGCGTCGGCGGAGTGGTCCCATCGGGCGGATACTCGCGCCCCTCTGCATCCCGAAAGCAGCCTAACCGACCGAAAGCAACAAGTAGAAGAAGCAATGACTGATTCAATCGAAGTGAGGATCCGACATTGTCGACGCCGTTCGAAGCAAAGCAAGTTTGATCGAGAGAAGGGGACACGTTGACGATCGAATGAGGAAGGAGCGATGAATGACGTCGTTTCATCCTTTTCCATCCTTTTCCATAGAAAACTATAGGCTGCCATTGCGTGGAATTGTCTGGCCTAGGGCACTTCTCACTGGGCCTCAGCGCGCAGTGTCGAAGTACGTCGAGGAAGAATGACGTATGATATCCGCTTTCTCGATCTAGATATATCTGTATCAGAACAAGACTACCCAGGAGAAGAAGAAGCGCACCGCATTGAACTAGGCTACAGATGCTCAATCTGCGCAATTGCGGTGCATGGGCGACGAAATCGACGCAGCGATATACGCAGGGCGGGTTGAGAACGGTGCTGAGGTTTTTGAGCAAAGGAAATTCCAGGTGGCTGAGATCTGCGAGGTTCTCAGAAGAAGTGCACAGTGCTACGGAAGCCCATCTCGAAGCATAATTCTCCAACAAGGATGCGACTTCCATCCTTTCGACACATTCCGAATCGGCAGTGAGATGCAGGGGAACAGCGCCCGCGTGCGCAAGTAGAAACCTGAAGACATCTGGCTGGTCGCGAAAGATATCCAGATCGATGGATGAGAACAGCTGCGGGGTATTGAGCGCGATGTTGCGCCAGTCGACGCACACAAAGGTGATGGAAGACAGGATGAAATGAAGCGCGGCTTGTCCGGAGAGAGTTGAAACGCTGTACAAGAGGATCTGAGAAACAACCTCCGAAGGAAGCGCTCCGATAGGCGCGTCCTGGGGCATCGCGACCCCGGCTTGACTCGACCATTCTTCCAGGGTCGTGGCGAGTTTCGAGATAACGTCCGCCATCGCTCGACTCGAATTGACAGTCAGCTTCTCTTGTCACACGTGCGAGATATGCTTCAGAATGATTACCTCGAGCTTCAAGGGCGGCCGCTATCGTGACCGGCGAGGTGACGGTCGAAAGCAAGAGGGAGAGTGAAAGCGGTGACGCCACGCGTGCGCTAGGGGCAGATTTCCCACGCTGGAATACGTCCAGGAGTGGGTGAAAAAGTCACCGGAATGGAGTATAACTGGCATACACAAAGAGGATATGATACACTGATGGTACCTATAGGATCTAATGATACATGCTGTTGAACCGAACGCAGGAAATCCGAGCCTTACCAAGATACATTACCGGAAAGCAAACCAAACACAAGACCTGCGCGAGCTATAAGACCGCCCGTCGCAAAGCCTCCAAGCTATCCTGGACCATCCCATCTGTCGACGTCGACCACGCCCTATTGAATAGGCGTCAGTACCAAAGATCAACAGGGAGAAACTCGTCTCACCATTCCCAGTCGCGTTGCATTTGCTCGCCGAGCTCAATGAGCGCCACACACTGCGCCTCCCCTTCCAGCGCGTCAAAGTCAATGCCGTGGTAATTCAACGCGAGAAGGTGGCCGTTAACGCGCGAGCGCTCTTGCACATCTTGAGCTACAGGTCGACGAGCGGTGTCATATACGCGGAGGGCAGCGGAGACGTTGGCGCGAGTGACGGCGGGATCGCCGAGAAGGTGCGCGAGGAGCCATGCGTCCTACAGAGGAGCGAGTTAATCAGCAACGAAAATGTCAATCACAAAGTTCAAGCTCACCTCCACCGCCTGTCCAGCGCCGCTTCCTTGGAAGGGTGTCATCGAATGAGCCTGATGAGATGTATCAGATGCATGCGACATTGCCCACGAATGCATACGCACAGCATCACCCAAAAGCGCCGTACTTCCATGCGCGAAGGTCGGCAAGCCCGGCGGCTTCGTCGTATGCACCGCCCATCTCAGCGCACCGTCCACGCACTGACAGTCGAGGATCAGCTCTCGCGAGTCCGACTCGAACGACAGGCAAAGCAGTCACGGCACTCACATCCAACATCGCCTGCACCTCCAGCTCCCATCCCTCGAAGGCGCCCGCGAACTCGGCCTTTGCCGCCTTGCGCATCCACTCGCCGGGGTGAACGCCGTGCTCCTGCGCGGGGTCGAAGGTGAAGAAGATCACGTTCAGACAGGCGCCGTTCTGAATCGAGTAGCCGACGATGCACTGCGTCCGGGGTCAGCACGAGCGGAAGCGACGGCCACCGTCGCTACGCACCGCATTCTTCCCAAAATACTGTCACACGAAGAGTTAGCATCCCATCATCGTGCACGTCTGGGCGAACGACGTACCAGCATGGGATTCGACAGGAGCGAGTGCGCAGGCGCGCGCTCCCTCAGCTTGTCCGCCGAGATCAAAACCCGATACGCGACGAAGCCACTCCACACGGGCTGCGCAGCCGCTGCGAGCGCGTCTGCTTCCGCCTGTCCAACCCTCCCCTCCGCCAACGTGCCCGTCCCCGCCCACGCTTCTCCACTCCCCGCCTCCCTCGGCCTCGCCGCCTCCGCACGTACATCCTCCGCCCCAGCCTGTCGAGTAGCCTCGGACACCACCCGCTCCATCATCCCGACGCGGACGCGCGATTTAAGGCCGTCTGCGCCGATGAGTACGTCGCACGTCGCGACGGTGCCGTCTTCGAAATGCAGTTGGATGGGGCGGTCGTTAGGAGGGATTGGTGGGGCCAGCAAAGAGGGGGAGGGAGAGTACAGAGAGGAAGAGGAGGAGAAAGACGAGACGTTAGGCGCACAGCCAGAGGGGGATGGGAAGAGGGAGGAATTGAGCGAGGTATAGGAGGGAAGCGTAGAGGAGGACACATCAGGTGATGAAGAGAAGTCGGTATATGAGGAGAGTCGTTTCGAGCAGACGACATTGTCGCGGCCGAGCTTCTTGAGGCGTGCGACCAGGACGGTCTGAAAGTCGGCGCGGTGGACGCGCAGTTGGCGGCCTGGAATGAAAAGACGATGGGATTAGCAAAGTTGATTGCGTCGAAGTGGAGAAGATACTCACCTTTCGCTTGTATGGTATAGAAATGATAGCTCTCGACTTGGTCGCTCTTGCGGCAGATAAATTTCGTGTCTGCACTTCCTCGTTAGCGGTTAGTACGCGCATGCGTAGCACAAGGCCCACCTTCTTCCTCTCCTGCCTCGACGCACGAGCGCTCCATAAGCTCTTCCTCCAAGCCGAGTCTCTTGAGAATTTCCCTAGGTCCTAACCTCGCTCAGCTCGCTACAGCTTCGCGGATGATTTGCACTTACTCGGCCAAAAGCCAATACCCGCGCCCACCTCCGCGAGTCGAGAAGCGCCCTCGTAGACCGTAACGTCTATGTCTGGATATCGCGCTAGACAGAGCGCGGCTACGAGTCCTCCGATTCCGGCGCCACTTCACGTAACAATCGTCGTCAGTCCCGCGAAGCCCGACCGGCGCATCGGACTCACCATATAGCCACGCGAAGTCGGGGTCGTCCCATCGTGGGTGGGCCGAGGGAAAGTGGCGAGGGTAAAGAAGGGCAGCAGGAGGTACATGAGCACCGCCGAGTCCCGTAGTCATCGCGATGCCGAGCGTGAGAGCCGGACTGTGAAAGCCAGTGCCGCGTGAAGCGCATGTGGATGGTCGCGACCACGTTGTGCGAGGGGAAAAATCGGTGTAGTCAGGTATATATACACCTCGCCGGAAGACGCGCATTCGGTAGACCGAAGTTCTAGCTACCCTGTGCTGCATGCGCGCTCGTCGGGGGCCGGTATTGACCTGTCCGAGCCCGATGCGCGGTCAGGAAAGGCTAGCGCCAGTAGAGAGAGATAGAAAGTCCGACAGGCGTCCTCAATGGGCCTGGAGGCCGTAATCCGCGGCCACGGGACAATCATAGCGTGGGCGTCGGGACCAACATAGGAATGTCCAGAACGGGAAGTGCGGAAATGACGGATCAGGCGCCACGTGTGCGCCATGTTCGGCGCGTGCCTCTACCCGGCGCTTGCTCCCGGCCACGTTGTACTTCTCGAACTAGAACGCCCATCATGTCTGTAAAGGCGCTTGCTGAGGTAGGCGAGCTAGAAGATCTCACACGAGCATCGTATCTAATGAGAGCTAGGCTGCTATCTCGCAGAACGCAATCTGCGTGTTCTCCCGCAGCTGGTGCCCATACTGCACGCGGGTCAAGTCCCTGCTTGATACCAGGTTCCCCGATGCACAGAGGAAATACCTCGAGTAAGCTCAGACCAAGAACAATGACGACGCGATTGATAGGGCACTGACCCTTCCGACAGGCTCGATAAGATGGACGAGGGTGACGACATTCAGGGCTATCTCCAGAGCAAGACGGGCCAGCGAACGGTACCGAACGTGTTCATTAGTGCGTATCCCATTCGCTTCCGGCCTTCAAGTCTTATTCACATATATTCTTCACTCCCTCAGAGCAGAAGCACATCGGAGGTAAGCTTACTCTCAGCTCGACCCTTGTACTTCACTGACGAGCGTCTGCTATAGGCTGCGACGATACGACCGCCATGGTCCAGTCGGGCAAAATCGCCGAGATGCTGAAGTCATGAGCGCCATGCACCGCTCAAGAACACGAGTCTTCGCCTATATCGACGATTACATACTACCCGACGCTCTTGTTACCCTAGATGGCAATGCGCTAGACAACCTATTGAACATCGTTGCTACGCTTGACGACACGTTTTTGCGCCTCCTCGCCTCCGACCTTCGAGGAGCTCGCGCGTTCCGAGGGAAGAGGGAGGGAAGTCTTCCATGGAATCTCTCCGTCGATGACGAACAGCCGGACCCGCTGAGCTTCTTCGTGCCCGGTATGCGGTCGACGACCAGGGGCGGGCCACATAAGCACCGCTTGTTCGCGGCGAGCTTAGCGCGAGTTACGTTAGACGCCGGGTGGCGCGTGGCTTCCACGTCCATGCCAACTTCGCCCACTAACCATCTTCGAGCTATAGCTGCCCCCGAGGCGCGTGGTCGCACATCATCAGCAAGCTCGCAGACGCGTACGCGCGCACTAACCGACACTACGCGCATACTTCTGATGGCCTCAAGACGATGTTCAGGGCAGTCAACTGCTGAGTCAGGGCGCGCTTTACTCTTCTGAGTGAATGCCTGCTCTCCTCGTCTGGCGTGTTCTCGCCTAGTCTCTGACCATACGGCGTCGTTCCTGGAAGATACTACAAGGAGAACGACCTTGTTTGGCCGCGCATGACAATCAACATTGCGAGTGAGGTTACGACTGAAGCGGCAACCGCATGCACCAGACGACAAGCCCCACTCGTTCTGGTGGACTGCAGGCGACCAGCTTCCGTACTCTAGAAGGTAAGCAAGGCAGTTCGAGCGCCGTCACCATCGCCCTACTTAGTTCGTCGACTAAACAGGGATGCGAGACACGCGCAGACCTCGTACACTCAACAAACACACCGGCAGTGATCTCGAGCTAGCTAGGCCCATACCGAGTCCAAGTCCAATGGCGCCTGTCGAGATGGACATTCGTCCGTCCGCGGCGGTGTTATACGTATACAATAGCTCGTGGCCTCAGGCATCACGCGTAGCGTCCTCGAAGCCGTACTTCGTGACCTATGTCCTGCACGCGAAGATCCCGATCATCGTCCTCGCCTCCATCTCGTTACAGCACGATTATACTTAGTACAATAATCTCATCGATATCATGACGAGAAAACCATAGCTCGTTCTGATGAAGCGTCCCTGGTAGTACAAAGGGTAGGTTCGAAGGTTAGATTGCATGCGCGGCCGACCGCGAGACCAACCGGGCGCGCTATGTCGATGACCGAGGTGCCCGATGCTGATGGTTCCAGCGCCCTATGCTGATGGCTCGAGCGCCAGATGTCGATGGCTCAAGGGATCCTCTACAGGACAGCAACACGCCAGCCGAGAGCGCGCAGCGCAGCGTGCTTGGCTTACCATAGGTCTACGAGAGCCGCTTCGCTGACCTGCGCCGTGGCCTTGCGGCGGAAGAGGCGCGCGAAGAAAGACCTCTTGTGCGCGCGCGAGCTCTTGATACCCCGCTGCGCCCGCGCGCTCTCGACGCCCTATGCAGACATCCGCACCCACGAGCGCGCCACGACATGAGGGGGCCACTCACGTAGCTACCCAGCACGCTCGTTCGGGCCTTGCGTCGCCGGCGCTTCGGGCGTCGCGCTAGGCACATGCGCGAAGTCTCGCAGGGAGTCGACCGTGGAGCGACGGTTCACCGACCGCGCGGCCATCGCCGTCGACCCGCGCACCGACCGCGCGACCTCGCGCAGAGACTCAATAGTGAGGTAGTCGCGGACGTGTCGCTTGAGGGGCACGGCGAGCAGCGTAGCCTGGTCGTCATCCGGGTTCGCCGCACCTTCATCGGAGGCGCGCGGTCCTTCGGTGCTGCTTTCAGCATCGGACTGCGCATTGACGCACCGCGTTTGCTGCTCGTCCTGCTGCCCGAGCCAAGTCTCAACGACGAGCTTGGACTTCTCAATCTTTAACGTGTCAGTGATGGACGAGGGTACGCATACGTCACCTTCATCTGCGTGGGGTCCTCCATTCTCGTCTACGCGAAGACCACCCTCCGCGTCCGACGCGACGGCATCGGTCAAGAGAGGAGGTGCGTCCGCGTGCTCCTGTAAAGCTTGCTCTTGAGAGGCGCACTCGGACGCGGGCCTGTACTCAGTAACCATCGGGCTCGACAGGTGCCGAGGTCGGGGCCAATGGAAGGCTCGGGTGTAGCTGAAGATCGACCCACGCAGGGCAGCAAATTCAAGTACACAGGGAAGCTCATCTTCCACGAGCGCAAGAAGACAAGCCTTCTATAAGAATAAGCTGACTAGGCGAAGTCGAAGTCGAAGTCGAAGGCGAAAGTCGCCAAGGGTAGTCGAAGGTCCGCACGCGGTCGCGCAGACTTGGATGCCGGTCGTCAAGCGCCGTCAGAGCGAAGGGAGTCTCCAGAGTCGTGTAGAGTACGGAGAAAAAGGGATATTCAGATCCAGCAAGGGAGGTATGTGATACGGCTAGGAAGAATGGTGATGGTAGGATGCAAGAGGCGACCGCACGTGCGCAGCGTCAGAATTCCGATTCAATTCGGCAACTGCCATCATAATGTGCGTTTCGTACGTGGGGGGCGTCCTTTACAATACAAGTGTCCCCCCATATATGAGCCAAACCTATTGGGGGCCTTTTCACTGTACCTAAATGCCGCGCGAGAGGCAGTGGGTGATGTCCACGGAGGAATCAGGATATGCCGCCCAGCCTAATAGGTCGCGTCGAGCTCAATAGTTCATAACGCGGGATGGTCGACGTGAGCGAGGGGTGAGGTCCATAGCTGAGCTTCCGAGATATATTTTGAATACCTCGAACAAATATAAATACAGGCAACGGCGTGAGCTCAGGAGGACCGTGGCTCGGGGACCGGCTCCCCGATCTCTGTGCCTCTAGAAAAATTCTCAAGCGCAATCCGACACGCATTGTGGAAATGCGAGGTATACATGTATATGAGAAGTCGCGTACGTGGCGCGATATAGGGTGAAATGCGAGATATACAAGAACACTATAGCTGCATGTCCTCAGCGAGTAGATGGACAGGAATCGAATCAGCGTAATAACAATGGCTGTGTGAGCGCGTCGTGTCTATGGCGGCTTGAACGCCAGTGCGATACGAACACGTACTTTCAGGTTACATTCGAGAAAACAGTTCCAGCCGTACTAGTAATCGAAAAGACAAGTCGTGATGATGGAAACTACCGAGATTCATGCGAGCGGAAAAAGCATACAGAGGCAATCACGCCATTGGCGACAACGACGGCTGTTTAGTAGTCTGTATTCTAGTAAAAGTCCAAGAGTTTGTAAGCATCACGACGAGCGTGCGCCTGCACAAGCGCAAGCACAAGCACGAAGCACTCACCTCCGGACCTTGGAATTCGCCCCATGTCGGTATCAAATCTCCATCAATATCCTCGTCTGCTGTATACGCATTGGCGTAGAAGACGTCCAGAGGACGCAGGGAGACCCCCTCCTCGTCTTCCTGGTCGGAAACGCTCGGATGCCGGGATAGCGCCAATCTGCGGAGCGATTCCACGACTTCGTCCGCATCATTGTCGGGGAGTGAGAAGTCGATGGAGAGATAGCGCAGGTTGGGAAGTGGGCATAGTGCATTGGGTGGGGTATCGACGCCGTCGACAGGGACACCACCACGCGTGAGACCATCGAATATCTCGCTTGCAAGATCGTATTCCCATTGATCGTTCGACTCCAGACGAAGCCATTCTAGTTGCGGAAGCTTTCGGAGGATTTTGAGCACAGTAGAGTCAGGATATGCGTCGTCGATGGCGAGCTTGGAGAGCACTTCGGATTGCGAGACATTATCGAGCGCTTGTAGGAAAGCATCTGATTGTTCTGAATCGACAAGGAATTCTCTCAAGCGCATGAACTCGAGAACGGGTGCCTCGATGAACCCGAGACAGGTGAAACCGTCGCGACAAAAGTGGAGTTCGCGGAGTCTTGAGAAGTGATAGGGGAATGAATGCGGTATTACAGCGTCACATTCCAAAAGTTCCACTTTCAGCACCTCCAGCGTCGGTGTAACTTGCTCCAGTAGCTCCAGTAGAAGACAGGCAGGATCACTGCAATCGTACATGCACAGGCTCATATAGGATAGCCTCCAGCATTCTGGGAAGCGTGAGCGAACGGGGTTGCTGTAGCAAATATCCAAGTCCACACGACGGACATTCAGTGCATCGCGCAGATCGCTGAAGAGGAGGACCTCGCTAGATGGCTGATTGTCGTCATCGGCGCTCACTACCGGCCCCAGAAGGGCTCCCAACGTCTCTAGTGCCGCGCACGAGACGGAGTCTGGGAGGCAGCCGACGTTGTTGGGCTGCTCGATAAAAAGAGTGCGCCAGCGATGACTCTCTCAACGCAGCAGGTCCCATGCCAATGGGGTCGACGCATTCCAATACTTCCGCGGATGGAGCTTCACGTTGAGAGGGCTCTGCTTCGTGCGCCGAAGCTTGCACTCGAGAGCCGTTACCCCGTCCTTGGAGCATAGACTGGACCACAGCTGCGCAGTGTCGAGCGCGACGGAACGCCACACGCGACAGACGTCCGCGAAGTGATACCGATGATACCGATTAGAGAAACGTTCCCATGGAAGCTCAATGGGGGGCGGTGGAGTAGGGGCCACGAACACGAAGATCTCAGCGAGAATCTCGGGCGGCAGGCGTCTCCAGGGCGCCGTCATAGCCTTATTCAGGCGTATCTGCTCGTCCGCGTCGCGTAAGACCTGGTCGGCGTCGCGTAGGATCTGGTGTAATCGCGAGATTGCAGGGATGAGGGTGCTCTGTGTCTTCTCCATGTTCGCCGTCAGCTCCTCGAGGCGGGTTGTCAAGTCGCTTGTTAACGCGTTGTGATTTGTGCGATAGATGTCGAGGGTAGCCAGCCTCTGACTCTGAGATGTGAGGCCCTCGAGGGCCGCGGTGGCCTTCATGATGTGCTCCTGCAGATCGGCCTCGTGGTCGGTATCCACTACCAGCTCTCGAGGTTAGCTGCGCAGACCGGGCTCGAATGCATGACAACTGACTTTTGTGGTGTCTCTTCGAGTCTAAGGGGTTTCCCAGAGGACGGGCGACGTCGTGGACGCGGTGAAAACGTCGAAGATGAGGGGAGAAGACAAGCTCTCTTGGGCCGATCTAGGGCCGAGCGCAAAGTCACGATTACGTTAGGGCATGCAACGGTAGATCTGGTAAACTACCGGTTCAAAAACCGCGGTATTTCTGAACTCCGCCTACCGCGGTAGAATATTCCGGTCAAGCCGCGGTTTGCCGCGGTTGCCACGTGCTTCCTCGCTCACAGTACACCCACAAAGATAAACATGTCACCGTCGTTGCCATTCTGCCCGAAGTAGCCTCCCTTTCGACACGGCGAAGTTCGTAGAGGCCGAAGGTTATATAGAAGACTATGTTTATATAGCCTGTCGAGAATAAAAACTGGTTACTGGGAGCAAATTGCCGTCTCGAGAATATCCACAGCTCTCTTGATGTCGAAAGAAGGCAGCTTTGCGAGCGAGCCTACCACCATGGACGCGTTGAAGGTGTCGTGGCTCATCGAGGTCTGCATAAAGTTGACCTCTCTTCGGCCCTCGGAGAACGCGCGTTCGACATCAACGGTGGTGGCTATATTAGCGATGAGCATCAGCGAGACTATAGTTTAATGCTGGATGAACTCACCTGGGGCTGAGCAGTAGTTTGACGCAAAACGAGCGAGACGGGGGGTAGTTTCCCATTCCTGATGCCAATATGCGATGACACCGCCTCGTTGCTTGATGACCGCACTCGGGACGATCCCAGAGTCCAGGTAAGCAATGATATTGTCCTTCGATGGCAACGTAGGCGCCGGGCATGAGGTTTCCTTTGCCCGCGAACGGCGCAGCGAAGCCCAGCCAGCTTGCTGTCTTGGGGCCTAATTTTCTGTCAATGACACCAGCGTGAGATACACGATAGCCTACGCACCTCTGTGATCATCGTACTGATGTCTTGTGTATCGACTGATGCTGCGTCGGAGGGACGCGCTGCATAGGATTTCTCCCAGCGATCGACGACGAGCTTTCGCACAGATTCGATCTCGTCTTCGTCCCAATCACGGTCTCGGAACCACTGCAGTTTTTTGTCCGGCGACAAGGCTGAAAGGCCGGGCTTGAGCAACGGGAGAGATGGAGAAGGAAGGAGTCATGCTTACCGATCGCGATGCGGTATACCTCGCATTCGCTCGTCATTGAGAAATATTTGTTGGTCATGATCAAGCCGGCATGTGCGGCGATGCGAACGACGGGTGACGCGGGCTTCTTGTCGAGATTAAGTGGACTATCTCGGATGTTGGTCAGGTCCTCCTTGATGTCGTCGAGGACCTCAAGGACATCCGATATGAGAGGGATCTCCTTGCGCGAGAACGCCTCCGTCGCAGGTACGAAAATCTGAAAATCAGCGCATCAACAGATCAGCTTGCCTCGGGCATGGCAAGCACTCACTCGCAATAAGTCACGTAACTCTTTCGCAAGCTCCCACTGGCGCTGTGAAAGATGGTACGCTTGCAGCTTGAGGTCGCTTTGAGAGATTAGCGCCTCGACAGCCGCCTTGAGGACAAGGTAGTCATCCAGACACTTGTAATCGCTATTCCATCGTGTTGCTACACGGCGCGATATCGTATTGCGGTCGTCATTGTCTGGCGGCGCGCTTCGAACGAATTTTTCGAAAGCTACACCGAGCGTGGAGGGCGCATCGTTGATGCGTCGTGCGAGACCGGCCACCTAGAGCAAGCTGTCAGCACTCGAGTCGAGAAAGTGGACTTCAGGCTCACCTTTGTCATGATAGAGATGCTCTCCTTTGCCTGCGATTCCGTGAAAGTGACGCCCCGAATGCGCATCTCGAGAATGGCGCGATCCTTCACTGACTTGGCAGCGGCATCGTCGTGCTCGAGCTCACCCGTCGATGACTGCGCGACATCATCTTCGGCCTGAGCCGCGGCGGTCTGCGCGAGTTCCTCGTCCTCCGGGGACACCGGACCCTCTTCTTCGTCATCGTCCTCAGCGTTGGCGGTGTCCTCGGTCGCTGTGGATGTGCCGGCATCTTGCGAGGTGCCCGAGCGTTTTTTGCGCTTGTACTGCTTGTAGAAGAAGAGCAGTATGGCCTGATTTCGAGTTGTATAAGCGACGGGGATGGTCAAGTACAGGGTACACACCTTAGCAATGAGGTTGAGGATATGTAAGAGGCAGCGGAGGCGCCATGACGTGCCCTCGAAGGTGGGCAGTATATTACTGAGCTCCGTCGCGGTCGTGTTGCAGTTGCTTGCATTGTCCATGTTGAGAAGCATGAGCTGGAAGATTTTGAGTACGAAATTCCGACGACGCGACGCAGTACTTACCAGATGAGCGATATCATATCGTTCTAGGCAGTCGAGGATCTGTTTAGCCAAGTACTTGCCAGTATGGCTACTCTTGAGCCTTAGAGATGTCAGCAGGTCACAACGGCGGTAATGGCTGTGTATGACTTACTTAATGAACTCGAGTACACAGCGGTGCAGACCGCCATCCGCGTACCACTGCAGCACGAGGCCGAGCTCGCCCGTCGTTATTGGGCTCGTCCACCCATCAACCATAAGATGGAAGGGAAGATTGCGCTTCTGAGAAAGGCATGCACGTCAACATACTTGGGTTTCCCGCATGACACAACGTCTACTCACCCGCAGGTATTGGCTAAGGTCGGTTGCCATGCCTTCGTAGAGGCGCTTCACATCAGTGGATATGGTTGCGGGCGAAGGGAGAGGTGTTCCTGGGCGTAGCATTTGCACCTCCATGGCGTAGAACCTGTCTCTCACCATTTGGAACGGCCGATGGCTCGTCGCGGTGCGGAGTGCGAGGAGGGCACGATGGGCAGTGGGGGAGTAGAGGATGGGATCTCCGTTGATCCCGAGGTCTACGCCGCGGTCCTTATCGCACGCTTTCGCTGTCGAGATGAGCGCCTGCGTCCCGTCGGACGTGTGCATACGGCGACGCTTCACGACACGATGAGCGGGATGCTTGTACTTGCAGTGGAACTCGAAGATGATTTGGCGGTAAGTGGGGCTTCGAATATCATTATCACGGACGACCTTGGTGATGTAGTGACTATATACTGCCGAGCGGAAAGTGCTATGTGATGCGGCTGCGATCTCCAGGTCAGTACTCGCTCGCGCGCATGCAAGATTCGCGACGCACCAATGATATCCGTGTCAGGCATGTCCCACACTTCGAGATCAGTCCTCTTTGCAACGGAGTTCCTCGTCTTCCTCCTCTTCTTAGTCGGTCCTTCGAAGATGACAGGTGAATCCGGAGCTCGGCGTGCTTGTCCCACAACTGCCTGATCGGACGAGGGGGCACGATTTTCAGCGCCGTACATGGCGGGGTTGGGGGCGGGATATCCCGAGAATGCGGCATGATGTGGAGAGTGGTACTGAACGTAGGAGGGAGATGGTACTGCAGACGCGGGGGGAGAGGATGCGAAGGCGGACGAAAAAGAAGATGAGGAACCATGAGATGAAGTTTGTTGGAGAGATCGATGGCCTAGAGGATGACGTTGCATCTTGGAGGGGGAGGGCGAATGCGACGCGCAGGGACGAGCTGCAAGGGGACTTCGCGCTGATCGACGGAGGGATTGGGAGGGAAGGCAGACTGCTTCCATTGCGCATATATATATGATTGAGCTCAAGGCATGCAATGCGGTGCTGGCTGAGTGTACACGATGCTTGGTAAAGTCCTGAATAATCCAGTGAGAGCGATGAACGCGACTGTCGACGCGGTGGCGCGCGATGGCTGTGATGGCTGTGTCTGATAAGCCGGGACACGTGCCAACCGCGGTAAACCGCGGTTCATCCGTGTACCGTGAGAATCATAACCGCCCATTCGGAACCGCGAAATTGCGGTACGGATGCGGTATATACCGGTTTACCGTCTACCGTTGCATGCCCTAGAGCAGTCGCGTCAGCTAGCACTGAGCGTGCAAATCGCATGTATGAATGAACCAGCCACGTCACCCCCGCGCTAGCCAACTGCGAGCGCCGGCTCTTCTCGTAGTCGCCGACCTCACTTTCGTCTTGCGGCGGAAAACTCGCGCGATGACAGGCCTCTTCTGGGCGCGCGAGTTGTCCACCCTACAGCAAGATCAGTATTGCGAACGCGACATATGACGAGCACGAGCTACTCACGTAGCTATCCAGCACACGCGCCGCCTTTCCGTTCGGTCTCTGCATAGCGGGCGCGCTAGCCCGCGCGCGACTTTGCGTAGGAAGTTGACCGTAAAGCGACGATGCATGGACTGCGCAGCGTCAGCAGTCGACTGACGCATGAACTGCGCGACCTCACGCGAAGACACAGTGGTCGGACGGTGGCTGACGGACCGCTGGAGAGACACGGCGAACAGCGTAGCGCCGTCGTCCTTCGCGCCGTCGTCTTCTCGGCGGCCAGCGCAAGCCCATCGCTAAGCGCGCGCCCATCCAGGAGCGCACTAGGCCCTCCCCGCCGACCTCCTCCTGCATTGCTTCAGTATTCAGCGTCGCCACAGCGGACCTAGCGCCTGGCTCGTCTAGCTGCTCGATCCATTCCCCAACACAGCTGCGAGTGCTCAACCTTCAGCGCGTTAGCATCCAGCACTGGCACGGCTACATCACCTCCATCTGCGGGAGGCCCTTTGCCATCCAGGCGAGGATCATCCTCTGCACCCGATGCGAGAAGCGGAACCCCGCGGTAGTGAGAAACTCGTTCATATCACGAGGTCGGGACCAGCTGGTAGGTTCGAGCGAAGCGGAAGACACGCTGAACATGGCGGCAAGTCGAAAAACGCAAACAGGACCATTCTTTACAGAGACAATGGTAGCGGATGTGAAGAAGGTCAAGCAACGCCGGCAACCTCAGAATGAAGGTCGCGAAAGTGCAGCCGCATAGTTGCTCCCAAATCCGTCATCAAGCGCATGAGAACGGGAATCACGCCAGAGAGAAGTGCGCACCGGGGTCGATTGGACGAACGGGGGCAAGGAAGGGAGGAAGGCGACCAAGGGTGCATACGTAGGAACGCAAAATCGAACCGTGACAGTAATGGCTGCCTGCAAGGAACGACGACACGTGCGTCGCGGAAAAATTCGATCCGGCAAATGCCGAACATCAGAGTGTCACGCTCATTGATCAGAGCCATCAGCGGCGTATCCTGGCTCTTGTCTTCACCCGCCACCGTACAATCGCTGTTCGCTAGGCTTCAGGGCTGGTACATTTCATCGTCCCCCACCTGAGCCACTTTACAGACATGTACTCGACAACGCCACCGAGAAAGCTGAAGCGCACCGCGTCGACGCTGACGCCTGGCGCCACAACCTACGCGAAGCGTTTGCGCACTACGAGTGGTATGCTCGCGCGTACCGCCAGCATGGATGGTCTGCTATCTGCATCCACATCCAGAAGTGCTACACCCGCCCCCGCAGCGCCAGCCTACTACGGCAAGCCGTCCGAGGCGCCCCGCTTGCTGGCGGGTCCCGATGAAGCGGGCCTAGCGCTGGTAAAGTACCCACGGGCACGTGATGCGGAAAGTTGAACTGATGGATTACCAGATGCGGCGAGAGCTCGAATCCGCGAGTCCTAAAAAGCGTCATGGGCTTCGCAAGTCGAACTCGTTCCTCAGCGCCAGCGAGCTAACCGATTTTGACTCGGAATACGATCTTCCGCCCTCAAAACACCTCGGGCTGAAGAGATCGTCGTCGTTCTACAGCGAGCGCTCCGACTTTGGCTCGGAATATGACTTCCCGCCGCGCTCTGAGCTTGGCTCAGAATACGACTTTCAGGCCTCGCTCTCAACCTCTTCGAGGCGCGATCCCATCGATTCCCAGCCACCCGTCCTCTCCGAGATCAGCGCGTGCAAGCACCTACAGCCGACGGGCACCTCCTTCGATTACTCCCTCCCGCCCGGCTTCGACGCCTCCCTCCCCATCCCCCTCGCCTGCACCTTCTCCGACGTCGTCCTCTTCCCCCGCAAGAACCGCATCTACGGCAAGAACCTCACCACCGCCACCGCGCCCTCCCAGCTCGCCAAGATCCCCGAAAAGCACGGCGGGCTGACGATCCTCGCCGCCGCGGGCGCGGACCTCCCGCACCTCTTCGCGGCGGCGACGCAGAGGAACCAGATCTACGTGTACGACGTGAGCAAGCCAAACGAGCCCGTGACGTGGTTCGGCGCGGGCGCGGAGGTGGGCGCGATGGCGTGGAGCCACGCGGTGCTGACGGTCGGCGACGGCAAGGGGCGCATCCGGCACTACGACACGCGCATCGCGCCCGCGGGCCGCATGCGCGAGCAGGCGCGGCGGCTGATGCGGCACCAGGCGAAGGTGAGCGCGCTGGGGTACCACCGGCTGGGGAACAAGCTCGCGAGCGGGGACGCGGCGGGGACCGTGCTCGTGTGGGATATCCGCAAGCAGGACACGGCGCCGATGGACGTGGGCGAGTTCGTCCTGCGGAGGAAGAAGATACAGCATGAGGCGCCGATTTCGGTGGGTTTTCTCAGCTATGTACGTATCAAACCAGGGTACTGACCCTCCCTCAGTCGATCTCCTGGTCCCCGTTCGACTCGCAGACGTTCGTCACAGGCGACACATCCGGCATCATCCGCCGCTGGGACGTCACCGACAACACGCCCTCCAAGGACAACTCCTGCCTCCCGAAGGTCACCGACCACAAGCGCGCCGTGCTCGCGCTGATCCACGCGCCGTCTGGCTGCCGGGAGCTCTTGTCCGTGCACAGCGGCCCGTCCCTCCCTGCCGGTAGCCCGCTCGAGGAGCGCCGGCACTCCCTCCCCGACGATGCCCGCAGCTCTTCTCTCCCCGACTCCTCTCAATCCACCTCTCCAGCATCCCGTCGCCACTCTGGCGCCCCTCAGCCCAGTCCACTCGACGTGCGCGACCCCTGGACGGAGCCCTCCACCTCCACCTCCACCTCGCCCCCAGACCCCACCACCTCCTCCTCCTTCCCCTCCTCCTCCACCACCCCCCGCGCGCCCGACGCCGCCAACGCCGTCGTCGTGCACACGGGCAACCTCAGAAAGTACCTCGGCACGGTGCCCGTGGCGCCGCGCCCGCTCGCGGCCGCGGCGCTCGCGAGCGCGGGGCGGCGGATCGTGTTCGCGGTGGCGGATTGCGAGGCGGTGGGTGAGGGAGAGGCGGTGGGTGAGGGAGAGGCGGTGGGTGAGGGAGAGGCGGAGTTCCCGAGCGCGCGACAGGAGACCGACACGCAGCCGGGTGATGATGGGAGGCGGGGTGTGCGGGACGAGGGAGCGGCTGCGGCACTGGAGGGAGAGAAGGAGAAGGCGGGGAAGGGGATCAGGAAGGGCAAGATCGAAGTGTGGACGTGCTGGGGGAAGCCAAGGGCTGAGCCGCGGCGGACGATGTCGATGATGCTGCGGTGAAAGAGGCGTTCATATTCGATGCGAGGCATACGGGCGAGCGGTAGTCTTGTCAACCACCCTGACAAGGAGGAGAAGGCGTGTACGGTATCAGGATTAGATGTATTGTACATGTCGGTGTATCGGTAGGTGTATTTCTGGCGAATTTGGAAGGGCTGTGTCTGTACGTATGATTTGGAAGGGATATGTCTGTATGCATGGCCAAACATCAATCGGAGGCTATACATACATGGCCCAAGACCGATTGAAGGCTATGGATGGCCGAACATCGAGTGAAGGCTGTATATGGTACAACGGCGGCGGTAGAGTGTCTTCGCTGAGTCTACGGGTGACAGGGGGTGGAGTGGAGAGGGTGTCTATAGCTTGGCAGTGGTGGAAAGCGGCGCTCGACTGCAAGGATGACGAAGGAAGATGATCGGGCGGCGAAGGAGGCTGGTCGACGGAGGAAGGATAACTGAACGGCGAGGCGCGAATGAACAACGCGAGGCGCGATTGAACAACGCAAGGCGCGAATGAACAACGCAGGATGGCTCGATAACGAATGATGCTGCAAGTTGAGCGGCGAAGCATGAATGAACAACGCGAGCGGCGAATGAGATGCCAACTAGTCCCACCCCTGCTTCAGCGCCTAATCCCACCTCTGCTTCAGCGCCTAATCCCACCCCTGCTTCGGTGTCGGGCTCGAACACGCGCGCCGGTGCGTCGTGCGCTTGAGCACCGTGATGACCTTGTCGCTCAGCGAGCGCTTGTGCTTCTTCTTCGGGTTCCGATCGTGCACGCCCTGTCAAAGAGGTTAGGCGAGTTGTCCATCTCGACGAGGGTGAGCGTGTACATCTCGACGAGGGTGAGGGTGTACATCCCTACGAGGGTGAGAGTGTACATCCCGACGAGGGTGAGGGAAGGGAAGAAGGGATCGGAGAGCGAAGGAGGGAAGGGGGCGTGGTGTGGCTGGAGGGATTTGGATCGGCGGGGGGGAGCGTGAAGTGAAGTGGGAGGTTTGAATTGCGGGGGAGTGGATCGAAGGAGGGAAAGAGCAAGCAGGCTCACGTACGTAGATATCCAACACCTTCTCCGCCTTCGACGTGCATCCGGGCTTCCCGACGTAGAAACGGAGCGGGCCGTCCGCGCGTCGAGCAAAGCCATCTGCCCTCGCTAGTTGACCGACGTCGCCGTCCCTTCGACAAGACGAACCTCCGCCAGGTTGACGACCGTGAGCGCCGTCCTTAGGTGAGAGTCCCAATGAGCTGACTTGGGTGCTCTCGATCCCACCGAGAAGGTCCGGCATAGATCTCACGCCCTCTATCGCGTCGAGCAGTCCGCCATACGGGCTCTGGGTCCTCATTGCGCCGCAGTTATCCAGATCGAGACCAAGCGAAAGTCCCCTCACGTCCTCCGAAGACATCGCGTACTGACTCTCGACGTGTGGCGACGATCGACAGAAGAAAGGCTCTGGATATGGATGGCGGGAGGAGTCATTCGACCGGTCCGTCGAAGGCTCGGGCGACCCTGCGCGGCTCCAGGCGTCTTCTGCGACGCCGTCCTCGTATAGGAAGCACTGGAAGGTCATCGTGCGGGCGACCAAAAGAGGGTGGTGGGAGACTGGAGAGAGGAGGAGAGATCCAGTGGCACCTGCCGCGCGGCCTATAAGACGTACCCCGCCGCCGCTAAGGGTGGAACAAAGGCATAAAGGCTGCCTCGTGCAGCGGCGCCAATCTCATGTCGAGGGTTGAAAGGCAGTATGCGATTGGGAGTGACTCACTTCATTTAGAGCTGTTATTACTCAATGTAGACCGGTGAGATACTTGGCTTGGTACGCGTACGTCCTGAATGAGCTTGGGAGGGGAGGAACATCTGCAGTTGAACGCGCTCATTTCGCCAACGTAGTCGAACAGTATAGGTGCTGACTAGTATCAAAAAGATAATCGCTTTCCGAGTAGATGTATCCTATAGATATCCTTCACGCAGGAAGTCAGATCCCCGAGAGACGCATTGCACGAGCGCGCTGGTATAGAATACAGCAGAGCGCAAGGTCAGTGCGTGGGACAATTGACGATCGGCAGTTGCCGAGATAAAATTGGAATTTTGATGCGGCGCACGCGCGGTCGTCTCTTGCTTCCTGACCATCACCATCCTTCCTAGGCGCACTGCATACGCCCTCTGCTGGCTCCTCGTTTTCCCCTCCTCTCGATACTTTGAACTAGTCTTTTCCTTTCGCTCTGTGTGCTGACGACGGCGCTTGAAGACCGACCTCAAGGGCATTCAAGCCGGCGCGTCCGCTTCAAAAGATTTTACGACTGACTTTGGGGATTTTTGCCTTCAAGATCGCCAGCGCAGCATCTCCTCGTAGAACACTGTTCTTTCTCTTGTGCAAGATGGCCTTCTCTGTTATCCTCAAGCTGCTGCCCTGCATCGGCGGGTCTTCCGCTGCGCCCGAGGAGGAATCTTCCATCCGACCGCGACCCCGGCGCCCATCGAACCCAATGGTCATCGAGTACAAGCCCGCGTACGAGCGCGCCTCGCAGGAGCGCGCGGTCCCGCCTCCTTCCTCGACCGATGGCGATGCGTCCGGATCGGATGACGCCTTGCCCTCGGAGGAGGACGGTCCTCGCGCAGACGAAGGTGACGTATGCGTACCCGCGCGCATCGCTGACGCGTTGAAGGTCGAAAAGTCCAAGCACGCCGTCGAGGCCTGGCTCGAGCAGCAGGACGCGCTCCTCAAGGAGCAGCAAGAGCGGTACGTCCACGCGCAGTCGGATGCTGAAAGTCACACGGTAGGATCGCATGCCGGTCACGGCGGCGATGACGCGACAAGTCCGGACGACGACGCGACCAGCTCGGACGACGACGCGACCAGCTCGGACGACGACGCGACAAGTCCGGACGACGACGCGACCAGCTCGGACGACGATCAGGCGACGCTGCTCGCCGTACCTCTCGAGCGGCCCGTGCGCCACCGCCTCACGATCGACTCTCTGCGCGAGGTCGCGCGCTCGGTGCGCGGGTCGACCGCGATGGCCGCGCGGTCCGTGAACCGCCGCTTCACGGTCGACTCCCTGCGCGGGTCCAGCGCGCCCGAGATGCAGGGACCAAACGAGAAGGCCGCGCGCGTGCTGGATATCTACGTGAGTGCTTTGCTTGCGTGGTGTCGCGATCGTGTGTGCTGATGTTTCTGTAGGGTACCGAGAGCTCGCGGGTTGATAACGGAATCGGGAGCTCGCGCGCGCAGAAGAGCATCGGGCGCTCGCGCGCACACAAGACGTCTTTCTTCGCGCGCATCTTCCGCCGCAAGGTGAATGCGCAGGCCGGAGACCGCGAGAAGAAGCGGCGCTCGTTGTTTGACTGGTAGGTTGTATATCATGCTACGCTGTACTTGCTTAGCTAACATGCCTGCGTCAGAGATAGTCGCTGTAACAAACAGCGTCGGTCACTTCACAACAGCGCCCGACAATTCAGCCTACGACATACTGGCACCCTCGGTTGGATTCGCCGTCTGTCGCGCATACGAACTAACTTCTGGCCTTGCTTGCTGTACTGATATGGACTCTTCGCTCTGCTTTTCGTGTTGACACCTCAATGTTCTGCTGTACTACAAGATGATATGCCGGGAGATGGTGCAATGTATACGAGCGATGACTGGAATTCGAGGGCGACATGAGTATGCGGGAAGCAACGAGATGATAGGACGCCGAATCGAACAGCCATGGGAGTCTCGTCGAGAAAGTCCCCACGCAGCGATACGAGCTCCGCCAACTCACGTGGGGGTGACACAACGTACTCGTGACAATGCGCTCGGCTCCAGATCGGCTGAAGGCAGCTTGTCTTCTCCCCTCATTGTCGACGTTTTTAGAAGACCTCTACACTGCAGCCCGTTCTCTAGATCTCTTCTCCAGTGATACAAGACACCGCGAAAGTCAGTCAATGCGCTTTTCACACAGGTCTGCCCCGCTAACCTCGAACAGTGGATAGTCCCGACTGCGGTGACGAGCTCGTGGAGCACGTCATGAAAGCGACAGCCGCTCTCGAGGGGCTCGTAGCTCATAGCCAGAGGATGGCTACCATCGATATTTATCGAGTCAACGACCCCGACGTGCTCACGGGCGCCTACCGAGCTTGCCTCGATCAGCTGACGGCAAGGATGGAGATAGAGCAGAGCATCCTGCGCACCGCACTCTCCCTCTCGCACCAAGTCCTGCGCGACGCCGACGAGCAGATACGCCCGAACAAGGCTATGACCGCGCCCTGCAGGCGTCTTCCGCGATAGGTCCTTGCGGAGATCTTCTTGTTCGTAGCCTCTGATCCGCGCTATAGACTCCATCAGTGGGACTTCATCCATCGGTATGAGTTTGCGGAAGTCTGTCTAATGTGGCGATCCGTCGCGTTCGACACCGCGCGTCTGATATGCATGTGCTCCAAGAAGCTGGCCGCGACTCTCGAGCGCGAACTCTGGCGCACGAAACAGCATCCCCTCGATGTGGACCTTTACACGGTCGATATCGAGATACCGTCCAACCAAGAGGCATGGGAATTGCTGCGACGAGAGAGTCATCGATGGCGCACCCTTTCCTGCTCTGAGGCCTGCACCGTCAGCTGTCTTCGTGAACCCATCTCGTGCCCCGCGCTAGAGACGACAAAGGCTGAATTGATACTCCCGGATATGCCGCGCACCGCTGGCTACAGCAACCCCTCTGGCGAAATCCTTGTCTTCAGCCACGTACGCCATGCATTGAACGTCCGTCGTGTTGGCGTGTCGGTTATGGACCATTACGACCCAATGCGGATACGCTTTCCGGATTGCTGGCGCCTCACCCATCTGACGTTGACGATATTCTTTGGCGAGAACGTCATAAATCTTCTCCGGAAAGTCATGGAGCAGGTGTCACCGACTCTGGAGGTCCTCAGAATCTCTGTAGACGAGGGAATGGAGCTCACGAGGCCGACCAGTCCATTCGCTTATCCCTTCTCGAAACTCCGTAAGCTCGAGTTGCATCAGGAGGCTTTCTGCTTCATCACGCTCATTGAAGCACCCGTTCTCGCCTTTATGCGCGTCAAAGACGCAAATCTCGGCGAAATAGAGGACTCCGATAGCTTCCCGACGCTCTCGGAAGCGCTCGGGAAGGTCGCCGGGTTAAAGACGCTAGCCAAGCTCGAGCTGATTTGCGCAGATGTCGAAGATGCATCCGCATTGCTCGCCACCCTGCGGGAACTGCCCAGCATAGAATGGCTTCGTCTGGCGGACATTCCTCGTCATTCAGGATGCCTGCTCTCGCATGACATGCTCGCTGGCCTGACGCGTGGGGGCACTTCTGATGACAGCGTCGATACCCCACTCAACGCACTCTGCCCGCTTCCGAACCTCAGCACACTCTTCGTCTACTTCGAAGAATTTGACGCGGAGGATGAGGAAGCCGAGGTCGCGGCATCACTTCGCAGACTGGCGCTTTCCCGGCATCCGAGCGTCGTCCACCAGGAGGACGAGGGTAGCAACTCCCTGCGGCCTCTCGACGCCTTCCACGCTACATACGAAAGAGGAGAACACTTTGCTGCAGATGTAGTCCCATCCTGGGGCGAAAGATTTGAGGTGAGCAACTTGTGTTCAAGCTGGAGCTGCCCGCATGTCCGTATCAGGGTTCTGACCGAATGCGTAACAGGAGGATAAAGAATGGGACGAGGACTGATCTGCCGTCGCTCAGGAGAACATTCCCGGTTCTCTGTATCATTTCTTGGATCGACTGCGGAGAAATTTCAGCGTCCACGACCATCTCATGTCTCGTCTTCCCACCTAGGCCCAGAGCCTGACTCGTTTTCTTGGATCTATTTTGAAAGATGTAGCCGCATTCTTTGATCAAAGTAGAGATACCTGCATGACAGTTATCGTTGCGGCGGTTCGTTGCTGCCCGCCTGTATAAGTACAGTGTTACTCTCTTGTTGCACACTTCGTCCCTCGTACCGCCGCATACTCTCTCTGTGTTGTAGATTCCGACACCTCGGCGCGGCGCTCTGGATCCGCCCTGGTCGATGGGGTCGATAACTTTGCGACGCGTAGTCGATGCTTTGGTCATCCCCAGCTCCGCCATCCGTTCGATTGAATCTACACATATTCAACAACGGCGCTGCTGTCCCCCGGAACGCTTGAGAAATCGACTTAGCGGACCTGGGCCTATGTGCCCTCATCATTCCGCGTACCCTCCTCACAAAGCGCCCCGGCATCCAAATCCGTCTCCACGCTCTGCAGCGCCTCCACCTCGACGCCCCTCAGGACCTTCCTCACCGCTCTCGACCGCAGCATCACCCACAGCGCGCGCTGCAGCTTCTCTGGCACCCGCCCGCGCGCGTACCGCAGCGAAAATGCCGTGAGCCTCGGCACAAGCGGCGTGCGGAGGTCCGTGCACGCCAGGCGGACGAGGACGTGCCAGGGGACGCTATCGTCGGGCGCGCGCGCGATGCGGAGAGAAGTAAGGCCGGGGAGGCGCTCGAGACATTGGAGGAAGTCCTCGGGGTCCGGCGCGCCGACACGGTGGAGGAGGAGCGCCTGGATGGGCGGGCAAGTGTTCGAGGCGGCGAGCAGGCGGCGGAGGGAAGCCACGGCCCCAGCGTGCGCCCCGCAGGAGTCCCTTACTGCAAGTGAGGCCAGCGCAGGGGTGTCGAGGTGGCAGAGGTATCTGTGTGCGGTGTACTGCAGGCTGAGCGTGTTCAGGCGGGGACAGACGATGGGCTGCTTCGGGAGGGGGAAGTCTGGCGACGCCGGCTCGCTGACTAGCGTTAGCCTCTCGAGCGTCCCCGCGCACTGCGCGAGGATCGGGAAGAAGACAATATCTGCCACCGTGCCGCGCGCGCTCAGCGTAAGGTCCGTTAGACGGGGGAGAGGTGGGCTTCGAAACTCCGGCGAGTCACCAAAAAACAGGTCATACGGCATATGTATGGCCAGCGCGAGAAGCGCGGGTGCTTGAGAGAACACCATGAGCAGCTCCCGCTCGGGGTGCGTTGACCCCAGGAGGTGAACGTTGGCCCGCTCGAGCGAGAACAGATCGGGTTGAAGCTCCCTATCGAGCGTGCCCCTTTTAAGAGTGAGAGAGAGCTGACCCCATCGAGTGGTGCACTTTGGAGGGAGGGAAAGAAGGTTTTGGACGCGGCCATTCCTATCAGTCGAGTCATGGAGCTTGAGAGGAAGTGGGGATGCGAGATCGGCATGCATATCTAAGAGAGGCCGCAAATTTCCCAGCGAGCATCTCGTGTAGTCGACGTGCACCCACAGAGCTGGCGTCGCTCGCCGTCGCACGCCACGTAGCGCAGACGGAAGCCAGAGTACGCGCGGCATGCATCCAGAGGATGATTTCGTAGTGCAGTAGAGTCTCGAGAAAGATCTCTGAGAGGATCTCGCGCGGAAGTCGTCGGACAGGCGAGAGCATGGACCGGACGCAGTTGGGCGAGCGCTTCGTCTTGCAGAGCAGTCAGTCGGCGCATTTCGGCGCCGATGCGCTCGGACTCGGCAGACAAGCTGACCTCCAGGTCTCGAAAAGAAGATGTATTGTCGACAGAAGGGAATGGATCGGTGCGCAGGATGTCGCGCGAAGCGATAGTCGACGCGCGCTCGAAGAGGGCGTCATTGCGCTGCAGTCCAAATTGCTGGCCTGCCCTGGCACTCAGCACGCTAATCGGGTATATCTTAGCTTAAGAGTAATCTACCGTGATTTTCAAGCGGTGATTCGACAGTCATACTAGCGACGAGGGCATTCCGCGGAAAGTCCAAAGGTAAGCGCCGAAGGACGCCACAAAGCCCCGGCATCAGCCGAGCGCGTACCGGAACCTCGGGCCGAGGGACACGGCGCCTAAACGCGTGACGCAATCAGACTCCGCGCCTCGTGCCTGACGATCTTCATCTTTTCCTCCGCTCCAACGAGAGTTCATTGACGACCGGGTCATGCGTGCGAGACGCTCCTGCGTCTGCTGAGATACCCTTCCCTGATGAATGTACGTCGACCCCGATACAATCATATCCTAAACCCATAACGACCGCGAAAAACGATCGGTCGCGCCGGAGTCGCGTGCCGGAAACGGCTATGTTATTGTTCTCAGGCGGGGTCAATAGAGCGTTAGAACAAACCCTTGTGTTGATGCGACCCGACAACGCCTGTCAATCGATTTGTGGTCCTGCGCGTGTGGCGCGGGTGGCCATCTCATCTTGTTCTCGACTGACCATGGACCCCCAGCACGACGACATCCGCGACGACGCGCCTGCGCTCCGCGCCCACATAGACTGGAAGCCCGCGCCCCCCGGCGCGGAGGAACAGGCGAAGGTCGACCAGCTGCGGGAGAAGCGGAAGCAGCGCGAGCGGGAGCACTTTCAGAAGCTGCTGGCGGCGCACCGGAAGCTGCGCGAGGCGCAGGAGCGCGAGAGGGAGGGCGGGTCGACGCGCCACAGTTCGACGAGGAAGAGGAGCCACAAGAGCCACCGCAGCAGGGACGAGGGGAATGAGCGTAGGAAGAGTGGAAAGCATTCGAGGGGTGTGGAGGGCGATGACAAAGGCCATGGCAACGGTGGCGACGACGAGGAGCGGCGCAAGCGCCGCGCTGCTAAAGCTGCTAGGCGCGCAGAGGGGTCCACTCAAGATGCTCCTGGGCCCTCTTCTTCTCCCCGCCCTCGCGAGAAGGGCTCGAGGTCTCAGCATAGCAACGACGTCGAGCGTCCTAAGCATCGCTCCCGTCCCTCCACAAGCTCTGCCACGCACACAGACGATGTATCTCGGCCCTCCACATCCACCTCCGCTGCGGCCCGATCATCCACCTCTGCTGCTGCCCGCCCATCCACTTCGTCCTCTTCTCTGGCCGCTGCTCGCCTCTCGGTCGGGTCTACCTCCCTCTCAGTGGGCTCTACCTCCCTCTCAGTGGGCTCTACCTCCCTCTCAGTGGGCTCTACCACCCTTTCAGTCGGCTCTACCTCCGCACTCCGTCTGTCTTCAATCTCCCAGCCCAGCACCAATTCCTCCCAGTCTCGCCCCAGCGAGGACTCGCACGCCTCGCACGAGACCACTCAGTCGCGCGCTTCCCACGACACCACTCAGTCGCGCGCCTCCCACGCCTCCCACGAAACCCATGCATCGCACGACACCGCCGACTCCCGCACCAGCGACGACGTCCTCACCTCCGCCGAGGCGCGCGAGGAGCTCGACCGCGTGTTCTCGATGGCGCCGCACCTGTCGAGCCTGAATCGGATGGGCAGCCGGTCGAGTGCGCTTAATGAGAGTCGGTCGAGTGCGCTGAATGCGAGCCTCGTGCGGGCGAATACCACTGGGTCAGGGTCGAATCTCGCCCGCTCGAACACCGCCGTGAGCACGAGCTCCCTCTCGACAAAGGACCCCGACACCCTCACTCGCTCGAACACCGACGCCGCTAGCACCCTCGCCCACTCCGACACCACCAGCGCACACACCAGCCCCTACCTCATCCACCGCACGCCGCGCGCGCGCCCGGAGGGCGCGATATCGCGGTTCGCGGCGCGGCATCCGGTAGAGGGCGCGGCGAGGCATTTGGGGGAGGAAGAGAGGCCCGGGTATGCGGGAGAGGGCTCGGGGGGAAACGCGGGATATGCAGGTTCGACTTACGGTGGAAGGGGAGGCGCGGCGGGTGGAGGTGGGTACGTCGGTTCGACCTACGGGGGCGGCGGAGGGTCGACGTACGCTCGCAGTATCGCTGGAGGGGCGACCTACGGCGGTGGCGGGTCCACGTACGCTCGCAGTATCGCTGGAGGGGCGACCTACGGCGGCGGCGGGTTCACGTACGGCGGCGGCTACGCAGGCGCGACCTACGCCCGGTCCTGCGGCACCCTCCTCGACCACCCCGGCCGCGCGTCGACCGACGGCGCCTACCATCGGCCCCCTCCCGAGCGGCCCGCGCTGCACGGGGTGTACTCCGAGCGGCCCGCGCTGCACAGGGTGTACTCGGAGAGCGATTTCTCGCTCCCGCCGGACCCGTTTGACGACGAGGTGAGTTTTGTGAATTCTCGTTTTCACCCCCTAGCCCATCGCTTCCCCGTAATCCGTCGCGCCATCCGCTTCGCCCTCCGTCGCCTCCTCCGCTTCGCCCTCCGTCCCAGCGCTGACGCCCTCCCCTAGGAACCCTCCATAACGAAGCGCATCGTGGACAAGATGCGCTCGATCAGCAGCCTCAGGGCGCTGGCGAGGAAGGATAAGCGCTTTTAAGGCGTTCTGACTTCATCGCGTCTTTGAGGGTGTTTGGATTCGCCTCGCGAGGGCGTTTGTATTCGCCTTTCCGAGGGCGAGTCTAGCTCGTTTTCCGAGGCCGTTCTGTATTCATTGCGTCTTTAAGGCCGTCTACATTTGCCTCATCCATCTGGAATTTGTCTCTAATCTCATGCATAGACCTTACTTACATCTACATTATCCCGCTCACGTCTTCGTTCTACTCGACCCACTCACGCGCTCCCGGCTTGCTCGTGCACTTCCTACTTACTCACGCGCTTCCAGTCCGGTCTGACCACGTACTGCCCAAACCCGATCTACATACTGCATCTGTTCCTATCTCACCATTATAACCCGCATCTGCATCTCCGAGGACCATGATTACAGCTCCCGGATTGCTGCCCCCACTCTCACTACATCGTACATATTCCTAAACGGATCATATCTTGCCTTACTGCACATAGGATCGGCATTGTCTATATTATGTACAGCTCTAGCTCGCTCCTTAGATGTCTACGCATCAATGTGACTCTGAATGTTCGTGCCATGCGCCACGCTCCCGACATTGTGGGTCCAAGAAGCTCGGTACCGAATGAGGCAATTTTGCATATTCGGCATCTCCCGCGACTTTGTGGCGCTCCCTCCTTCTTTGCTCGCAACTTCCCCGTACATGCCGCCCCGTTGACGCTATGCTTGAGAATCGTCCTTGAGATGACTGAGGTGTGACTTTAATACATTTGCAGTGCGGAAACCATGCCCATTCGACGAGCAGAGCCCGATACCGCCTAAAAGCCATGTTTCGAGCGCGCGCCTCCCTGAACATCCAACGCGCAGGAGCATCCTTTTTACGCGGACGCCGGTCTACTCCACGGCCTCAGGATCTGTCTGAGCCGCGGAGAATAGGGTAAATTGGCGCGACAAACGAGTCAACTGCCGACAAAATTATCCGAACGCTGAGGACACTTGGCTTCGGGCGCCGGTTGACGCGCGTCCGTCGTCGGACAGGTCCTGCCAAAGTTATGTCTTGTCAGTCTTGACCTTCTAGATATCACATTCGCTCTTGGCAATCGCAGTCGCTGAAGGCCATCGAGCGGCTGCGCATCTAGCTGCGAATCCGCTCCCTATCTTCTGTGTATGTCTACGCTCGTCTTCTGGCCACATTCTCACCCAATCTCAGGTAAATCTTTTCCCCCAGCCGACCTCTATGCGTAGACAACTGCGCTATGCACCGGCCTCTGAAATTTCTCCTTCAGCATTGGTCCAAGTCCGCGCTCAAGTACGTTTGCCGACTAGGCATGTTTTTTCTTCACCCCGGCGCGCAGGAATGTTTAGTTTCTTAAATCCGGTATGTTCATCTCATTATCTCGATATGTCGAATCCCTGATTTTGAGATGTTTGTGTCCCGGTCTTTGTCGCTCGACGGGGCTAATCTGCTTCCGCAGGCTTATGCTTCCGCGGATCGAGATTAGGGGTATGACGCTACAGCCAAGCATATCGGACTCCAAGGAGACACAAAGGGCGATCTCATGCGCGCAAACCAATTCCTGCTCGTCGTATAAGCGAAGGTCTCCGCTCGCCATATAAGAGCCCGTCCGTGGTTCGCTGACAAGTCAATCTCGAGTTCCCTGACGGCGCGTCCTCTACCGCGCCACTTCTCATTGTCGCCTTTTGTCGATCCTCGCTCTTTTCTTGCGAATTTTCTCATTCGTCCGCGACCGCCGATTGCTGGTTCATTCGCGCTCGTCGACACCCACTTAGCCCTCACCTTCCCTCATTTATTACCTTTACCTACCGCCACCACCAGCACCCACCGTTCACTCTCATCAGCCTTCCCTCGATCACCGCCCCACCCGCCATGTCCATCTACGACGACAGCCCCGAGGCCCACGCGCGCCACCGCCGCAAGATGCGCGACGTGCAGAAGTGGACGCTCGAGCACACGCCGTACGAGGTCGGCGACCCGTTCTCGCCGGCGACACAGGTAGGCCCATTGCCTGCGACGCATGTTGGCCCATTGCCCACGACAGATGCGAACAATGTTGCCGTGGATAGGAATAGCTACTGGCCGCCGACTATTTCTGAGGCGGGGGCGGACGTGTCTACCTCTCGCGCGGGTGGCGGAGGGGCGCGCAGGCCCGCGCCTCAGCGCGTGCACACCGCACCGCAGGTGGCGGGAGGGATTCAGGTGGCGGGAGGGAGTCGCGTACCGCCTATGCCAGTCCCTCCTATGCCAGTACCGCCCGCGCCAACGGCGGTCCCGCCTCCGCCTCTGCTCCGCGTGCAGACCGCGCCTGTGTATCCGGTAGCGGGGATGGAGACGTATGGGCCGGCGGTGCGTAGACCAGCGACGACTGGTCAGCCGCCGACGACTGGTTATCCTCCGATGACTGGCTACCCACCGATGACTGGCTACCCACCGACGACTGGCTACCCGCCAATGGTCTCTCAACCACCCATTCCACGCACCCGCAAGCCCTCCAAGTCGACGCGCCCCGGTACGCCTATCCCCGGCGGGCCCACGATCAGCGGCCCCGGTGGGCCTACGCTCAGCGGCCCCGGTGGGCCTACGATCAGCGGCCCCGGTGGGCCTACGCTCAGCGGCCCCGGTGGGCCCACGATCACGGTCACCGCGCCGACGCCTCCCGCAAAGCTCACGACGCCTCCCGCGAAGCTCAGGAAGAAGACCTCGCTGGCGGCGCTGTTCAAGAGCTCGCGCACGAATCTTGCTACGCAGTCGACGCCGCAGCTGGTCGGGGCGTCTGAGGCGCAGCTGGTCGGGGCGTCTGGGGCGCAGCTGGTCGGGGCGTCTGGGGCGCAGCTGGTTGGGGCGTCTGGGGCGCAGCTGGTCGGGGCGTCCAAGGCGAATGTGGTGGATATTTCGCGCTCGTGGTACAAGACATCCAACGCGTCCACGACCCAGCTGGACCCCTCGCGTTCGTGGTACAAGCGCGCGCCAGAGGACACGGTCAAGCGCGCGCCTGTGGACACGGTCAAGCGCGCGCCGGCGGATGCGCCAAAGGTCGTCTACGTGAGTCTGTTCGCTGGTTCATACTGAGCGCTGGATGTTGACGATGTTTGTAAGGATTCACGCAAGGCGAAGGTCGGGACGGACCACCCGCTCAAGTCTTCTATGGACCACCCGGTCAAGTCTTCTATGGACCAACCGGTCAAGTCTTCTATGGACCACCCGCCGAGGTCTCCTACTAACACCAAGAAACCAGTGAAGAAGCTCGTCAAGGACATATTCAATATCGGTGGGAAGCCGGGCGAGCGCAGTGGAAGCAGGGCTCGCGAGCGCGCGCAGACCCTGCAGTCGGCGTCGAGCGATCAGCAAGCACAGCCGGGCCTCCAGCCGCAGTCGACGTCGGGCCTCCAGCCGCAGTCGACGTCGGGCCTCCAACCGCAGCTCGTGGTCCTGCCGCCGCTGGTGTCGGCTTTCCAACAGGATCCTGTGCCGACCTTTCAGCACGATGCTGTGCCGCTACCGTCGCATATCAAGGTCTTCCCGTCCCTGGAAAACGTCACGACTGTGGCTATCGACGCAGACAGTGGCTCTCATGACCGGCGCCATCTGTCGCGCTCTCGTGAGCGTCGTCACCGCGAGCGGTCGCGCGAGAGGCATCGGGAGCGCGGAGATGGACATCATAGTCACCGCTCGCCGACGCGGGATCGGCATCGCGAGGACCGCGAGGACCGCGGTCACCACAAGTCGTCGAGGCATCACGAGTCTTCTCGCCACCATGGATCTTCTCGCGATGAGCACAAGTCTCGCCGCCGCGATTTGTCTCGCGATGACCACAAGTCGTCCCGAGATGCTCATGGCTCGAGCGACCGCCATGGCTCCCATGATGGGCATCGCTCTGACCGTCATAGGCACAACCGGGATGGGTCCAAGCATCGCCATGCCCGGGAGGACAAGCTGCGCGAGCGCGAGCACAGGGCCCGCCACCACTAGCACTTGCGGGCGAGTAGTCGTGAGTAGGCGCAGGCTAAGGCGTTGGTGTACATGGTTTCTGAAATGATAATAAATGAGCATCATGATCAAGCAAGAACAGGGCTCGAACGCGAAAGTGAAAGACAGTCACGTGGAACGCGTGATCGCGTTCAGTGGCCGCTCGAAAACAAGTCCAAACAGCCCCTGTTGTTGCTTGCTTGCCACGTCCATGGGTGCTTGCCCTGCTGTTGGCGCTATCACTGCATCTGCTCATGTATTCCTCAATGCCTCGAGGTAGTTGAAGCCCCTCCAGCGTACCGCGTTGTAATCCTTGCTTCTCAATACTAGTACACTGTAACTCCGCACGACGCCCGGACAATGTCACTCTGTGGTCTTCTCGCTGTCTCCTCGTATGGCAACTATTTTGTCCAAAAACCCCTTTTTTGAGGCTTGAAGGGACACTTTACGCTGGCGGTACATTATCATTGGCACGGTCCATGGGACATTACCATCGGCGGGACACTGCCCGGTTAGGAGGTGCCTTGCGGCACTCTCGAGACACTAGGACGCTTGAAGGGGTCATTCATTGGCTCTCCTATACGTGATTAGAATGCTTAATGCAGAAAGTCAGCAGATTAACTATGCAACATGTCTTCTGCCTTTGACAGTGTGCTGCTTGCAGTCATCCTCGGGTACTGAAAAATGGTTTGCTACCCAAAATCTGTTTCAAGTTGGTGATTATCTCGTTGATAGGGTTACTTGAATTGCAGTCTAACAAGCTTGACGCCGGTGTGATCGAGAAACAGATTTACGCTCGATTGAGTAAGTTGTACTTGGAGGCTGGCCTACTCTCCGTATCATCCGATGCCCGATATCGTTGCGCTTGCAATCTGCGTCAACTAGCTTGACATAGATACAGGGAGATGAGGAAAACGAGTTCCCGGCTACCTTGATTCTCGTGGCATGGATCCGTCGGTATGTGTGCAGAATAGAAGACATGAATTTCGCAAGTCGAACCGTGTCGCGGAAAATGCCGCAAAGTCCCCGGGTCACCGGCAACGACGGCAAATCCCGAAAGGCGTGCTGTTACCCGCCTCGTCATGGGCTCTGCCTTTAGGGGACCCCGCACACGTCCCATCCGTAGATTCATCCTACAGTGTCCCACGAGTGCTCACCAGAGGAAGTGTCCTTACGAATGTACTGTTGTAAGTGCCCTCGGATTAGCGTACTACAAAAGCATGCTCACCGCACAATCCTTCACGTTGGTGAAGGTCTCGTGAGAGGGGAAAGCATTGGCAAATGCCAGGTTTAGGGACTCGTAGCAATGTAATGTCCCATCATAGACTCAGATCGCTAGCGACAATGTCAATCGTAAGTGTCCTGTCTCCCGCTCAAGTGTCCCACCTTAATTTTTGGACAAAATAGTTGCCATATCCTCGCTTGCTTCCATGGGTACCTCGCCCCGTCGGCAAGCGCCCCTAGTCTCTTCTTGGACGTCTGATTGGCCTCGAGTGCACTTGACTTCCAGGGGTGCGTGGTGGCTTCGCTAACTTTCCGTTTATTATAATTCTCTCGACCATATTCTGGTAAGCTACCTATCCACGCTCTGAAAGTTCTGCTCTCCATCTTAGACAGTAGCTCGCGATGTCAGTCTATCAGAGAGAACCCTCGGCACGACTGTGTAGTGTCCGTGACTTCCCATCGACCCAGTGGTATCCATCGGCGCCAAAGCGGCGTCGATAGCACGAGCACAGCCGCGAGGCTCGATTGCGGTTGGCGTATCGCACGGTGACTCACTGGATCCACTCCCCTGGCACACCAGATCCTCACTCCTTGCGTCGTCATGGGGCCTTTGAATAGGCACAGTGGCATTGAAGGGGAGTTAGCATGGAAGCGCAGGTCCATGGACTAGGGACTGTGGCTAAGCGCCAGTAAGCGCCGTGTCCCTACTCTCGACCGTCAGCTCTCGACGACCTCAGGAGACGCGCAGAGGCGCTGGTCCGCGAGGAGCACGCTAGGATATCCTGAAGAGGTGCGTACTACCGGCTTGCAGACGCGAAGGTATCGCTGACGTCTGCACCGAAGACGAAGTTCTTGGGTCTGCTGCGAGCAGAAAACGCTACACCTGCGACTCCTGAATCCCGCAAGCCGGCCTCTTGTTATGACGCACTACACCCTGCTTCAACTTCCTCACGGCGCCTTGAACCCATTACTCTCCTCGCGCTGGCCTCATCAAGACGCCGGGGACACTCTACCGCCCGGTCCGACCGCAGGTCTCGCTATCTGCGCGGTCATACCACACGCCTCGCCTGCCGATGAACACCCCGATGCCCCATCGCAATCTGTTTACGAGTCCGCCAGCGAAGATACCACGCTCCCATATACGCGCGAGTACGTCGCGGACCTGCGGCGCCAGCTTGACGAGGCTGAGGGCCAGCTTGTAGAGCTCAGGGGCGACGAAGTACGCGTGCGAGATGAGCAGGCGGAGCTCGACGCGCTCAGGATCCAGGTCGAGCACGCACGGGACGAGCAGGAGCGCGTACAAGAAGAGCAAGTGGATCGCATCTCCGAGCTTACCTGGGAGGTCTCCGTACGCGACGCGCGCATCCGGGAGTTAAACGAGACGAATGCGCGACTGGAGACCTCCTGCGCCACCCTCGCCGCCTCGCGCGATCGGCTGTCTGACGTGGTCGACGAGCTATCCGCGGAGCGAGCCAATCTGGAATATATCGTCGAAGAGCGACAGCAGCGCGTCGATGAGTTGGAGAGGCAGAATTGTGCGCTTGAGGCGTCCAATACGGAGCGGCAGGAGCAGATCCAGGCGCTGCAGGCGTCGACCGCGGAGCTCGAGAGCGCGGGTGCGGCCCTGAAGGACAAGATGAAGAAGGCGGTCAGGAAGTATAAGGAGCTTATGGAGGAGAAGGACACACTCGAAGCGCGGGTGACTGCTCTGACCGCGTCCAACGACGAGCGCGCGGCGCGTATCGCGTCGCTTGAGGCCCAGCTGCGCGACCTGAAAGCGGCAGACGTGACCTCGAAGCAGCGCATCGAGCAGCTAGAGAAGTACAGCGAAGAGAAGGAGCACGCCATCGCCCAGCTCCGGCACGAGCTCGCGGTGTTGACTGCAGTCGTGGAGGAGGTAAAGTCGGAGAACGCCGGTCTGACGGAGGAAAATGCGAGCCTGACGGCGGCGAATCGGGAACTCAAGTCAAGGATGGACGATCTCGAGGCTGAGCGGGCCGAGCTGGGCTCTTTGCGACTGGAAAAGGCGCGAGCGGACGCGGTCATCAGCGGGCTCGAGTTCGCGCTCGCCAATAAGGAGGGCAGGCTCGCGCAGCTTGACGCCACCGTCACCTCGTTGAGCGGCCAACTGGAGGCGAGGAAATCGGAGGAGGCGGAGGCGAGAGTGGAGATGGATGCGACCAACGAGCAGGTGGCTGCTCTGTTGGAGGAGCGCGAGGTCCTGACATCGCAGCTTGCCGACGCGCTGTTCCAGATCGAGGCGCTACGGGAGCCGCCGCTTGCGAGCGACGATGATATTGCGAGCGTCCTCAGCGAGATCAACCAGGCGATGCAGAGGATCGCTGAGGATATCGCTGCGAATGTCATGCCCATAGCCAGCTCTCCCGACGAGTCATCTGCCACGCGCGGCGTGTGCCAGCTCACCCCCCGCCTTCGAGCGCGACTCGGGCCGAGTTTGTATGCCGCTCTGACACAAGGCGACGTAGACGCTAGGCGCGCCGTGCTATCGCACGCGCTGCGGGCTATCCTAGCACATTGGGTCCGAGGTGTCGTCGGTCGCTGGTCGTTGACGGACGACGAGGAGAACCTGGCTCTGCGTCGCATGTACGAGAAGATCGTTGAGAACTGTGAGTCTCCCCTTTATCTTCTGGCCACACGTCCTGACTCGCGCGCAGACGACCCCCAAGTAGCCGGGAAGTGGCGCTCGCTTGCGCTGCGCGTGAGCGCGCGCGCCGAAGACACCCTATGCGCCGCGCTCGAGTCCTCGCTGCTCGAGAGCCTCGCCGCCGTGCTCACTTCCGCGCGCTTCGAGCGAGGACCTCGCGAAGACGCAGAGACCCTGGACGCACTTGTCGAATCTCTGGTCTGGAAGGTCGTTGAGCTTCGCGAACACATCGGCGTCGTCGTCACGGACCGCGAGCTTGCGCTTGTGCTGCCACGGCCCGGGGATCGCTTCGATGAGGCAACTATGCAGGTCACTCCCGCTACGTCCGTAGCACCTCTGCAGGAAGTCGAAGGGGATAGCGAGAAGGGTCGAGCGGGCGGGTGTGATGCGGTTGACGAGAGTAATGAAGGCGATCTGGTCGCAGAGGTTTCGTGTGCGGTTGCGTTGGGTCTTGTTCGATATCAAGGGACTATGCCTTTAACAGTGGTCAAGTCTCGAGTACTACAGCGGTAACGAACATGTCTCGGTGCATGCTCCTCCTTATTTCTTGAGTTGAACTCGTATATCATTGTATTATATACGTCGCACTTTCCCGGGCTGCTTCACTGTGAAGCTAGGACATATAAGATATTCTGTTGTAGGTGTATAAGCAGCAGTCCCTGTAATTTATATGTTACATTTGAGCTACCAGGTCTGAAGGAGAAGAAGCTGGGATTACTTCGTCGCCACTCAGTCACGAGCAAGTTGAACTCTGCACGTGACGCTTCGGGAAACACCGGGGTTGATCCCCAGTATCCCGAAGCACGGCTTGCTTCTGAACTTCATCTCGAATGCCTGGGACTCTGCGTCTGCCTCTCTCGCTTCTTCAATTGCAGATATAGACTTCAGGTGCGATTGAGCCTCTCGGCCTGTGCTCGGCTCGGACTTCGCGACCTACCGTTAATTAATCGCTACTGAACTTCGACCTCGGCACAACGTCGACACTGCTCGCAAGGCGGCCGCCCGAGCGTGCTTCTCTCCGCTATCGACAAACTAACCGCCTTCAACTGAATACCTCAGACCATCCTTTCCCACCGCTTCAGCGCATGACCCGAGGCGTTCCAGCCTACGCGGGCCTCCGGTTATCGGCCACGCTCCTTCTCGTCCGCGTTGCGCATTCAATGACTATCCGCGCCTACGCCGAGATGTATATGACCTGACGCCATCGTGGCATGCGCTCGTCTTCAGGCGTACACATCCCGGCGGTCTCCTTGGTGCGCGGGGCGAAGGAGGCCATACACCGCGCCGGGAGGTGAGATCAGCGTCCAGGCACGCTGCCAGCCGCGTATATAAGGACCCCGGGCAGCTCGCCTTCTCGAGGGTACCCACTGCTCGTCTCGTCTTCCCGGTACGTGCGCCCATGCCTCAGGTCCGATCGGATGGGGACTGATGGCCTCATTAGACCGACGAATCGTGCTATCCAGCGACATTCACGCTCTTTCTTCTTACCAGTCACCATGTTCTCTCCTCAGAAATTCGTGCTAGCGGTGCTGGCGCTCTTGGTGGCTTCAGTGGTGGCGACTCCCGTAAGTGACCGTGCTTGACGTCGTTCCCCTTGTACTGATTATCACCCGCAATCGATGCTTCCACTTCCCTCATGATCGCACGCTCGATATCTCATGCTTTTCCTTATACTTCCCACACGCATCGCGCACGCAAGATCGAAGAGCGCTACCAGGGACCGGCGAGGCAAGACTGGAAGAGGACGGCGGATGCGCAATGAATCAATCCCTTTGACTCGCTTCTACATCGCGAATGGCATAGGAAAACCGTTGGCGTCTCGGTCGAGTGTTTCGGCCCGATTTTCATATCTATCTTCGTACCCGCAGCCTTTGGCGGTACGCGCTGTATGTACGATTAATGCCTGCGAATTGGACAACTCTTGTCTGCTCGTAAAGGACTATGTTCGCCGACCGAGGGCAAGCGCGCGAGTTGGTACGTGGCTGGCATGCATGCAGAGTGGAGGCAGACGCAAACGCGGCAGCGCTCGGCGATAATGTAGTACTCCAAGACTAGAGGAAGCGGCGGCTGCGCATGACGGAGACTTTGCTTGCGAGGCAAGAGCTGGGTCCGAGCTCAGATAGGTCAAGCGTTGTTTGCACGTGTGTATCAAGGACGGCGAATAAAGGGTGTGCAAGAGATCTCGTAACTTCAAGCACGGTGTACGATTCTGAGATCGACTAAGGTAGATATCGAAGTACTGTACGCCAGTCTTCGGCCACGTCTCCAAGAGGATCAGGCATCGCCGTAGACCACCTCGGCGTGAGTGCTAGAAAGGAAATCAGCGACCACTTGCGCGCGCATACTCATGAACTTACCGTCGTTCGACACCCTTTATGCATTAGAAGATATGAATATCAGATGACAGGAAGTGCAGATGAAGTGTGCGCACGTTCTCGAGCCATCGGAGTTGCGCCTTCAGCTCTGTCAAGCCGAAGAGTAGGACAACATCGTAGTTGAGTTGATAGTAGATATGCCCATCCGCCGCGCGGCGAGGAGGCAGCCTGACCACCGCGCTAGTCACATCTGCGTTTACTGTGCAGAGAACACTAAAATTATCTTGCGTGGTAACAACATAAGCTGCGAACGAGGGACTGCTCTTGTCTGAACTCACTGCTGTCAACGTCCGTCCAGAGAGGATGATGCATCTCGCCTCGATAGACTTGGATGGGCGCGCTGATCGTGTATCGTTGAAAGGGCCCCAACTGATCGTGCAGCTGCATGAACGGCACTTTGAAGTCCTGCGTTTCCGTCACTTGAGTTCCCTTGTAAGCCGGTCAGTGCTTTGTCTATTAACCCGAGATCAGTATATGAGCAAAGGCTCACCACGTCGACAATAGGGAAAAAGCAGTCGGCGACGCGCTTGACGCCGTCTGTGCCAAAGTATGCCTTTTGATGTCGTTTCCTATGCTCCTTGTCCTTCTTCTGATACGCACGCGCACCATCCGTGCCGTACGTAAATCTGGCGACGCGTGCCGAGACGTGGTGATCGACGACGTAGAGTACACCTCCATCGGCGACGGCCTTGTTCCTGAAGATCAACCTTCGATGTTAGCCCTGATGACATGAGTGGATGCGACTCGCATATGGTTATCGGGTCTGCACACATCCAAGCCAAGTGGCGCCAGGGAGTCGCGCAGTTGACTGTACAGGAACGACGACGCGGCGAAGCCGCCAACAAGAAAGATGGACTAACAAAGCGTCAGCGCGTGCATCATGTACTTACCAAAAGCGTAGCCGTACCGATATCCCCGACTTCGCTTGCTTTCTCTGCTTCAATACCGCTTGCGAGATCGAGGTGATGGTCGGCAGGAAGAACTTGGCGACCTCCGACCTAATAATTGTCTTAGCCTGCCGTATCATGGACTCAACGACCGACTCGCTTACCCCTGTATGACCAGCTTTCCACTTTTAACGTCGTACGCAGCGTCGTTGTCGCTTATTCCGCCAAACTTGACGTACGAGGGGGTCTTAGCGTTCTTGAACGTGAGCTTGGTCGACTTGTCGAAGGCGTCGACGATGTCTTCTGTGCGCTCAGAGTACTTAGAGTTTCGCAAGCGCGCTAGCATTAAGGGTATAAGTAGTCGAAGGCACGCGCGACTTGGTGACATACCTTCGACATAGGCTTGCGCGTTGCGCTTCACCATGATTGCGCCCTTGAAGAGGCCTAGGAGCTTGGTCAGAAGCGCAGCGACGAAGCCCAAGCGGATGCTTACATTGCGCCGGGGTGATCTCGGTGTAGGACACGTCAGCCCCCTTCCGCACCTGCGCGTAGGCGCTCAAGTCGACGGTACCACCGCCGGCATCCACTATGACGACGCCCTTCCCGTCCTAGTCGCAAGTGAGTACATACACGCGCGACTTGAGATGAGCACAAACCTTCCATCAGGAAACGCCTCTGAGCTAGCGGGCCGCGTGCGAAGCTCTGCAGCGCTATGAACCTTCCTGCGAAGCTACGTAGCCTACATAGATCCCCGTAGACTCTTATAGCACCCGTTCTTGACCCTGTAGACCGCACATCACTATATAGCACCCTTGGTCAGTATGTAGCGTACATAGCTGGGTGTAGCGGCACACCAGTCTATCGAAGATTTGCGAGAGTTATAGGCCGCTATCGCACGGTTTGCGGAGACGTTGCCCTCTATCGCGGGATGTCGAGAAATTGGCCATAAAACTCGTTGCATTCACTGACTAGATACTTTTGACTCGGGGAATGATGCATATATGTATGGCAGCCAACAAACTACGTGCTCACTCGAAGCCAGCCCATCGGATGGAACTACTGAACAAAGGAGGGAAGACAGTCGAAGACCGCACACAATCGAGGACAGACGATGGCCTACAGTCAGATACAGGAATTCTATTTGAGTGAAGCAGCGCGAAGACGCCAGCGAAGCTAATGACGAAACTGAAAACTCCCAAAGATCTGTCGCGTCTTCGAGGCATATGAGCACACACCAAAAGTCACTGCGAGAGACGTCCGCATCCCTGCCGGAAAAAGGCTGGTAGGTTGGACCTCATGCTGGAGAAAAAATAAGCTCGATGCAGATCAGAAAAAGATACGAAGCCGTCGACTCGCCAAATAACGACGTACACAACGCGAACAAGCGAACGACGCGAGATGGCAAGAGGGAAGAAGCGCGGGTCGGCGTCCACGCCGCCGAACGGCCCGGGACGACACGTGGTGTCCCATATTTGCCCGATCGCGAACGCGAACACGTCTCGCTCTCGACCACCACCTCACTGTCGCCGTCCTGCTTCGTTGCTCGCCAATGCCCGACCATCCGACGTCAAGACAAGTTTTGGTTGAGTACTCGCGCAGTGCGTCAGGTTGATCAGCAACTAGAGTATCACCACCGCTGCCGCCGAAGTGAACAATCGCCGCGCCCTCGATTGGCCTACAATACACTTCGACCAGTGCTACTACGCCCCAACCGCAAGATATCGACGGCCTTATGCAATGCTCGCTCTGCTGATAGCAAGCCTGCGACCATATTCGACATACAATGCCCAAGTCCGCGCGGGTTCATCCGGAGGGCGTATCGTGGCGCTTGTCTGACAAACCGTCGCCGTTGGCCGTGCTCGTGATCATTCACCTGGTGAGTCTGAGGCTCGTCTGAGAAAGATATGCGCTCACTATCCGGTATAGGCTCTTCCCTTGGACCATCGCTAGCTCAGCCGCTCGACGACCTCGCGCGCACGCAGCATAGGTACACACCATCCACGTAAAACCCTCCCGCATTCTGTCCATGTTCTTCATCTCCCTCCGTGTTCCCCTGAGTATCGTGCTTCTCCCTGTCGACCTTACCTCATTGTCCAACACGGTCTACCCGAAGTGCGCGACTTAAAGCAACCAGCGCTCCCCCGCAATTTTTCCAGTGACTGCGCTTAGATCACCGTTTCGATGTCTGGCCTAACCGTCTTTGAGCAGTCTGATGGCGACTCCCCAAACTAGACTGGGCTGGATCATCTGTGGATTGCCGGGCTCGGACGAGGGTTGGGGCGCGTAGTGCCGCTCCATAACACGCTATCTGTATACCTAGTAGAGATTTGCTGTCAGTATTCCCAGTAGTACTTGCTGCAATGAATATTTATACTATTCAATGTGCCCGAAAGCAGTGAAACAGACGAAAGCCGAAGCAGCCTGTAGTTTTGTGCGTAGCTATGTAGTACAAGGGGTGGCTATAGCTGCTATGAGCGAGATACGGGAGTTACGCGCAAGGATATGAGATGTTATGAGGTGCTATGTAGCGCTACAGGAGACGTCGCCACTGCTAAGTAGGCTATCTAAAGGGGTATCTGTCTATCCGTCTAGGCCCGCTACATAGCACCTGTAGACGGACATAGATACTGAGTTTTTTCCTGATGTCATACCATCCACGACGAGCCCTTTGCTCAGGCAGAAGTGGAGGCTGGCCTCGCCCTCGGTCACGAAGCTAACGCGGCCCTTCCCCTCGTCGCTGTCTGCCACGAGGCCTCCTTGCACGGCGGCTTGACGCATGAGCGACTGCTGCTGCCCCTCCCAGCCATTCGGATGCGTCAGAACGAAGTCGATGTTGTTCGCGATCGTGACCCAGAACTTCGCACCGGTTGGGTGAGTCTCCTTGATGTACGTGCGCGCACAGTCGAAGAGATAAGACAAGAAGTCGGCGAAGACGTCGACGACGGACTTGTTGGGGGGCAGAGGGGGCAGCGTCGCTAGCGCGGGATCGGGGTCGGATCCGCGAGGCCGAAGGTGCAGCTTGAACCTGGGATGGTTGAGTTTCGAAAGTCTACGGGGCGAAACCGAAGGACGACGTACCACTCGGACTTGTACCACCCCTCTTCGAAAGCCATCTCCATTATGTCCTCCTGCAGAGTCTCGGCGCCAGCTGCGCGAACTTTGCCCTGCTTGTCGTACAGCAGCACCGAGGGAATCTTAGAGTCTCCGCCAGCGTGCTCTTGAGCGGGAAACCTGAGGACGATTGAGTTCTGAGCGGAGACGCTCGCCTGAGTGAACACACCGATTGACCCCGCATACTTGGGGTACCTGTCCAGGATCGAGGATACTATGGTGCTTGCGTGAGCAGCACAGAACGCAGAACTAGCGAGTAAGTGCATACCTGTATGAGACGCCGCTGAAAGTCGTGCCGACATCGATCGCAATGATGAGCTTGCGAGACTTACCAGCGTACGGCTTTCTAGCGTTCATGGTGGGGAAAGGTAGAGAACGGTTGGAAAGCTGGGGCACACCGTACGGGCGTGCGTCAAGGGAGCTTGAGCGGGTGCTTCTGGGCTACTAGGATGTCGGAAGTTTGAAGGTGGGCGATAGGCGTCTCATCATCCTTGTCTCCCACCCTCATTAGCCATCGCGTGCAGGTTGTCGGCCATCGCGCTGTATATGAAGACACTCGGGAAGCTGTTATACGTCTTCTCTCCAGGTATTATGAGGCCTCAGGAGAACACTGGAATGCCAGGGTGAGTCAGATAGCCAGACTTTCAGGCCGCCAGAACTTACGCGTATACGTAAGAAGGGCGGAAGACGGAGCGAAAGGGCTTGGGCCTCCCTCGGAGCTGCCTCGCGTCGTGCAGTCGAAGAAAGGGCCGCCAGCAGAGTCGGCGACGAGCACACCGCCAGCCAGGCTTCCCTCGTACGCGGGAGTCGCGACGGTGAAGCCCTCGGCGATCCCCCCTCAGGTCCGCCACTCGAACGGTACGGCGCCTGGGTCGACACCGCCAGGGCGCCAAACGGACGACGGCGAAGTCGCGCATCTGCGACGAGCTCTCGAAGCAGCGCGCAAGGAGTCAGAGCAGCGCTTTGCCGCCCTTCAAGACGCAGAGCAGCGTCATGCGCAACACATTCATCATGTCGAGTCGGAAAGTCGCGCACAGAACAAGAGGCTTCTGGGAATAATGGCGACGGAGCGCGAACGCGCGGCGCGGGCGGAGGCGGAACTCAAGGGCACGCGCCAGCTCCTGCAAGCGCGCACCACAGAGCTCGCGGCCGCGCAGGCCTTCTTTGGCCCGGCCGATGAGCTGTCCGAGCGCGACATCGCGACTCGTGTGGAGACGCTCAACGAGGAGATCTTCCAGCTCTCCGCGCAACTCGCTGACAGCGTGCAGCTGGCGACCGTCGGACGTGGCACGGTAGAAGCACAAGAGGTTGCTAGTAAAGCGATTGGCGAGTATATTTGTAAAGGGCTTTCTAGCGGCGAAGAAGACGCTCGGCTGGGTCTGCTTCAGGTAGCCATGCAGGCTGCTGCTACGCACTGGAGTCAGACACATATCCAGCGATGGACCGAGAATATATATGTTGACAGGTACGCGAGGCATCTGCACAAGATTGTACGCCAGAGCGGTAAGTCTTCATACGAATGCGTGATCGATGGACTTATACCTTCAATAGAGAAACCCGACGTAGCGAAGCGCTGGAGAGTCATCACACAGAAGAGTCTCCTCGCATCCGACGGAGATGATGAGATCAAACTTGTTACTTCCCTCTGCAACGCGGTCGATGTCGTGACCAAGGCGGCTGCATGCGTCCCGAAGAATGTCAAAGGCGACGCCGACCTCCAGCAGGCACTCCAAGAGGGAGCCCAGGCCGTCGTTCGCCTGACACTGCAGCTGCGACGCGATATCAGCATTGGTATCACGTCCACTCAGCTCAGCACCATTCACCCTCGCCCCGGCCAAGCCTACTACAGCGCGACCATGGAGGTCGAAGACGCTGCTCAGAAGCGCAAAGGCAGTACTGTTGGGTGCGGTATCTCATTGGGGCTCGTCAGAGACCAGGGGACGTCGCAGAAACATACCCTGATCAAGTCCGACGTCTTCATTGTCCCCGAATAGCGCTCGCCGTTTGTTCCGAGGTAGATACATATTGAGAGTTCTCGTATTCCCCCGCTATGCTCTGCTTAAAGTCCTACATCGTGCGCTGGAGCAGCTACTTCAAGTCGTCGGTCGATTGTGTGTGCGAGGTCTGTGCATGGAAGTCGGGAACAAGCGCCATTCGGCGATTTCCGGTTTCGGACCCACAACTTGTTTACGTAATATGTACAGTCCCCCAGCTTTCGGTTCTATTGTCTAGGATGACAATCGCCTACAATAATTCCAAGGATATACTTGTCCACCTATCGCTATCCTGCGACATGCGGTAGCGAAAAGAAAATACTGCTAGTCGCACCAGCCTCTCGCCTTCCACCTTCGCGCGCGAAAGAGCCATACGTCGTGCCGCGGGTATCAGAGCATCGTCCTCGGCGACAGGACAATGGACAGTAACGGTCATTGTGGTCAGATTCGGAAGAGGGCAAAGGTGGTCATGATCTATGACTTTGTCGTCGGCGTCGACACCACCGCGTGTCAGGCGCTCAAAGAGCTCCCGTGTGACGAGCTTGCCCGAATATTCGTGGCCGCTCTCCAGCATCCGAAGGCATTCGAGGTTGGTGAGTTCGTTCAGGGTGTCGATGAGCGAATCTGTTGACCAAGATACATTGCGGAGATGGAGCTCCCGAAGACTCTTGAAGCAGGACACGTACTGCGCGGTAGAAAGGATATCCGGGAACGGTGCGTTGCATAAATCCTCCAGGTGCTGTACGATGTGCAAGAAGCGTAGCTTTGGTGCTTTAACGTGCCGAATGAGTTGCGAACCGTGGGTACCACAGATCAGTTCAGTCAGCTGCGGCAAAGAAAGGCCGGGCCCAAGGGGCATCAATCCCGGCTCTGTTCTCCCGATAGCAAAGTCAAGCGTCTCCAGGGTGCGGGAATATTGCTGGACCATGGGCAGTAGGCGCCTTACGTCCTCGCAGTATCCGAACTGTACGAGGAGGGCCGACAATCTCCAGCTTGAGGGAAGGCACATTCGATACGACCCCCTAGCAGTAGCAACGCGGATTTCCACGGTACGCAGGAGGGGCGCGTCTTCCAACATGGAAAACAGCATCCTCGTGTTATCATTGGTGTTTTCAGAGCGCCCGAGCTTCAGCCATGGGTCCTTGAAGGAGATGGAGACCAAGGACGAACAGACAAGAGGCTGGGGATTGATGTGCTGCAGTGCTCCGCCAGCGAGATAGACAGTCAGCGCGCGCCAGCGATTGCTCTGCGATGCTAGAATGGCCCACGACCTAGTCGGCTGACGGTCTCCAAGTGGCTGTTGGAGCGTAACATCGATCGGGCGGTCGCGTGTAAGCTGCAATTCGCGCGCGAAGAGGTTTTGCCAATTGTCACTTCCATTGAGCCAGAATGAGACGTTCGACCAGAGTTGGGGCGTGGCGAGGGCCAACTCACGCCACGCATGGCAGACGCGCGCGAAACTGCGACACAGGCGGACTTCATGGAGGCGGAGAAGGTGGCTATCCGCGACGACGATTAGGAAGATCTGGGATAAGAGCTCGGGAGGAACACGTCGGACCGGGGCGACAAAGGCTTTGTTGAGATCCTTCTGGCGTTCAGCGCGGTCCACCAGATCCTCCAGATCTGGTAGGCCACTCGAGATAGGCCGAAGGATCGCCTCCCCTTCCTCGAAGACTTCGATGGACTGCGCGACAAAGCGGCCGAGACCCGGGTCCGAAGGAGAGTAGGCGGGACCACTGCGGAAGGCATCTATAGTCACCGTCTTCGAGCAGCTTTCCAGATGAGAACGCAGAGAGGCTATCGCCTCGTGGACCCTTGGCGACGCCCAAATAAACGATGAAGCCACTGTGAGCTACTCTGTTAGCGTGACCACGCACCACCGGTTTCTGACACTCACTTGTGGTTGAGCACGTCGAAAGACGGGAAGAGGAGGAGTTTGTTTCTGATAGCGGATGCCGACGATTTATGTAGTGAACCCGGCAACAACAAAAGCACTGGGAGGTCAATGCAAATGTCGTGGCTGTGCGCGCTGCATCGTTTTGTCGATTCTTGCATATCAATAAGCTTCCCCTTGTCTACCTGTCTATGCATGGATCATCGTGAGGTGAGATAGACCACATTGAAAGTCGGCCTCGTTCGAGATCCTCGAGCTCGCGCAAGTCCTTGGTCGTCGAGGTGTTATTTGTCAGGCGTCTCGCAAGTACACATCATCTACTAGTCAAGTCACTCCATTGATGATTAGAGGCATACACAGCGGCATGACCAGGTTCTCTTGGCAATGGGACAAAGAGGTCTGATGAGCGCAGCCAGCAAGCGACAAAAGATAACGCCACATATTTCTCGGCCCTCGCTGCTTAGCATCGTGACCATGTCACGCTGGACCCACAAAGAGTGACAAATGTGCTCAACACTGGCAACTCGGTGACGCTCCTGGGGCAGTTTCTATCTACATCAATGATTTTGCCTATAAGACCTTATACTACAATCTTTTTGCAATATGCTTCTTCTGCTTCCTCCATATATCCGTCGTTCTCGTTGTCTGCGGATCTCGAAATTGGGACATGAAAGTAGTCAGCCCGGCCTTGACGCGCGAGTCGGCCATCTCGCGAAGCAATTCAATCAACTCCACGTCACTTTCGGCCGCAAAGCTAAGCGTGATATGCATTTTCTCTAGCTTCATCAAAAAGGTCCAGTTACGCTTGGGCACTAGCGTACACTCATGGGGCTTCATGTTTTGGAGAAGCGTCTTCGTCACGAGCTTTCCGAGATATTTTTCATCCGATTCATCGAGTTTGAGGAGTTTGAGAGCATTTAACTCGCTGAGGACTTGCAGGAGCGAGTCGGTCGGCCATTCCACGTTCGAAATCGAAAGGCTGGTGAGATGAATGTAAGTCTTGACGCGATCAGCCACCGAAGGGAGAGGTTCAGGGGTTTTGTCGACGTTGGCGACTTCGTTGGTCTTTCCGGCGATGTCGTTAGCTTTCCTGGCGGTGTCTTCGGTCTTTACAGCGGCATCGGTGCTGACCGTGTTGTAGTTGCAGTCAGTCAAGACCCCCGGGTGTTCGTAGATTGTCAGGCTCTTGAGTTGGATAGCCTTGATGCACGATATCAACGGTGTTGCGTCGAGTCGGCACGATAGCTCCGTGAGCTTTTGCATGGAAATTAGGGTCGCATGTGTGCCGAGTTTTCCGTCCCCTCGAGCCCACATCTTGGTAATAGCGAAGTTCAATCTCTCTAGCGTGTTCGCCTGTTGCTTCAAGATGGGAAGAAAGCGCGTGGCGTCGCCACAATCATCGAAGCAAAGCGATAAATCGGTCAGGTGCCAACTTTCGAGGAAGCACACTTTTTGTTTCCGTCCTCCCCCGACAGTATTCACCTTTATCTGAACAATGCGGAGCGCTGTCGCATTGGAGATTACTGTGAGAAATAGGCGGGGAAGATCGTATTTGGGATCTGTATCAGAGGGATCTGGACTCAAGAAGCTGTGGTTCAAGTATAAGGCCTCCAGTGACTGGCAATCGAGTGGTTGATCTGAAGGCGTCATGATGCGAAACTCCTGAGAATTAATCTCCAATGTCAGTGATCGCCAGCGCTTGCTCTGCTTCTTGAGAAGTTCCCAGGACTCGGTTGGTCCTTTGATCGTCTGAAATCCAGTTTTCGATTTCAATTGACGGAGGCGGACGTCGAGCGGAAACTTGCCCGTGAGTTCGAGTTCATGCGCAAAAATCTCGTACTGTGTTGCTGTCTCGGTATCCCAGAGCGTGAAGGTCGTGCACAATCCTGGCGTATTGAGCGCCACAGCTCGCCATCTGTCGCAAACGCGAGTGAAGTTATAAAGGTGGCTGACGTAAGTGGGTCTGCCGAGTTCACGCTCACGCGCGGCGACGAGGAGGAAGATCTTGGAAAGGATCGACTGGGGTAGGCGGTGGTGCGCAGAGAGCAGCGCGGTGTTGTGGGTTATCTGAAGTTTGGCGCGTTGTAGCAGGTCTTGAAGAGGGGCAATAAGGGATTGTAGGTGGTCTGCCTGGCGCTCGATTTCCGTATTGTACCTCTCGACTGACGCTGCGAGCTTTGGGTCGGAGGGAGAGCGAGTGAGGTTACTGCGTGGTGTCTCGACTTTCAGGTACTTCGAGGACTGGTACAAGGCGGATCGCAACGTTTCAACCGCCTCTCGGAGCGCTTGGGGAGAGGGGACGATATCGGCGGTCGAGGCGAGAGGGATCATATTATGTGGCGACGATACGTGTGACAGGATGGTGAGCGAGCAAGAAAGAGAGGGAAAGTCTCATCATCCTTTATATATCGAGTAGCGGAGTAGCAATGAGGGAAAAGGACAAGCCGTGATTGATATTTGTCCATTAGAGCCACGTGAAATTATGACCTTTGCTCGAACGCCACAAATGTCGTGCGCCGACGTTATTCGGCAGACATCCCGAGGCCCTTCTTGTTTTTCTCTTCCATCATCAAGCTTGAGGCTTACTTACCAGTCGTGAAAAAATCAATGAAGGACCAGCCAATGAGGCATCCATACACCTTCCGCCTCGCACGAGAATCGTGATCCTTCAGGAAGGAGCGCGCTAAAGCAGGTCTCTCTCTTCTTACGGTGCTACTCATAGAGCGGAATCAAGCCGCCGTTCTCTTCTTCTAGTAGAACTCTCGCTGAAGTACGTACTGTGCTTCCTCGGAACTCAGGTACGCCGCCATAGTTCTAAAGTTACATCAAACGCGCCTTGGGTTATTTCTCGAGATGCGAAATGGAAAGCTTAGGGATGTCTCTCTCAGGGACATCATTGAATTTCCTGAGTGAGTTTCTGCGTCAGTTCTCGCTACCTATTCAACTACTGACTGTTCAACAGCCTTACCTGCTCGAGTTGAACAATGCCCACGTGAAGAACTCGGAAATTTCCGATTTCCAATTCGGTGGTCGGCGTTCGGCCATCTGGCGCGCCGCGCGCCAAGGCAGTAGACAGTACGCGCTGCCTCGTTCCTTGCTCTCATCGCAGACCAGACAATCATGGCCCTCCTGCGCATTCGGTTCGCTGGAGCGAAGGACCTCGTCGACGGAGGTGAGTGTCCGTGACATGTGGACCCCCTTTCCTTTTAGTATTGATCAACGCCGCGATGCAGTGCACTCTGTGACGCGTTCCGCCCGGTAGCTTGGGCCGGCCGCGCCCCGCCTCCAGCTTGACAAGAACAACGAGGGGCCCGCCAGTCCAGCGGGTGGCTTCCTAATTTCGACACTCTATTCCTTTCCATCCTACACGATCCTCTATCCTTCTCGGTCAGGACAGCTTTCGGCGTAATGAGAGGCGCTTTCCTGGCGGCCCTGACGACCCTCGCCCTCGAGGCGAGCGCGTACCATGTCCGCATGCAAGGGCGGATGCGTTCCCCCGCGGATGCACCACTCGCACGGCGGGGAAACTTGGCGGGCTCGTCGCCGCTCACGAACTCGGCGGACATCAGCTACTACACGAACGTGACGCTGGGCGGGGACGACTACGAGGTCCTGATCGACACGGGCAGGTGCGTGCCCGCATCCTCAGGATCGACATCTTGCTGATCTGTGCGGTATACAGCTCGGACTTGTGGGTCGCAGGCAGCGTGAACAACGCCAAGGATACGGGCAAGAAGAGCGGCGTCACGTACGCCGTCGGTGCGGTCGAAGGTGCGCTAGCTCGTTCCTCTCTCATTCTCCCCCCGCTTACCCACCCCCTCAAGGGCCTATCAAGACCGCCGAGCTCGAGTTCGCTGGCTTCACCATCCCCGATCAGGCGTATAGTGCGTGTCGTTCCCCCCAACTCGCCCCCGCCTAACCGCTTTACAGTCGAGGTCACCCCCGACAAGGAAAACCCAAAGGACAAGGGCCTCATTGGCCTGGGACCCAACTCGGGCTCCAATGTCTACGTCGAGCTCGGGAGCGACAAGGGCATGGCCGTCCTCGACAGCATCTTCACGCAGAACACCTCCACGCCGAACTATATCACCGTTCTCCTTGGGCGTTTAGACGGTGCGTTGCCTACCACTCCCTCCATGCGCTCATCTCATTGCCGCCCTCAGACCCGACCGACACGTTCCCCGGCGATCTCACCGTCGGCTCGATCCTCGACAACTATACGAACATCGAGAAGCAACCGAAGCTCGAAGTTACCGAGGTCCCCGTGTGCGAGTCAGGCGACCAGCACTTCCAGGTGCTCATCGATGCCGGCGGCATCATTGGCCCAGACGGGAAGAGCAGCCAGGTCCACACCGAGGTCGATGAGACGCAGAACAAGAAGCAGCCGACCGGCGGGGGAGCGGGAGGGCGAGCGCGCGTGAGTACGCCCCCTTCTCCGATTTCATCTGACGATTTCTCGCGCAGCCAGGTGCCCAGGAACGTCGCCGACGCGGAATACGGCCGCGGCGCTGGATACTCAGACGTATCTGGCGTGGGCGCGCGGCGGCGTGGATCGTGCGCGGCGAGGTCGGGGGCGGCGGGGGGAGTGGGAGGCGGGGGCGAGACGGGGGACGGGAACGCGAGAACGCGAGAGGGGGGACGCGAGAAGGGGGAACACGAGAAGGGTGAGTGGAACACAAGCAGGCGGAGGGAGAGACGAGGCGGGGAGGGGCGACAGCGCGCGGACGCGAGAGGCGGCGCGAGGAGGGTGGTGGGAGGAGGAGGGGGATCACGAGAAGGAGGAGACAACGCGAGGGAAGGGGCGCACTTCGGCGCTTCGAAGGAAGGAAGGGGGAAGGGGCGAGGGCGGGGACAACGCGAAGGCGGGGAGACGCGGGAAGAAGGGAGAGGGGGAGCGGAGAAGGAGGGAAGGGGTGAGAGACGGAAGGAGGGAAGGGGCGAGAGGAGGAAGGGGGAAGGAGGGAAGGGGCGCTTCTCGGCGCTTCTGCGCTTCGACCGCCGGGTGGAGAAGGGGGAGGGGGAAAGGGGGGCGAGGGTTCAAGGAGAAGGGAACGAAGACGACGCGGAGCCCGAAAAGGGGGCGGAGGGGGTGAGCGAGTGAGGCGAAGGTGCGAAGGGGGCGAGTCGGATGGGCGAAGGGAGGTGAGGTGGCGGCGCGAAGGGGGGCGAGCAGAAGGCGCGAAGGGAGGGGTGGCGAAGGCGCGAGGGCAGGCGACGCGAAGCCAGCTCTCCCAGCTCCCTTTCGCGACGGTGAGGGGGGAAGGGGGAGGGGTGTTACTTACTCATTGTAGTACGCTTTTTGTGTAATAGATAGACTTGCAATCAAATGGATTTAGAACTCGAATGCGAGGTTGACCGTGAGGTGCGAAGGTGGGAGGGGTGCTAGACGAGTCAGAGAGGAGTACACGACGAGTCAAGGGAGAGAGTGCGAGTCGAAGGGAGGGACTGTGTCGAAGGGAGGAGGGAGGCGAAGAGAGGTGAAGGAATGCGCGCGGAACGCGTCAAGAGCGAAGGGTAAGTGCCTATGTAAGTCGTCGAAATGAGAATAGCAGTCGAGAGGGGGAGGGGAGGGGGAGCTCGAGGGTGATGAACAGGGAGAGAAGGAGGGGGTGGAGAGCGAGAAGGGGAGCGAGAGAAATTAAGGTGGGAATGAAAATCAAAAAGGAAGGGGGGGAGCGAGACAGAGCTCTTGAGAGCGAAGTCAAAGCGAAAGCGAGTGGGACTTGGAAGCAAAGGGGAGCAAAGGCAGGGGGTTCGAATGCGAAGGGAGAGGGAAGGGGAAAGGGATGAACACAATAGCTGAGAGCCTGCATAGATCGCTTAACGCAGTGGAGGCGACACTGCATTCCCCGAAACTGGCGAGACTCGCGTCAGACAACTGTCCCTAAGCGAGGGGAAGGGGTGGGCCACCCCTTCCTTGCGTTGAAGTCGCGCACCACCCGAACATAAGGCAGAATCATGACATAAGGCAGAATCATGTTTTATCGTCATTTTTTATTGGTATCCAAACGACGACCTTGGTAGTATTATCTACGCACGAAGGGCCCCTTTGCCACCACCAAAAACCTCCCAGACCCCCCTCCCTCGCGCTCTTGGAATCACCTTACGGGCCCACGACCCCCTTCTCGCCGTCGTCAACTCTTCCCCGCGCCTCCAAACCTCGCACCCCGCGCGTGCTGCACATTCTCGGCCGCAAGCGAGCCCCCTACCTGCCGCATCTGGTACAAGCGACACCCCTTCCCATCTGCTCAGTCTCGCGCGCGAAGCCTCGACCTCGACCCCTCGGCCGTTCCACAAAAACCCCAAGTCGAGGGGCTCCCACAAGAGGCGAGGCACCCACGTCGTGGCAGGTACCCCTTTGGCGCTCGGAACCTGCCGACTCATATCCCAGGCGCTTTGTCGACCCCCTCATGCGCGCGCGCTACGCAGGCCAGTCGCGTTCACGCCGAAGTTCAAAATCGAACATGCACGTGGCGTCGGCACCGAAAACAGGCGCCGCCGCCGTCGTCGCCGACGAACACCTGAGGTGAGAAAAGTGGGAGGGGGGCACCCCCTCGTCGCGCTATCTCGATTTCTGCAGCCGAGTCGGGGCGAGCCCATCTTCGGAGGGATGCCGAGGAGAAGAAAAGGTGGTCCCACCTCCGCTCTGAGACGAAGCAAGTGAGGGGAGAAGGGAGACTGAGGGGGTGGGGGAGGGAGCGAGAAAGAAGGAGTATCGGTGCAAAGGAAGGGTGAGGGGTGAGGGGTAGGGTAGGGTGTTGGAAGTGCGAGTAAGCGAGCTATAACAGGCGATCAGCAAACGATCTCTCATCACGAACCAACCTTCGAGTCAGCAGCATACCCTCGTCGAGCTTGTGCTTGTAGAACTGGCTCGGCTTGATCGTGCATAGCTCTGCCGGGACAACGGCGGCGGCGGCGCATGCGTGTCGGACACGTATGTCCATCGCGAGAGGGTGCCGACAAATGGTCTACGAAAGGGGTCAGCATGATCTCAAGGTGGCGAGATATCGCCGTTTTTGGGGGACGCACCGTTATGGGGGAGACCGCCTCCCCTCGCAGCCCTGCAGCAAAGGAGGCATGAAGTCTGAGTCATACGATTAGCGTGATACGACGAAGGGGCTGTCGCGCGTACCTTCTCGATGCCGCAGTCGTAGAGAGGGGGGTGACGGGCGTCGGTCTGGGGCCTGGAATGAGTCTTTCTTGGGGGAGAAGGGGACGAGGCGCACGGTCGAGACGCAGGTGGGCGACGAGAGGGGCAGGGTACAATGGGGTAGGGGTAAGGGTTGCCGACCTTGCGCTGCTCTTGAAATGTTGCGCGTCGTCATCTGTGTGGTTGGTCAGCGAGGCATGACGGTAAAGGGCGTGATCATGCACCTTACACGTCGACTAGATCACCCAACGTGGTGGCGGAGAAGGGCCGCAGGACATTGGTTAGGTCGCCAGCACGATGTCGCCTAGCGTCGCGGTCAGCAGAAGCCGTAGGAAACGACGAGAAACGTCGCCTACTCACCGAGAAGCACGACACTTCGCCCTCCGAGGTCGACATTGGCGCGCAGGGAAAGCTCACGCGCGGTCTTACCGAGACGGCATCGTCGTCGCCAATGACTTCGTGAGGCCTGTAAAAAATCCGGTCAGCAAATAAGAAACTAAGCGAGAAAAGAGGGAAACCCGAGACCGCTCACGGCGACGACTGAACAGGTATATAATCAATCGCGTACCTTGCAAAAATAAAAACCTGATATCGCACCACCGGGAGTGCTAGATCGGTCCGCAGACTCCGTCCACACCCGGCCCCTAGGCAGTCTGGGTCCCTGCCGCGTCTCGGCCCTCCGAGTCGTAGTCAATAACTATTGGTCTTGTAGGGAGCAGAGGATGCGTCCTCGCTACCTGAGAAGGCGTCAGAAGTGAATGAGAAGGGAGAGAACGAAAGGTTACCTAACTGCGAGGTAGACCGAGGCGAAAGAGCTACCAAACGTGGAGAGTGCGTTTGGTGTCGATTGATGGTGCGCGGAAGGAAGAGGGACCTGTACAGTAGACACCATCAGCTAGCAGACGAGTAGACGAGGAAGCGAAGGCGCTTACTCACATATATGTAGATTGATTTTGCTATAAGAGAAAATGAATACGGTGTCGAAGGGCAGCAGACTCGATGACCTGCCATGTCAGTCGAAGCGACGGCAAAGGGCTCTAAAGGCTGGTCAGGGCTCAACAACGAAGGAGGGAAAAAGAAGAGCAACTTACAAAGCAAATGAAGAGAGTAGAGGGTCGTGATAGTCGTGAGGAGGGGTGGATGGGAGGGAGAAAGTAGCTGGGATGCTGATTGAAGCAGTCGAATTTGCCGCCTCTTATACGACGCGCGACACCGCAACGGCGCACAATACTTCCGCCGCATCTTCCAGACCAAAGTCCGCCATCAAATGGACGTGGCCTCGGCGACGCGCGGCCGGGACTCGTCCAAGCAAAGTCGGAAGATTGGGGAATATGCGCAGAGCGCGCGCATTCAATCTTCCGCCGTTGCCCTGCATGAATGTCAGTGAGAGCGCGCAAAATTCGGTCGAGACGTACTGAGGCGGGATGGGAGGACCGCGTCCGGGAGGTCGGACGGGACGACACGGGTCCGCCGGGCGCCTGTCGGCGTGTTACGCTGTCCTGGCTTTCAGCGTGAACTGCTCGCCTCGACGAGCGCGACGACCGCTCGCGAGCCCAGAGTCGACTCGCAAATGATGCGCGAGGCGGGGTGTGACCCGTGACGGGAGTGAGGAAGACGCGGGAGGGCGCGAACCGCGCAAAAAAAGCAGAGTCGGCGCCATCACGCTGGATCTCCATTCGGAAGGCTTTGAGCCTCAGCAAGAGACGTCGCGCTTTCGGCGCGCGTCCCCCACCTCCTCAATCGCTCACTCGTCCCGGCGGCGGTAGGACACGTGTATGCGTCGTTGCAGACATGGTTTCAAGGTCATCTTTGCAGGGGCGGGAGGTAAAAGTCGTGTTCCTCCTCCGCCAAGGTTGAAGCCGGACGTCGAGCGAGAACGAGAACGAGGCGCGGTCTCCAGATCCGCTGAGACTCGCATTACCGGATGAGTATTTACGGCGCCTAGACCTCGTGGTCCGGAAGCGAAGATGCGCCGGAAGGAATAGACGAGGGGGATGGGGGAATGGTCCGCCGGAGGGAGAAAAGACGAGATCAGGTGTCTTCGTGTCGTCTGTGCGATAGTTAGACAGCGCCTGCTTGACAACTTGAAGTAAAGATGATGAGGGTTACCTGTGAGAGATAGGGGGCGGTATACGCGGTGAGGCTGAATGGGATGGTGTGGAGATGGTGAGTGAGGGGTTTATGCACGACAGAGAGCGTGTTTGCACGCTCTCCGCGTCAGATATATAGAGAAGCGGCGGCTAAAGTGGATGGAATGGATTGGTCAATTAGCGCAAAACTTGAGAATGGTGGTTGGCGCGCACCGAGGGACCTTCGAATCATATCCTGAGTATGCCGGATTCGACCCAACTTCCTCCGCAGGTAGGCCAGATGGTCAGGTTTTCTCATCGGCACGTCCCACTCTCGTTATAACTTGTCAGACGCGTACAGTGAAGTCATCTGAGCCCATCGTCACCGCCGACCTAATGGGGGATACGTGTTGTAGGCTGCAGATCGCGCTCCGCGCTGCCGGACGCGCGTTCAAAAGATGCGGGTGGTCCAAACGCGATATTCATTTCATTATTGCACGATAGACACCACTCCCAGCGACGAAGAGGATGCATGCGTCGCCGACGCGGGGGGCGACGTCGATGAGCGCGAATCGAGGAGGACGCGAGGGACAAGAGTGGTCGGCAAATGCCGAAGTCCGGCGGAGCGGGATGGAGACGGGCGCCTATTGCGCGCTTGTTGATCTCAACCGTCATCGTCGACCCCCGCGTCGCTTCTCGTCCTCCGCGCGTCGTGCTCGGGGCCTCTGCCGCCCTCATGAACTGGCGCTATGACTCTCAGACTCGGATAATCAACCTCACAAGTCACTGTGATAGCTTCGCGTATACAAGGCTTTTGTCACGAAGGCTGCTGCACATTCCCCCTCCCGGGGCCACCCCTGTGCGATATCAGGCACGAAATCCGCGGGGAGATTGTCCCCACTGTGATTCTTGATTATCACATCTTATTACTGATGATCACTTCCCCGCGGGCCTCGTCCATTAAGCCCTTCCATCTAGAGTAATTCCCCGCCTCTTCCCTCCGACCCTGCGAGCCACGTGTTGGGTACGTCTTCCCTCCGAGGCCGGTGTCTAGGCGTTCATTTTTTAGGGACTCGACCTCGGATGCGATCCCGAGCAATCGACATCTTCCTGTTACTCACGCCATGGCAAACCGACGGCAGCGGGGACAAACTTGTGTTCTCTGCTTCCTTGTGGTCATGCCTGACTTCTGCGCTAGCTCAAAGTCCCTCTCCGCTCGCGTATTTACCACCCGCGTTCTCACCAGTCCCAGCTTGACATCCTGCTTAGCTCGTCTCGCGGAATCGGAACTCCACGAAGACATACCTCTCGGTCCATCGAGCGGGATGATTCGGTGCGTACTATGCTCTCGGCCCTCGTTCTCGGCGCTCACGATGCTCTAGGCGTCGAAGATGTTCGCGAAGCGAGACATCAACATCCGAAGGAGCGCGTCGAGGCCCGCGCTTGGGAGTCTGTTCATCAAAAGCTCGTTGTGCGTCCTGCCCTCACACCTCAACCTCTGCGTATCTGACTCGAGCGCAGCTATCGCATTCTCCTCCTCCTCATCGCCGCATTCCACCTTCCGCCGGACCTCCCCGTGCGCAGCGCGCGCTTCCCGACCGCAGATACGAAGTTCATTCGCCGAGGGAGACTCGAGCAACGAGTATATGGATTGTCATTTGCGGGTCAGGTAGATACGGTGTGTTTCCTGCTGTCTACCTCGCTGCCCGAAGCTTATGAGTGCCGACAGGTCACTGACGTGGTCGGAGAGCAAGTCCACACCACGAGGCAAATAGTGCTGGGTCCACGAGTAGCGGCTGGAAGCGCCGCATGCTTCGTTCATTGTGAGGAAGTAAAGGTGCGTCTGTTGCTCGTATCACAATATCCCATCGCTCATCAGTGGATAGCACACCCTCAGCCACATGTATCACTCTCACCACACCCCACCTCCCGCGAGCCGTCTTCGCGCGCCCTGCTCGCATCGCCGACGAGTTGCCCTTCGTCCCCGGCAGAACACGAGGAGCGGTCCCGGTGTGGGGTATCCATATCGCCGTCCGGGTAAATCAGGCACGTGGTGTGATTTTGCTCAGAGTTCTTTCTCGCTCACAACGTTCCAGAGTCGTCGAGATGACGTCGAGCGAAAGTCGCTTTTGACAGGAGATGGGACTCGGATGAGTACATGGGCGGCGCTTCGGCGCCGCATTCCTCATGCCATGCGCCGTCCGGCTTCTCCTCGCGGGGTCAGCAATATCATCCCCTCGTTGTCGTCTCCCCTCGTCTCGTCCTTCCAGCGCACTCGCGCCCTTCACCGACCTTTCAGCTCGCGGGACTCGTTCCAGGCGCTGCGTAGATGTCTCGCTGTCCGACAAGCGTGTAAATGGTGCGTGGTGTGATCTCTGCTCAAGGATCTTGTGCTGATGGGAATCGCGTAGGCTGTGGCGCTAGGCGACGAGTGGATATCTGGCGAGCGAGTTGAGGAAGATGAGCGCGGGTCCGGAGAAGGCTGGGAGGGGTAGCGCTAAGCGTCACGTCTCTGCTCGAAGCGGCTAACTTAGAGCTGTTGAGGTCCTCTTCGACTTTGTCCTTACCGCTGTACATACCCTCTCCGTGATCCTCGCACCCTACCCCTAGTAGAAGCTCGGCCACGTCGAGTATATTTTCTCCCCAGATTTCGACATCCGCCGACCACTCTTGATGTGGTCTTCTTGCTCTCGATCATAACCTCGCTTTCCTCATCGCGTGTATGCCATCCCCAAGCCCGACTTCAAGCCTTCATTCGACTTTTCCTGTTCTCTCCTGACGACAAGCCCTCGTCCGAGGTTGAAGGCCTAGGGTCTCGACTACACGGTCAGACGCCACAAATTCATTTTCTCCTCGGATTCGGCCTTCCGCCGACCACTCCCAACACGGCCTTCTTGCTTTCAGCCTGCACCTCTATGTCGTGCTCGCTGTCCCCAAGCCCGACTTCAAGCCTTCTTCCAAGCTCTCCTGTTCATCTGATTTCTGCCTGAGTTTGAGTCCTTGCTCAACCTCTTACAAGTTCTTGCTTGACCTCGTACGAGTTCTCGCTCAACCTTGTACGAGTTCCCGCTCGACCTTGTTCGAGCTCTCGCTCAACCTCGAGTGGGTCCCCGCTCAACCTCCGACCCTCGTCCGAGCTAGAGAGTTGTCGGCATGTCTGCAAGATCACAGACCATGCCTAGATGCTCTCTGACCACACCCAGATGCTCTCCGACCACACCCAGATGCCCTTCGATCACGCCCGCACGCTCGCGGACTTCGCTTACGTGCTGAAAGAGTCCGAACATCACAACTGGACACTGAACGCCACAACTAGATACTAGACACCACAACTAGATGCGCCAACGCCACAAAATATTTTCTCCTCGGATTTGGGCTTCCGCCGACCGCTCCCTGACCCCCATTCTTGCTTCCGATGGGGCGGGCGACTCTGCCTTGGATGGCTTGGGTGACTTGGTATCGAGGACCCTGCCTCTGTTGACTGTGTCTTTGGTTTTTGCGTGGCTTGGTGGGGAGGACACTTCTCTGGCGGCGTGGAAGACACCACCTTTCCCATGCGAGCCGCCCGAGATGCATCAGAGTCGTACGTGACGGGAATATGGGGCACGAGTCTGCCGTCGAGGACCTGAATTTGCACAGGCTGGACTCGCACCGTTGAGGAGCTTTGCTCACACTGTCAAGGACTCGGTCCAGAACGGAGGTCTGGTCTGCCTCGATTGTTGAGTAACGGACATGTCTGCACCCTCGGCCTAGCCTCCTGATGTTCTCAACATCACTATGGCTTGCTAGGTGTTCTAGTTGACCGTGTGAGCAAGTGATATTATGTATTGGTACGATAATCGTGCAGACATCCTGCAGGCTGGCGAGATTATTGAGGATGACGAGCTCCTGCGCTCGGTCTCGCCCTCAACTTCTCATCACTTGAGTTGACTGCTTGGGCATAGTAGCTCACCATCGCCCCCCTTACCCACACCCGCGGGCTGTATTATACACACAAAACGTAAACCTCAAAGAGAAATCTAGTGACAAGCTCACGAGTGGGAGGGAAGCTGACCACCGAGCTCGGCCTCTGCACCTTTTGTAGTTGAGATGCTCGTACGACGCGGGTGTCTGGACCAAAAGGAAAAAGAATGGGTCGACAGCGTGTGCCGGAGCCTGGACTGATGGGACGGAAATGAGCCGGTGGGGTAAATACTTGGCAGCTAAGAGTGACGAGGAGAGGGGAGGAGGGGGAGGGCAGAAGAGGAAAGGGAGGGGTGAAATAAGTTGGTGGAGCGAAGGTAGATGAGGAGAACAGAGTGCCCACGCTTGAGCGACGTCGAACGGTGAAGAAGCACGACCGCCACAATTTATGCAAGCGAAATGTCACGCTTTGGGAAACCTTCCCAGGGATCGGAAAAGAGGAGGAAAAATTGGAGGGGGAAGCGGGCTGGGGAACCATCTCCCATCACCCACACCTACCCGCCAGTCCTTACCCGAAGGCGCTAGCCCTGCCCGTTCGCGAGATGCGGAAAACGGGGGAAAGACTTGTCGCCTCTCGCAAAATCGCCCAAAAAGGCAGCGCGACGGTTGATGTTCGGTCACGTCACGGCCAGGGTCTCTGGCGAGGCGTGCGGGGTAGCTGGCGAGACGGCGGCGAGGCGGCGGCGAGGTGACGGCGAGAGCCAGCGGCTATCGAGCGATGCGTGCAGTCGTGCCAGCCAGCGTCGCCGAGCCAAGTCCGCGGCCCACGCATAAGAAGTCGGCCGCGTTCGCCCCGCACCTCCCACGACGTCATCGCGCGTGTGCCGACAGCGACAAGCGACGCGAGCGAGCAGCAGGCAGACGAGGCGCTGCTCCCAACCCCCATCGTCATCCAACCACGCGCCATGATCAAAGCAGACAGGACGCGCTGCCTCGTTCCTTGCTCTCCTCGCAGTCCAGTCCCTCCTGCGCGCTCGCTTCGGTGAGGGACCTCGTCGACGGAGGTGACTGTCCGTGACATGTGAGCCCCGTATTGATCAACGCCGCGATGCAGTGCAGTCTGTGACGCGTTCCGCCCGGGAGCTTGGGCCGGCCGCGCCCCGTCTCCTGCTTGACAAGAACAACGAGGGGCCCGCCAGTTCTGCGGGTGGCTTCCTGATTTCGACTCTCTATCCGTTCTCATCCTACACGATCCTTCATCCTACTCGGTCACGACAGCTTTCGGCGTAATGAGAGGCGCTTTCCTGGCGGCCCTGACTACCCTCGCCCTCGAGGCGAGTGCGTACCATGTCCGCATGCAAGGGCGAGTGCGGTCCCCCGCGGATGCACCCCTCGCACGGCGGGGAAACTTGGCGGGCTCGTCGCCGCTCACGAACTCGGCGGACATCAGCTACTACACGAACGTGACGCTGGGCGGAGACGACTACGAGGTCCTGATCGACACGGGCAGGTGCGTGCCCGCATCCACAGGATCGACATCTTGCTGATCTGTGTGGTATTCAGCTCGGACTTGTGGGTCGCGGGCAGCGTGAACAACGCCAAGGACACGGGCAAGAAGAGCGGCGTCACGTACGCTGTCGGTGCTGTCGAAGGTGCGCTAGCTTGTGCCTCAGTCGTTAGTCCCCCGCTCACCCATCCCCTCAAGGTCCTATCAAGACCGCCGAGCTCGAGTTCGCTGGCTTCACCATCCCCGATCAGGCGTTCAGTGCGTGTCGTTCCCCTCTAGTCGCTCGCGCCTAACCGCTTTACAGTCGAGGTCACCCCCGACAAGGAAAACCCAAAGGACAAGGGCCTCATCGGCCTGGGACCCAACTCGGGCTCCAATGTCTACGTCGAGCTCGGAAGCGACAAGGGCATGGCCGTCCTCGATAGCATCTTTACGCAGAACACCTCCACGCCGAACTACATCACCGTCCTTCTCGGCCGGTTAGACGGTGTGTTGACTACTACTCCCTCCACTCCCTGATCTCATCACCGCTCTTAGACCCGACGGACACCTTCCCTGGCGACCTCACCGTCGGCTCGATCCTTGACAACTACACCGACATCGAGAAACAGCCGAAGCTTGATGTTACCGAGGTCCCCGTGCGCGAGTCAGGCGACCAACACTTCCAGGTCCTCATCGATGCCGGCGGCATCATTGGCCCCGACGGGAAGAGCATCAAGGTCCATACTGAGGTCGATGAGACACAGAATAAGAAGCAGCCGACCGCGGTGATCGACACCGGTGCGCGGCTTCTTCCTCGAGCGGCGTAGCCACGCTAACATGTCTAATAGGCTTCTCCCTAAGTCAAGTCCCGCGAAATGTTGCCGACGCCATCTACGGACGCTTCTCCGGTGCAGAGTACGTGAATGTGTCTGGTGTGGGGGCAACGTGGATCGTGCCATGTACTACCGAGGTCAACCTCACCTTCAAGTTCTCCGGCCAAGAGTATCCGATTCATCCCATGGATACGACACTCGATCCTGGTGCTGTTGGTATTACGGGAGTGCAGAACTCGGAAGGCGTTGACAGCTGTATAGGGACTGTCAGTTTATCCTTCCTATTATCTGCTTCCAGCTGACCGCGTATCAGTTCCAACCTATATCCTTCGAGACCGGCGACAGCCCCAACTACGACATGATCTTGGGAATGTCCTTCTGTACGTTGCATATTGCACCTGTTCGTTGCCTTTTGCTCATCCTCCTTAGTGCGGAACGTTTACGCGCTCTTCGACTACGGCGACTTCTTGGTCGATCAAAAGGACAAGAAGGCCGATCCTTACATCCAGTTCCTGTCTATCACGGACAAGGGCGAAGGTATACGCGCACCTTTCGCACCAGTACTTTTCCACTCACACGTTTTTCCAGCGCACTCCGACTTCGTGAACGTCCGCTTACGAGGCGACGCGAACGCCGGAGACAACACCCTCTCCGCGCAACCCGCGTCAAGCGACAACTCGTCGTCCACCAAGCCCTCCAAGCAGCCCTACATCATCGCGCTTGCGGCTGTCATCGGCACGCTCGCGCTTGGTCTAATCGCGTACGCTGTCTTCCTCTTCTGGCGCCGGAGGCACGGGGCAAAGGGCCGCTATGTCCCGCTGGCGCCGCAGGGCGGGTTCCGTCCGCCGCCGCCGGCGTACCAGGAGGCATACCCCTCCCAGCCGGTGCAGGCCTACGACCCGGTGCCGCACACCGGCAACGGGAACTGGCAGCAGGGGCAGCAGGGGTATCAGGCGCCGCCATACTCAACGCCGTGGGGGAGGTAAAGGTAATAAAGTGGCTGCGCGGTCGCGCGTCGTGATGTTGTTTGACTGTACTATCTATTGCATGACTGCAGTATTGTTGTAGGCCAGCATACTCTGTTCATCATGGACTATCCTGCATATCCGTACACTACCGTAGACACGATTTACGCACGCACCTATCTATTTGCTCTGGGATTTCTCGGCGGAGGATCGAACGATTGGGCTATAACTCCGAGGTGCGTTCTCGATGGAGCGGGGAAACATACCGCGAGAGCCACCCAGCAACGTACTGCCGGAAATGAAGGACCACGAGGCGTGCATGGCCTCGACGTTTGTTGGACTTCCTTTCAGGTATGTTTTTGTTCATTGCTGCGCGTCACCGATGGGGTCTCATATAAACCCCCTAGTACCATGAACACCCAACTCTCACTTTCCCATCATCTTCCACTAACACCTTTTCAACGAAGCACCTTGCCATGCCTCGAAACTCGACCTCAGCGATCCCTTTGGGCTCTATATCGTCGCCTGGAGTCGTGAAGGAGTCGGCCACCCTCCGAGCTATCCTGAACGACTGCGGGCGACTCGTGAATATTCAGGCACTTCGTAGTGGCGACGCTTGCTCTCCCTCCGATCCTGGTTTGGGGAGCTCGGTCGCGGGGTTTGCTACGGCAATCGAGCGACAGGTCGACATCCTTCAACCGATGCTCATCGAGCTTAGCGAGCTCCTTCATCGCGCCGAGCATCAAAAACAACTGAATAACGCAATCCTCTCCCCAGTACGACGCCTTCCTAACGAAATTCTGGCCGAAATTTTCCTCTTCTACGTCGTGCACGACAGCCCACGATTCCCCCGCATCAGGCCCGACTTCACCTTCTCTCGCGTCTGCCACAGATGGAGAGCCGTGGCGCTCGGTACGACAGCGCTCTGGACGAGTATTTCGCTCTGGCCTTCCGAGCCTGCCGAGGCTCACGATACTCTCGTGCGCGAGCTCGAACTTGCGGGCGATCGCCCTCTGGACGTGCGCTTTGTCCACCAATGGCCGTGCGCCGAGAATGCAGACAAGCCGACGAAATCCTGGGAGCACCTACAGACTCTGAGCTACCGCTGGCGGACGCTCAGGTTGGAGCTCAACTCCTCGTATTTCCGGGTCATGACCCCTCGCCCGGTTGTCTGCTCTTCGCTGGTCGCCCTGTATCTGAAGCACGAGGTGCTCGAGCCCGACCAGGTGCCCGGCTCGGACGACAAGGGCCACCTTCTGACCGCCTTATCCTACGCGCCAATGCTTCGCACCGTCGACATCCAGGTCCGGCGCGTCCGCGGAGGATCATCTCCCTTGCGCTTCCCCAACAGCTGGCGCCTCACCGATCTGGCCATTTTCGCCGACCATTCCGACGGCAGCGTCGCGCGCTTCGTGCCCCTCCTCGAGCAGAATGCCAATACGCTCAAGAGGCTGAGCCTGTCTCTGCCGCACTTCGGGGGTACTTTTTACATGACGCCCGACGTTCTTCCGGTCGTCAGCATGCCCCAACTCACCGAGCTGACGTGCCGGATGAAGGCGATGGAGCTGGTCTCCTCGATCGACGCACCGCAACTCTCGAGCTTGACTATCGACCGCGACCTGCGGAAGGCGGACGATCACCCTACGCACGGGCTGTCCGTCGCACATCGGATTGGAACGTACACAAAGCTTACCCAGCTGTCGGTCCTGGAGGTCAAGTGGCCAACCCCTTCGCTACTCGCGACGCTTCGTGCCCTTCCGAACCTTTCGTATCTGAGGCTCGAGGAGACCAAACCCGGAAAGCTCATCACGAAGGCCCTTGTCGACGCCATGACCCGCGGCGAGGTCGACGTAGACGGCGCACTCACGCCACCCAACGCATCCTGCCCCCTGCCGAATCTTGCTCACATGCATATGGTGATCCAAAACTGGGAGACTAAGAGCAAAGATGTGATCCCTGCAGTTCGCAGGATGGCACTCTCTCGCGCGGAAACGGGGCCCCAGCGTCTGCTCACGTTCAGCTCCTATCAGGAAAGGGAGAGATATTCGGGGCGGATGCTAGAAATTCTGACTTGGGGGAAGGATCCAACTGAGGTATGATAATCGTAGTATACGCGCAAGATGAACTTGAAGGGGGCGTATATCCCGACCCGTGCCTTCGTCTAGATGTTGCTGTCAATGCCTGACCCAATACATCACTACTGATACGACTTATTCTTTCTGCGATTCCATTGCGGCATGATGGTATTTCTATTGCTTGCCTTTCCTTGCGGAGATTGCTTGAGGAGGGCTGCTGATTGTCGAACATCATGAGTTGCTCGCAGTCCCTCCGTCGGCCGATGGATCGGCACGTACAAGCAACTCACCAGCCTGACGGCTCTGAATGTCACCTGGCCGACCTCTTCGCTACTCCCGACGCTCCACACTCCGTCTCGCCTCGTCTGAAGTTCACGCAGGGCCTCCTCAAAGCCTTGACTCGCGGCGGGGCCAGGTGGAGGGAAAGCTCACGCCACGGAACCTGCTCTGCCCGCTGCCGAGCCTTTTCTGCATGAACCTCGTACCTTAGGTTGCGTACTACGTGGATCATGAGCTTGAGCCCGCGGTGCGTAAGATGGCGCTCTCGCGCGCGGCAACTGCGCCCCAGCATCTGGTCGCGTTCTTCTCCAGTTATAAGATGTAAATGAGGGGAGGTCGGATATTTCGACTTTAGGGGTTGAGAAGGAGGGGATTGTTGATCTATAGCAGAGGGGTGGCCGTCCTGGCTTCATCGAATGTGCACTGTATCTGAATGGATGTCATTGTATATATCTGCTGTTCTTTGTGGGTCCACTGTGACCTTGTCACACATTCGCGTGGCCGTCACGTTTTCCGAGTTCATCGTTGGCCTGTCTGCGCCCGTCATGCTGTTGAACCCCATTTTCAAGGCTGTCGCACTTTAAGATAATTCTCTCTTATTTTGTGCTCAATGTTCTCCGCATGTCCTTGCGCGAACCCGCGACGTCGGCAAGAAACTTTATCAAAGTATGTGTTATTCAGCCTGAGTACAATTCATGCAAATATTTGAGTACGTAATGATACGCTCAGCAGGAATACTTTTAGTTCGACGACTGACACCTGCGTCAATTGTCACGGGGCGACGCGAATGCAGACACGAGAACCACCTTCGACTTCAGGAGGGCACGAGTCTCCGAGCCTCTACTCGTCCTCGCAATACCAAGAGATACACCACAAGCGACAGGGGAACCGCACCGGCTCTCTTCATCGGCCTCCATGACTGTGTCGTCGTACAAGTCTCCCGGGCGAGACAGCCGTATCTCCAGCTCGGTCGAAGTGATGGCGCTGATATCGCCTCTGAGAGCTGTCGACAAGCGTACGACTGCCTCGACTGCTTCGTTTATAGCGGACGCGTCGGTGCTGCCGTTAATCTGCTCGCCGGAGATCTTGTATCCCGACGCGTCAAGCACCGTCTGCATCGTTGCATGAAGACCATCCTTCAGAGCCTGGTCGGTCACCCTTTCAGCTTCGCGTATACTCTGACGAGTGACAGATTTCCACCGCGCGGCCGCCGCATATCCTTCTACAATCTATTCAGTGGTAACCTCCCCAGATGAAGAAGCAGCTCACCCTTCTGACGGATCACAGCATACAGACGACTCATGCGTTTGTCGAACTCACCGGCGCCGAGCGACCACCTTCCGACAACGCTTCCACTCCACTTGGCAGCAGTAGCTTGAAGCGCGACCTGGACCGCGGCCTGGCGTAAAGCGTCGTCATTGACTTTCAAAGCGCCGTAGACAACTTCTCCGAGTCTGTCAAAGACGGCATCCTTCGCCTCTGACACGCGCTCTCGATCCTGCCTATCGCTCGCGGAGGGCTCGAGGCTGTCAGCCATGAGCGCTGATAGCTGAAACACCTCCTCGTTGAGCTCCTCGACTTTGCGCACAACGTCGCGCTCCGACAGCTGGTCGACCCGGCCCAACACGCTCTGGATTGCGGCCAACTCTTCTGTACGTGCCTGCAAGAGTTGACGCGCGCGCCCCAGCTCTCGATCAGCGCTATCCCTCTCTACTTCCGCAGACTGGAGAGCGACGGTGAGTCGCTGCGCCTCGTTCCTCAACGATGTATTCTCCTCGCGAAGAGCGCTGTTCATCGAAGCGACCTGCTCGTACTGGGCGCTGGCTTCGCGTCGGATAGCAGCCAGTGCCCTCCCGGTCTGTGCGCCAGCGTCGTTGGCAGCGATCGCCGCCGAGGTTTGCGAGCGACGACTGCGGCGATCCGGCGCCACCTCTTCCGGGCGTAGGTCCCGGTGGTTGTCTATGACTGCAGCGTCGGCGATGATGCGCTCGGTCATCGCGGCCGTCGTCCTCGCATGGCTTCGCCGAGATGCTCTGTCCTGCCCGTGGTTGTGCTCGCGCTGAAAGCTCGTATGCTCTGAGCGTCGTGAATGAGAGCGCGCACGCCGCTCGCCACTGGGCCGTAGGCGACCTCGATCTCTAGAAAGGCCTGGTAAGTTTCTCGGACGGGATGTTATGTAACGAGCGCTCACATCGGTACTTCAGGACTTGCTCCGCTCGACATGATTCTGGACCAAGCAGAAGAAAGAAGGCCAAATATCATGAAATGTGCAAGGCTTTTTGGGAGGATGGAGCGTACGCGCAACGCTGTCACTGCTCGGGACAAGGCTGGTACGTTCGAATTTTGGGGCTCAAAATCCCGAACACGATTGTACTAATAGCCGCAGCGGGATTCACAGAGGCTTCTCTTTCCTAGTAGGCCGTATAAAAAGCGCCGTGGCCTCTCGACGTCTCGTCGTCCTCGACACCCTCTTGTTCAACCATCCGCCATGACCGCTCGCAGACCTTATGGTGGAACCGTACGGAAGCTCCTCATGGCCATCGACATCGGCACCACGTTCAGCGGTGTCTCCTACAGGTACTTTGCTGTGATGCTCATGCGATACTAACTTATCATGTTTCCTCAGCATCTTGGATCCCGGGCAGGTCCCCCAAGTCTTCGGGGTGAACCGGTATGACCGCCATGTAAACCTCTTGTTGTCGTTTCCACTGACATTTGCTTGCAGCTTTCCCGCGCAGGAGCACGCTGGCGGGGACTCCAAAATCCCGACGATCATTCTCTACGATACGAAAGGCAATATCCGCGCCGTCGGGGCGGAAACTCTCGAGGAGGAGACGATCCTGCGAGCGGCAGACGAGGGCTGGACACGATCGGAATGGTGCGTGCTCAGTCCCGCTCTTCACGGATTCTTGCTGACTGCTATGACGACAGGTTCAAGTTGCATCTTCGGCCCCGCGCGTCTGATCCCAGGCAGGAGCTGTCGACCCTTCCACCCCTTCCGCCAAACAAGACCGTCGTCGACGTCTTCTCCGACTTCCTGGCCTATATGTTCAAGTGCGCGCGAGATTACATTCAGGAGACGCACCCCGGCGGCGCTCAGCTCTGGTCGTCGGTCGCCGAGAACATCGACTTTGTACTTACCCATCCGAACGGCTGGGAGGGCAGTCAGCAATCGCTCATGCGTCTGTCGGCGATACAAGCGAAGCTCGTGCCGGACAGCGACTCTGGGCGTGCGCGCGTCTCGTTCGTGACGGAAGGTGAGGCGAGCTTGCACTTCTGCTTGAGCAAAGGCCTCATCTCCGAGGGTGTCAAGGTGCGGTCTTCTTAGTTGTGAACTGCTCATGCCTAACAAGTCGATGTCAGGCCGACAATGGCCTCATCATTGTCGATGCGGGCGGCGGAACGATTGATTTGAGTGCGTATACGCGGCAGAAAGGCGGACAGAAGGTCTCGTACGTAGAAAGTGCACCGGCGCAGTGTGAGTCTTCGTCGAACTGCAAAGGATGTCAGGTTCTGACGAAAAACGCAACCGCAGGTCTCTTCAAGGGTGCAATCATGGTTACGCGCAACGCGCAGACATATATCAAGGGTACGTGACCCGCTCTGTTTTCCGCTCGGATAAGGTCTGACAGAACCCTCAGACCGCCTCAAAGGCTCAAGATACTTCGATCGCGCAGCGGACATCGCGGATACCTTCGATAAGACGACCAAGCAGACCTTCAAGAACGCGAAGACGCCGGCGTACGTCAAGTTTGGCGGAATGGGTGACAGTGACACGGCGTACAACATACGCGGAGGCAGGCTCGTCATTGCTGGGTAAGGCATCATGTTATATATCTAGTAGATCAGCGTCTCACTTGCTCTACAGCGCCGACATGGCCAAGTTCTTCCAGCCGTCCGTGTCCGCGATAGCCCAGGCTGTCTTGCGCCAGCGTGAAGAGGCCAAGCTGACAGCTCCGGTAAGCTCAATGTTTGAACCAAGCACACGTCGTTCTCAAGGACACCCACAGTCCATTTTCCTTGTCGGCGGATTCGCGGCGTCGACGTACCTCTATGCCCAGTTGCGCGAGAGCCTTTCCCAGCTGGGAATGGACGTCTGCCGGCCTGATAGCCACATGTGAGTAATGTTATATTCGAGCGTAACGACATCGTAATTCCCTTTCAGCAACAAAGCGGTCGCAGATGGTGGCGTACTATATGTTCTTGATCACCGGGTTACGGCGCGCGTGGCTAAGTTTACATACGGCGTCTGCGGAAGTCAGCGATACCAGCAGAGTATACCGGACCATGCCAGACGTCGCGCTAAATCATACATCGACGACGTCACCGGCGAGCGGCGGATAGGCGGGATATTCTTCCCGATACTTCAGAAGGCATGAGGGGAACTCACATCTCTGTCCTTTCGCCTTCTCATCCGTCTACAGGGCACTCTAGTGACGGAAACCCAAGAGTTCAGAAGATCATTCTACCAGTCTTTTACGAATCCTATGGACGCGAAGTCCGTCGAGTGTCGTATTTACGTCTATCGCGGGCCCGGGCTTTCCCAGAATTATCAGTGGCGCGATGTTGAGCCCGGTCAGCGGCTTGGATGTCGCATCGATTTATGTCGCTGACCGCATTTGCAGAGAGCTATGCACGCCTTTGCACCGTACAGGCCGATGCCAGCAGAGTAATGCAGAACTTGCCCCTGACCTACGGCAACAAGGGCCGCGCGTATTACCATTTCGATCACGAGAATATCTTGCGCTTCGGATTAACGGAACTCCAGGCTCAAATGTGCTGGATCGAGAAGGTACGTTTCGTTCCAGTACTTGCCTCCGACGAATGCTCATCAAGTTCTTCGCTCTCTCTTGCCGTCAGGGGGTAGCGAAGAGGTGCGCGCCTTCGAATGAGGATGGCAACATAAGACCTGATCTTTCTCTCATCAGATCTCCTGCCACGGTCGTATATGATGACGCGTAATGAATCGTGTAGATACCAACCCGAAGATTGCACCGGCCTGTTACCACGCGCAGCAAGCCCCAAAGATCGAAGTGACCGAGGCTCCGAGCTTATTGTGCAGTTCGTATTGGAGTAGTATTCCCGATCCCCGTAGTATCTCGGTAAGACTCTAGCACGCTGATCAAGTGGGCCCGTTCAACCTCCAAAGCTAAGGCGCCAGCGCCAAGGTGAGTATTCCCAACACAGTCGTCACTCGCTGTCTCAACTTTTGGCATAAGTACTGAGATAGCATTGCGACCACGCTTCTGAGATGTGTACTGTATCTCGAAGGACTTCTTGCAATTGGGCGACTCATACCCCGGACGACCGGGCCTTCTCAGGGGCCGCTAGCACTCTTCCAGCATGTGCCTTCAAGTTAGGCTGAGTACTAAGCGCAAAGCTATGTGGCAATTCGAAGCGCCTTGTATATGACAACGAATTGATATCATCGTCTGTGTCTCTCATCTTCATGGTCGCTCCCTCTATTTTCGGCCCTCACGCGCAGCGACGGCGAGACTATCTCACAATTCCTACTCGAATGAGTGATCCTCCTTTACCTCACTATTCGCAGTTGCTCGATGCACAGACAAGCCGTCCTGTGGTGAGTCTGCATCGTTTTCGGCTCCACTCGTTGGCTAATGACCAGTCAGCCGGTATCCTCGCACGTCACCCCTTCCCTACCCAGTCGAAGAACGATCACAAGCACTATCGCGAGTAAAGTGCGTCTCGATTGGCAAGGCTCTTGCAGGGGATCTGACCATGGCTTTAGTACTCCTTGACCGCCGACCCCTCGACATGGGGTGTCGCCAACCTCATGCCAGACTACCGCGAACCCGACGATCGCCTCCACTACCCTGACTGGCGCAGGGATCGAGGCAAGGATATGGGCGGGTCGATCGCGACGTGCCGCGGCTTGACGAATCTGGGATGCGTAGTCCTGCTCTCGGTCCTGATCGTCGCTCTATTGTGCGTCCACTCGCTCCGCCTACGGTCCGTCGACTGACTGCATGTCCTTCAGCGCCGGCTACCCTATCGCGACGGCGTTGACCAAGACAGCGCAGTCCAGGAATGGCGGCAAGTAGCCTGTCCTCCGTCTTCTTCTCAGACGGCTCACCTCTACCCCAGGCTTCAATCTCGGAGGCATCAACGGGACGGGCCAGGTACGCAATACAACACCTTCTCCCGGGATTCTCTGTTAATGAACGGACCAGGTACCCATGATGCAGGGAAACTGGGGCCCTATCGACCCAGACACGCCCGAAGATGTCAGAATCAAGACCGGGTGGACGAGCGAGGGAGAGTTCACCCTCGTCTTCTCCGACGAGTTCAACACAGACTACCGCACCTTCTACCCTGGCGACGATCCCTTTTGGGAGGCCGTTGATCTGCACTACTGGGGGGTGAGCACGGTTCTCCAAGCCCTCGAGCGCGTCGCTGACCTTTCTGCCAGACGAACAACCTCGAGTGGTATGACCCCGAGGCGGTACGTCGACCTCGGGATTTGACTGTCGCCGGCATCGCTAAAGCGCCGCCCAGATCACGACGAAGGACGGCGCGCTACGTATCACGCTATCCCAGAAGCCGGACCACGGCTTGGACTACATGGGTGCGAGAAGCAGTTCGTGCATGTCCCTCGGCGCTTCTGACGCTCCGCAGGCGGGATGCTGACGACGTGGAACAAGTTCTGCTTCACCGGAGGGTAAGGCTGGGTTTGTTTGCGCTACAATAGCTCATGGTGCTGACGCGACCGTGCTAGCATCGTCGAAGTCGCCGTCCAGCTCCCAGGTGCCAGCGACATCAGTGGTCTGTGGCCGGCTATCTGGTCAATGGGCAACCTAGGAAGGGCCGGATACGGCGCGACGCTTGACGGGCTGGTGCGTCCTACGTGTCGAGACAATCAGCCGCGACCTAACCTTCTGTTAGTGGCCTTACAGCTATGGTGAGCTGTTCGCCACTCCGGCCGGCTGGCGCTCACCTGACTTGGTGCAGACTCGTGCGATGTCGGGACCATGCCTAACCAGACTAAGGGCGGTCTTCCCCTCGCTGCCACCCAAGACGGCGACACCAGCTACGGCGGCGCCCTCTGTGCGTCTACCTACGCGGCGGGCATCCCGCGCACAGCTAACTCACAAAATCCTCAGCTTACCAATCGGGCCAACGCCTCTCCCGGTGCACTTGTCCTGGTTCGGTGCATCCGGGACCCATGCACGCCGATGGGACGCACGTCGGACGCGCGGCGCCGGAGATTGACTTGTTCGAAGGTGAGATCGTTCTCAGTGCATGAATGGACGTCGACCTCATCGTTCGCTGCAGGCAGATCGATGCTACCCTCGGCGGGCAAGTGTCGCAGTCCTGCCAATGGGCGCCTTTCAATCACGGTGAGCCTCCTCCGTATCCTGTGCTACCTCGATTACTCATTTCGCGCAGCCTACGAATGGCTCAACGACACCGGGGATAGCATGCAAGTCTACGACCCCGACATCAGCGCGATGAACGGGTACAAGGGCGGCGTATACCAGCAAGCGACGTCGGTTGTGACGCAGACGAGTAAGCGCCCTCTCATCCACTTGGATCACTCACTGACTTGTACGCAGATTACGCCTGCTACGAGCTCGAATTCGGCTGCTTCGCAGTCTACGGCTTCGAGTACGTCCCAGGGTTCGATGATGCGGTGCGTGTCTCTTCTGCAATGTCAATCTCTGTATCCACTAACCCTTCGCAGTACATTACCTGGATCAACGAGTGAGCCATCGTACTGACGGACATGGCGGAAACTCACACTCTCGCCCAGCAACCAGAAAGCATGGACCCTTCGACAAAGCGGGCTCGCTGAGGACCCACTCGTAGAGATCGGACCTCGCCCTATCCCTCAGGAGCCCATGTATCGTACGTATACAAGGACCTCAAGTCTGTCTAACGACGTGCTGACCCAGATATCAGTGATCATGAACCTGGGCATGAGTGCGTATCACAAGCTCCGCGCCTCCAGCCCATTGACCGCTGTATCATCGCAGGCGAGAATTTCGGCGAGGTCGATCTAGATCACCTTACATTTCCAGTGAGTTAATCAAGTACCCTCTCTTCTGCTGCTCGACGCTTATGTCCGGCGGCCAGACCACCATGTCGATAGACTACGTACGGGTATACCAGCCGTCGGACAAGATTAAGTGAGTAGAAGCCCTGGAATCTCGTCCCTCTGCTAATAGTACATGCTAGCATTGGATGTGACCCTCCCGGATTCCCCACGTCGGCGTACATTGATCAGGTACGATCCAGCTTCAATTTCCTGCGACATCCAACTCACCATCTTCGCAGTTTTACGAGGCGTACACGGTGCGCAAGCTTTGCACGGACAGCTTATGGACTGACGGTAAACTTCATTCATACAGGATCCCAACTTGACGACATGGGTGAGCATGATACTCTCAATGACCTCCCCGAGCGCTCATCTGACGTTCTCAGGTCGACGACTATAAACAGGTAGTTCCCGGGAACAGGTGCGTCGCCCGCGCGCTAGGTTATGCGTACACTCAACTGACCGAACCTGCAGCTTCGCTGGCGATTGTTGAAACCCTAGTCGAAGGCCTACACTTGGAGCCTGATTGTGAATACCCATATACCCCTTCCTTTACATTGTTGTCTGTAGAGTATAGTACACAGAAGGAAATTGTACAACAATCGATATCCGCGTATCAAGAGTGGGCTGCCATGCAAGCGTTCTCAAGAAGGCGCGCATCGCGCGACAACCCTACAGAACAAGAAGGACTCGCTAGTGCACCCACCGTATCCCAAGGAATCATCCCCTTTCGGACGACAGCGCATGTCAAGTTCTGCTCCCGGTCACAATCTGCTTTGTTCCCGGTCACAGGCTGCTTTGGTGCCGCGAGGGTTCTCTGCCTCCGTGTGATGATCGCCAGATTGGCAGATCTGGACATGACAGCCGCGCCGCAAAAGCCTGGGCGAGCGTAAGGGCATGGCACTGGACGCCGCTGCGCCTCCAATGCGCTGCGTCGACAGAGACGCGCGAACGCCGAAGGATAGCACGAACGTGACCACCATCACATCGCAGTACCAACACCCGACGGTGTCCATGCAGCATCATCCGCATCGTCTCGTCGATGGTGTCCGCGCTCTTCCCGCGGTGAGTCCACATAGCCAGCCCACTGCGACCCCGAGCCCTCGTCTCGCGGCGAATCTACGTAGCCCTGCCGGTGGTCGACGTAGTCATCGCGCGGAGAGTACGCGTACGCCTCGTCGTACGCAAAGCTGTCCGTCGAGTACATCGAGCGCGTCATATGGGAGGCGCGGTAGAGATCGGCAGTGGGGGGATAGTGAGGATGGTGAGCATTGGAAGTGGGAGGATATGAAGGATCAGAAGAGGGAGAGTACTGCAGGTCGGAGCCGGAGGGATCGCGGCGTAGATTGGGCCTGGATGGATGGTGGTCGGGGCGAAGGGTCTTGTAGCTGAGGTCGGGTATAGTGTCCAGCATATATGCTTCGCTCGACGCTGGACTCGGCTTGTCGCCTCGTGGTCTGGTATCCTGAGAGCCGTGAACCGAGCTTCTGCAATGTCTCATGAGCACCAAGCCGCCTACAAGCAACGCATACACGCACCCCTCCTGCACAATTACCGCCAACTTCCGCTCATCCAGCCTATACCGCTCCGGCATCATCCCCTTCCCGAACCGGTACGTGACGTGGTTCGCGCACAGCACCGCCGTCGCCAGCACCAGCACCTGCGCCCCGCACACCGCAAACGCCGCCGCGTACCACGCCCCCAATATCCGCCGCTGCGCCTGCAGGAACGGTGCCTTGCATCCCAGGAGGATGCTCCGCGCGTAGCACGCCCCGCCCGCCGTCGCCTCCACGAACGGCGAGAAGTACCCGCAGCAGCGCAGCGCGTCCTGCAGCGCCAGCCGCCCGCGCGCGCCGAGCCCCGCGCTCCACTGCGCGTCGAGCTTCGCGGGCAGGTTGAAGGCGGCGCGCCTGTACGTGAGGTAGCCCGGCGCAGCGGCGAGCGCGAGGCCGGGGAGGAGGAGCGCGGTGTAGATCGCGAGGAACGGCCGGTGGTTGGTGAGGATGCCCGGCCAGCCGATGAGGGCGGTGAAGAGGAGGAAGCCGGCGGCGGCGGTGGAGAGGTGCAGCGGGGTCGGGTTCGCGGCGAGGATGATCGGAGAGTCTGGGAGCACGCCGAGGAGGGTGGCGATACAGACGGCGAGGCCGGCGAGGGCGTAGAGGGTGAGCTGGGGAAGGGTGTGTCAGGAGGGGAAGGTAGACGAGGTGAGGGCGCACGCACCGCGGTGTTCGCGATCACGAGCGCCCATTTGAAGCGGTTCCAGCGCTTTCTTTTCCCCCGTTTGTTAGGGCGCTTGACGGGCTTGACCTGGACTAGTTCGAGGGGGATGTTGTACTCGTCCTCGTCCTCCTCCTGTGGGATGCGCTGAGACCCGGGGCGAAACGCTGAGATCCCACCACCACGACGAAGCGGGGCTATGTCGGTATCATCTCGCCTTGGTCTCTTTCGTAGGTGCCCATTAGACGCGCGGGTGTGTATGGATGAGGAGAACTTGGAGGGGACATATGGGACCTGGAGGTTGGTAGATGAGGGGCTGTCCATGGCGCTCACGGCGTAGGAGCCGTACTTAGGAGGCGGCGCCGAGAGAGTTATACAAGATCGTCCGGGGGAATGCGTGTCGTTGAATCAGGAGGTCCGACGCGCAGATGGTGGAGGGTGAAGAACAATGGATCGCTCGATTTGGCATCCGTGATGCGTGACTTGGCATCGTGACCTGGGATCCTTCGCCTTTCATACTTGCTCTCTACCGTCGCGCACGTTAATCATCCCAGCCGCTTTACACTGAGTCAGATATTTGTTCAATTCTTTCTTGTGAGCTGGAAAACAGCCAGTGCGTACTTCCCAGAGCCAGTTCTCTTTGAGGATCAGGACATTGACGATCATTGAAGTGGCGCCCCACGACAAGAAAAGGCTTTTACAAGGCCTCAAGAAGGGACTAGAAGCAACAAACGATTTTCTCGATAGATGCGGACGAATTGCAAACATGGAGACCTACCGAACGAACGATCCCAGCTCGACGACACGTGCAGACGCCAACCACCTGAGAGAGCTCGACGAGGGTCTCGAGGCCGAAGAGTCGACACTACTCAGCATCTTCAATCAGCTTGACTACGCTCTGTTGCGCATCACACAGCAGAGGCAACTCAATCGTGCCCTTCTAGCACCTGTACGCCGCCTCCCGCGCGAGATCCTCTCGGAGATCTTCCTCTTCGCCGCTACTTTCTCCAGCCGTATTGACTCGCCCAGTGTCTTTCCAGTACATCGAAAATATCCCTTTGCGGCCGTTTGTCGCATGTGGAGATCGGTCGCTCTGAGCACACCCGATCTATGGACCGATATACGACTGACGCGAAACGAGAAGCCGGGCTCTCTCAAGCTACTTGAGCGCGACCTGAGACTTACAAAGGCACGCCCTCTACACGTACAGCTCGTTCAAGGCGCTGGGGAGTACTGGGATGCGACCCCAAGGGCGTGCTACGACCTCGTCTTGGCGCAGCAACATCGCTGGCGGTCCCTCCGTCTCGAGAAGCCCAGAGAGGCCGTGCCGCCAAGGGCAAGTGCCCCAGCAAACATGGAACTTCTATCACTTGAGATGCTACGCGCTGAGATAGACATGATGGACATCTACCTTGTCGAGCAGAGCATCCATGATACCGGCACCGTACAGCTGTTCCGCACCTTGGGCGTCGCCCCTCGCCTGCGTTCCGTTGAGCTAAGCTTCAGCGGCCACCTCCCCCACGAGATTGGGCTGCTGCTTCCAGACAGCTGGAGGCTCAGCCACCTGGCGCTTGCGTTCCACCTCGTGATTGGCGACGAGGACCCCTGCATACTCTTCCTCCCCTTGGTCCAGCAGGCCGCACCGACGCTGGAAGAACTGCGCCTGGTCGTCGACTACGCCGTCCCAGTCGAGGAGCAGGGCCTCTTCGATCTCCCCGATGACCTCGTACCGTCCGAGGCACCCAACCTCAGACGCATCGCCGCCACCGGGCCGGCGTGCACACTCCTGGGCGCCATCAACGCGCCGCGCCTCAGCAGCCTCCGCCTCGAGCGCATCGTCGACATGCCCATCGTGGGCGACGAGTGGATGGACGCGCACCTGACGACGCTGGTCCGCGGCGCCGCGCCCGCGTCATCTCTCGAGCTCGTCGACATCGCGTGGACGGCGGACTCGCTGCTCGCCACGCTTCGCACGCTGCCCAACATCGCATCCCTGCGCATCGAAGAGACCACGGCCGAGCTCGCCGGGGCTTGTATCACGGAGGCGCTGCTCGCGGGCCTCACCCGCGGGGGCGTCGCCGTCGACGGCGCGCTGACGCCGCCGAACCCCCTCTGCCCACTCCCGAACCTCCGCACTCTGCACCTTGGGCCGTGCCAGCGCCCGCCTGAGGACGAGGTCTCGCTGACTGCGGCCATGCGCAGGATGGAGGTGGCGCGCGGGTTAGGAGGGAGCGCCGATGGCGTGGACTTCCTCCCGCTGGAGGAATTTACTTATGAATACCATTGTCCCACCTTCGATACGCCTCCATCACGACGAATAGCGCTCTGAACAAGTAAATCCCACGCAAGGATGTCGTTGTAACAACACCGGAGTCAGGACTTCCGCTCTTGCCTTGAAACTGTAAGTAAAGGTAGAGCACGGCTCAAAAGACTTGGTGCCAGAAACTTGACGGGTCCCCAGCCCCGTAATCAGGGAGTTGTTCAATGGGAGAATCTAACTTCGTCTCCTTGCATACGATGCGCGCTCGCGGTGAGCAATTAGGCCTCAGGCTTCCTGTTGGTGCCTTTGTCAATGAATATTTCATCCGGCAAATCCCGGTCGCGCATGCGCAAAAATACGAGAAGTAATAAAGGCGGCGTGTTCGGGATGGATTGGCTTGCACATTGCTGTATATGCTTACAGTACATCTATCAGGATGATATTGAGCTGTGCGAACCTTTTATCGCACGAAATATAGCATCACTTCACGCGTGCAGATTCGAATACGAACCGTGACAAGATTGGGCCTCACGTCACGTGCATGCCACGTGACGTGTGACCCAAACAGAACATTGGGCCGCGTGCTCGGCCTTTGTTCGCTACCTCCAAGGGCTTGTTAACTATCATCGAAAGCACGCGACAGATCGACCATTGATTACCCCATCTCATTGTCTGGTTTTACAACTTACAAGAGACCTAACTCGGTGCAACAGCGATAGATCATCTTTACTTCCCCATCGCACCATCCACTTTACTAGATTTATCAATTGCATCAGATCAGTGAGTATTATGGCGGACTGCTTGCTGCATAGTTATATCTAGTATTCTTGTCACTCACCCGTATCCAATAGTGACCCCCAACGAGGGACTGGACCTGATACAGGCGGTCTTCATGGGTACAGTGGCCCTGCGACAGCTTCTAAATCAATGCAATCAAATCGCAAACATCGAGGAATACCGTAATGGTGATCCAGGCGCCTTTCAGCAAACGGACAGACAGCTTCTACTAGAGTTGACGCAGGGCATCGAGGAACAGGACGAAATGCTTCGTCCTATCATGGCGCATCTCCAAGAAATGACCGCACGAAGTCGTGCCCAGATACGGATTAATCATGCGTTCTTTTCTCCCTTCAGGCGCTTCCCGCGCGAAATCCTCTCCGAGATCTTCCTCTTCGCAGCTGGTCCCGGACACGACGATTTGATCCGCGCGGGCCGGTTCCTCGACCACGACCGTAAGCGTCTCTCTCGCGGGCACGCATACAACTTCGCCCAAGTATGCCATACCTGGAGGTGCGTGGCCCTGGAGACAGCCGCGCTCTGGACGGATATACGCCTCTGGTCGGACCGTCCATACCTGACCAAGTATGTCCTCGCGCGCGAACTCCCTCTCACGCGCCGAAGCCCTCTCGACGTACTCATCGCAGGCGAACTACACCACCAATCTGGATGGTGGAAGGTCATCCGCCAGGAGGCCTACCGCTGGCGAACTCTCTGTCTGGCTCGACCTGCTTCTGACGGGATCATAGAGCCCCTTTCTTGTCCCTCACTGGAGAAGCTACGCGTCAGACACGAAAGGCTGGAAGTCCCCTTCCCCAGCGCGCCACAATCTACCCATTCAGAGGTCATTCGTCTCTATACGAATCTCAGCAACGCGCCTCGTCTGCGCCTCGTCGACATCGTGTTTTATGCAAGGGATAATATAGAGGGTGACTTGCGGTTTCCAGAGAGCTGGCGGCTGACTGCCCTCCATCTCCATGACGGCATATATCGGAGCCGTCGCCCCCTTCTGTCGCTCATCGCGCGTCAGGCTTCGACGTTGGAAGAGGTCGACGTGAGCGCCAGTACATCGGGTTATTTCGAAGGGGAACCAACGAGTTCGACGCCACTGCGCCTCCCTCGGCTGAAGAAGCTTACCTGCATGGGCGCTGGATATTGCCTCATCGAGAATACCGTTGCACCCGCCCTCGAGACGTTGCACATTGATCGCAATCCCGATGGCGACGTCAGACGAGTCCTCGAGCGAATCTCCACATTCCCCGCGCTTACAAAGTTAACCCTCGCCAACGTTGCGTGGGAGTCGGGCTCACTGCTCTCCACGCTACGCAGCCTGTCGCAACTCATATCGCTCAGTCTCGCGGAGGACACCCAGGGGCTGATCATTACCGAGGCTCTGCTATCTGGCCTGACGCGCGGTGATGTCGATGTAGGGGGCGTGCTCACTCCGCCGAATCTCCATTGTCCGCTTCCCAACCTGGTCAGCATGCATATCTTGCTATCCAAGCCCGAATGGAGCGACACGTACGAATCGTCGCTAGCAGTACCTCTACGCACGATGGCACTGTCGCGCCACAGAGGCGCTGCTGATGATACAGACCTTCGCGCGCTAGAAATATTCGATGCTCGGTACAGCCACTGCGGAATGAAGGATGCGAAACCGATACTTGCCTGGGGGTTCGAAAATGATAGTTAAATACCAGGGCATCATTGGCATGCATATTAGGGAAGCATTTACGAGCGCGCCACTCTCGAGTTTCCCAGCGGAGGATGACTAATGTCCAACAAATATATACTCAGAATGTGTACACCGCCCTACTAGGCGAATACATCGTCAAGCCATGTCTCGTAATCGTACATAGGCTCCCCTGCTTCGTTTGGCGCGCTAGGTATGGCATCGCGCAGGTAGTCGATGGCAGGGGCAGGCAGCTTGGCGATCCGGAGGTCGAGCTCGGTGAAGTACGGCTGGACAGAGTATGATCAGTGAACAGCCTTGGTCGACAGCATGAGGGCTGCGCACCTTGTCCATAGCCAGGCCACGGAATGCTTCTCGCAGCTGCTCTGGTGACGTCTGATCCTCGGTGATATCCACCTAGAGTCGCTTTAGCCACGCAGCCCCTTCACTGAAACCAGCAAACGTACCAGCAAGTTGATGAACGCCTCATACGACACCGCGCCGTAGTCCTGCACAAGCTGGTCGTAGATGTAGTCCATATCCTCATCCTGAGATGGAACAGCCGTCAGTGCCAAACCTGCAAGGAACCGAACGACAACTGACCGAGTATACGATTCCCAAACTCGCCAGCGCCGCGATCATCTCCGACTGGTTGAGTGTATTGCTCTCATCCCGATCAAAGTACCGGAACGTGCTCTCGAACTGCTCGAGCTGCGCCGGCGTGAGGTTCGTCATATTGCGCGACACGATCTGTCCAACACTGTCAGCCTCCTATCCAAACCCGACGAAACCCTTCGGAATCGATGGAGCCTCTCGGCCTCGGCGAAGCCCCAACCCACCTGGTTATCTATAAACGCGATTTTCTTCTGCACGCTCTGCCTTAGCAGCTCAAGCTCGAACTCGAGATCTTGCGTCGTGAAGATCGTGTAGTCGTTCTCCTCGACATTCGCTGCCGCGCATTCTGCCTCGGCCGCTCGTACGTCGTCGAGGACTTCCTCTATACAAAGCATCAGCCCCACATTCGTCGAGTGGCACCGAGCCGCCTCCACCCCCAGCCGCGCTGGCCCGGTAGTCACCTACCTAACGTCCCCATCCTCAACTGCACCGCCTGCACCTGCTGCTGCTGCTCCTCGAGCGGGCCCTCGATGTCCGCCAGCTCACGATCGATACCGTGCAACCGCTGTTCGAACGCATTCGCCAGGTCGGCAAACTTGCGGCGGAGCGTCTCTTTGATTCTGATCATTGCGAGGGTCAGCCGGCGCGCCCATGACTGCGAACGAGCAGAACCACTCACTGCCGAATCTCCGCATTGATCGCCCGGCTCCGCCGCGCCTCGCTCCCCAGCAGTTCCTTCCACGCCATGTCGACGTCCGCGGGCGCGAGGCCGGGAGGGGGCACGTACTCGCGCAGGCCGTACGTCTTCAGCTTCGTCTGGACGTTGAAGAAGAGGGTAGTAACCTCCTGCTTCTCCGTGACCCACTCCCGCTTCCGCGTCTGCTTGTAGTGGAGGAAGTCCGCCGACTGCTGCTTCGCGGAGGCGTAGTTGCCGTTGAAGACCGAGGATTCCCATTCTTTCTGGACATGCGACAGTGCTTCGAGGAGCTGGGAACCTTCTTTAGCAAGGTGGCGCTGATGGCGATGGACAGTGGAAGGAGCATGCTCGGACGACCCACCAATCGGACCCTTCGCTCGTAGTCATTCCTTGACACCCATACGGACTGCATGAGTTCTGCAAACTTCTCGACTCTCCGCGATACGGTTTCTGCCTGGTCTGCAGAGCATCGTCAGGGAGATGCAGAAGCGAGGCTAACGCAAGTCACTCACCCATACTCGAGAACGCATGGAAGAAGCTCGCGATGTAGGTCATCACACTACGCTCGTCCGGCTTCACCGAATCGCACAGGTCCTCGACCTCTAGTAGCTGCGGGATATTGAGATGCTCAGCAGCAACATCAAAAGCGCGCTGCGTGTTGCCGTGCCGGTCTGCCTTGGTGCGGGTTAGTTCGGTGTCCTCCACATCGCCCCAAGCAATCGAAGTCCAGAAACCGACGGACCTTATCCAACTTATCGTAGTCGATCAAATCGGGCCTATGGCAATGGATCAGCGCGCACAGCGCGAGCCCGTCCTGCCAGCTGTACGTGAAGTCTTGCACGTCGACCTCCTTGTACGGCTCGGTCTTGCGCTGGCACCAAAGGAGGAGACCTTCCTTGGCGGAGAGACCTTCTTCGCTGGCTTGCGAGGTCAGAGGGATGTGAGGAGGCAGGGTGGGGTAGTGCGGGGTACACACCTAATGTCTGCGATGGTGAAGCGGAGGATGAGGGTCCAGATCATGCCGAGGATAAGCTTAAGGTTGCCATCGATGATGTCTGAGGGCGTGGATGAGTGTCGGAGGGAGAGGGAGGGATGGGACGCGTCGCAGGGAGGACGGACGCACCCTCAGGGCCGATGTTTGTGAGCTTCACGCCGCGGGAGAAGATGAATTCGAGCGCTTTGTTGACGTTCTCGGCCTTCTGAACGCGCATTCGTGGATTCTTGTTGTATCGCCCGAGGGAGACGTCACCTGAATGCGCGATCAGCACTGTCCGCTGTGGTTCTCTTGAGCCACCGTACCCATGATCTCCTGTTCTTTGTTCAGCATGCTGCCTCCGTGTAGTCAATGACCACGCACCATGAGCTGTATCAGTCGTACTCCGTCGGACAAGTCATCTACAAGGGATCTCATCGGTGGGTACCCATTGGCTTCCAGCTTCGTATTCAGCCTGCGGGATGGACATCAGATGCAGTGCATGCCGTAGAGGACGATGCGTCGAGACCATTTGCAGAAGGTGCGCTCCTGCATGTCGCGGGACCTGCTCTCCAGGTCCATCGACATCGACACCATGTTGATTAAAGATGGAGGCGTAAAGTACAAAGTCAAGCTGCGGGGTCCGGCGCTTACCTTGTGATCTCCGAGCAATCCTAAAGAGGAAGGATTTCCCCGCGCGTAGATGTAGCCGCCCTTTCGTGGCTTGGGAAAATCAGAGAAAGGTGCAGGAGCATCTGAAGGGGTACTGGACCATCAGTAGGGTCTTTTGGTGGCTTGGTCTGCCTTGAACGACGAGCGTCTCGATTCCAGCCCTTGCCATTTGAGGAGGTTTGTCCGGCCCGCCGTGATCATTTCTCGACGCGACCGCGACGCGTCTTCCTCTCGACCACCATCTCCTTGCCCCCACGATGTCGAGCACGCAGTTCGACAACATATATCATGGTCTGGGATCGAGCGTAGGCAGTGAGTTACGACCTCATCACCGGTGGCAGCGGCTGAGAGAAAACAGAACTTCGCGTCGCCAGCAGTGGTATGGCGTGGAAAGGCTCCGAGGGGGAGCCAATTGTCGCCCTCCCAGCCGACGACATCAAGTGGGCGCAGTGGCTACGCGTTGCGCGCAACTACCAACTACGCGTCGGCGTAAAGGACCACCAGAAGCATCATTTTGACGGCTTTGCGCGCGAGGTGCGTCCCCCGCACGTCAAATCCGCAAAACTTACTCATCTCGCACGCAGGATCACGACAAACTAGCCACTCTCCTCAGAAACTACTTCAGTGTCGCGATCGAGACCAAAGAGATCACCTTCAAGGGCTGGAACTGGGGCGACACCGACTTCCAGGGCCAGGACCTCGCCTTCCTCGTCTCGGACCGCGTGGCGTTCGAGCTCCCCCTTCAGAATGTCGCCAACTCTAACATCGCCGGCCGTACTGAGGTCTCGCTCGAGTTTTCCGGGCTCACAACGTCTAAGAGCGTCCGCCCGCAGGGCGACGAGATGGTCGAGATCCGCTTCCACGTTCCGGGCGTGCAGACGAAGCTCAAGGGCGAGTCTGCGAGCGATGCAGGCCAGTCGGACGACGAGGAGGAGATCAGTGCCGCCCAGGTCTTCCACGACCTCATCAAGGACAAGGCGGAGATCGGGCAGGTGTCGGGCGACATGATCCTCAGTTTCGAGGAGGTGCTCATTCTGACGCCGCGCGGGCGGTACGATCTAGACATGTTCCCTGACTTCCTGCGTCTACGTGGCAAGACGTACGACTACAAAATTGTGTACACGAGCATCTCGAGGTTGTTCTTGCTTGCGAAGGACGACAACCACGTCTTGTTCATTGTGGGTGGCTACCATCTTATGTGCGGCGTCGTTTGACACCTCGCCAGCTCGGCCTCAATACCCCCATCCGTCAAGGACAAACACGCTACAGCTACCTCGTCATGCAGTTCACGCACGAAGAGGAAATCACTGCTGAGCTCAACATGACCGAGTGCGTGGCACTTCCCTTCTCCCAGATCACTCCTCTGACTTTCCGTCAGCGAGCAACTTGCAAAATACAACGGCACACTCGAGAAGAGCTACGAGAAGCCCACCTATGAGGTCGTCTCCGCCATTTTCAAGGGCCTCACTGGCAAGAAGATCATCGGTGTCGGGGGCTTCAAGTCTACCGCCGACCACCCAGGCATAAAGGCCAACCTGAAGGCCGTCCAAGGCGACCTCTTCATCCTCGACAAGCAACTCTTCTTCGTCTCCAAGCAGCCCCTCCTCATCGACTTCTCCGACATCCACGCCGCCATCTTCTCCCGCGTCGGCGGCGGCACCGGCTCGCGGACCTTCGACCTGCGCGTCGAGACGCGCTCGGGCCCCGAACACACGTTCTCGAGCATCGCGAAGGAGGAGTACGAGGGTGTGGAGAAGTTCCTGAAGGCGAGCAAGCTGAAGGTGAAGAGCGAGAGCGTGCCGGACGCGGAGATGCTGATGCAGGCGGACCTGGGCGACGACGATGACGAGGACGAGGAGATGCGCAGCGTGGGCTCGGACGTGCCGAAGCGGCGCGCGCTGGACGATGATGATGATAGCGAGGACGATGGTGCGTCGGTGCTCAGGGGAGCGCGAAGCGCTTGACGCTGACATGCTTCGCAGAGGACTTCCAGGCCTCCTCGACCGACGAGGGCTCACCCAGCGAGGACGAGTCTGACGACTCGGGCGCCGCCACCGCCTCCGACGCCAGCGGTGATCGCGACGTCGCCAAGGTCGTCAAGAAAAAGAAAGAGAAGAAGGCGAAGAAGGGCGCCGACGGCGAGGCTCCCAAGAAGAAAAAGAAGGCCGCCGCGCCCGAGGGCAGCGACGCCGAGGATGACGACGACAAGCCCAAGGCGTCGAAGCCCAAGCCAAAACCCAAGCCGAAGGCGAAGAAGGCGGACGATGCGATGGACGTGGACGAAGAGGGCGGGAGGCCGAAGAAGAAGGCGGCGAAGAAGGATAGGGACGATGGGATGGACGTGGATGATAGGCCGAAGCCGAAACCACGCCCGAAGCCGAAGGCGGCGAAGAAGAAGGACGCGGACGAGGATGAGGATGCGCCGCCGAAGAAGAAGGTGAAGACGAGTGCGGATTAGGGGAGTGGTACGGGTGCCTGTCGTGTCGTCGTCGCCCTTTGCTTTGTTTATGATTTGTATCTTCGCTGTGCACTGTATTTCTATCCACTAACTATCGCTTGCTTGAACGGTGCTGACGCACAGCTCGGCCTCCTTGCAGCGCGCAAGCAAAAATAAAGTGAGGATTCCTTCGTGTGTGCCCTGATTCCCTTGTACACTGTTGGTTATTCTACACAATGTCCAATTATGCGAGAGCGAAGTCCGGTAAGTAACGGGTCCAACAAGCTACTCCATACCGCTTTCTTTTGTATGTTCATACTTTTCTTTAGGTGTTCAAGCCTCACTGCCGCCGCAACGCCCACATATCCGTCCTCCACCCAAGGACCGCCAGTCCAGCAGCACCCGCGAAGCAGGTACCCGAATATACTATCATACTTCCAAACCGCCCGCCGCCGACAGCGAAGCCAGTCGCCGAGCCCGCCATCGCGTGCGCGCTCTTGCCGATGAGGGCGGTGGCGATGGGCGTGGAGAGGACATTGCCGATGCCTCGGCACATGGATATGTAGCCGAAGAGAGTCGAGGAGAGGCCTGGTTCTTCTTCTGCGAACCGACCTCAGTATCGCGGTGGAGACAAGGAGGCACGGGAAGGCTCACTAGCATACGTCCGCGCAAATGTGGTCCAAAGGGTGCTGAAGCCGCCTGCGACGACACCGTAGACGATGCCGAACGCGATGAGGCCAGCGAAGGTGTTGCCGACGACGCCCCAAAGGATAAAGGTGGCGAGGCAGGTCGTTATGAGGGAGCCAAGCGCCAAAGCCCAGGAGTTGAAGCGGTCGGACAGGTATCCCATGTAGAGACCGCCTAAGACAGAGGCGCCTGTGAGGGCTATAAGCGCATGTTAAGAAGAGGGATGAGCGACTTACCATTCAGTGCGGCGAGTGCAATAGCGGACTGCAGCGAGCTGAAAGATTGGTCGCTGGCGAAGGCTGGACATTCTCAGATAGGCTGAACGCGCATTAAAATGATGGAACGACGTACTCGGAAGCCACACAATAGGCATGAAATACCCAAAGCCCTGGATCAAGTCGACAAGGATATAGATCCAGAACGACATATTCTTCAGGAAGTCGCGATTGCTCGCGCGCGGCGCAGGACCGCGGACCTTGCTGATGGGCAGCCGGCCCTTGTTAAACGGCAGCAGCGGAAACATGATACATGCGATCGAGATGGCGAACATGCGGAGGGTGTACGGTGCCCCGTGCTTGGCGATGATGGGCGGGAAGACGAGTGGGAGGATGAGTCCGCCGACGGAGGTTCCGGCGAAGATGATGCCGCTCGCTGTGCCGCGCAGCCGTATGAACCATTCGGACATGAAGAGGATGGTCGGTGTGTAGACAAGCGCTGTTGCATTCAGACTCAGAGGCAGAGACTGGACAGAGCGGACGTACCACCACCTATGGCGTATAAGACGCCTTGGAGCGCGACGAGCGTGACAATCTACGAGGGAAGACCATCGTATCAGCGTCACGGTAGAGCTATCATGAGCGTGCGATTTACCGACCTGGGTGGTGTAGCTTGCGGCGAAGAGACTGGACGCGCATAGCGCGGCACCTAGCCAGACTGCAGGCAAACGGACCTGGGGATATTTGATAATAATGGGGTAGAGGAATGGCCCTGCGCGAAGATGAGATGACATGCAAAGCTAGAGGTCGCAGAAGAAGACTGACCGGAGCAGTACTGTATGCCGGAAGAAATTGTGCCAACCAATGGCAATAAAGACGCCGCATTCTTCTGCGATGCGTATACGGGATCGTCCAGATAACCTGGGAGATAGTAAGAGTCAGAAGATGCTCTAGCTGTTAATGCAGGAACTCACTCTCTAGAAACACGCCATAGGAGAATGGGAAGCTCCACGCGATGGCTTCGACAAAAAAGGCAGCTATCATCTGCTGAGCGTCAGTGATTGTGGCACACCCCGCGGGGTTGGAATATGCGTACAAAACACCACGCATGGAGACCTCCGTCCGCGGGGTAGAGAGCAGACTCGTTGACGGCCGCCGTAGACCTACTAGGCGGGCTCTCGATGTCCGGTGTCCGTGGCGCAGAGTCCGTGTAGTCGTCCGGATCCTTGAAGTGGCAGGTCGAGGGCCTGCTGAGCTCGATGAGCCCTTCGTTCAGACGCGACATGGTAGAAAATTATGTTGCACTCACCGTCCGTTCCGACTCGATCACATATATACTCCCCAATCCGCCGTCGGCATCGATGAGGTCCCCCACACGTGCGGCCAGGCTTTTTATGACAAGAACACGGAGAAGCTTGAGGACGTCAGTCGTCTCACTTCTGTGGGATCCCTAAACGTATTGTGAGCTAATCATAGCGGCGATGTAGGTGCATATTGCGTACCAGGTCAAAGGGCCAAGAGGGTTTGCAGGAACCCGGAAGAGTCCAGAGCTGCACACCTGCTTACACCTGTTGATGCCGCGCAAATAAGCACCCACCGGCCCAAATTTCGCCCCAAATTTTCATCTGCGATCTTCCCCGTCGCCTGGCTGTCCATTATGCACAGTAACTAGTTCTACATTCGAGTGTTCTGTCCTTACAGTATCAAAGGTTCCTAATAAGACTTACGACGATAAAGACTCCGGCTCCTCGATGAAGATCTCATCCACCTCCTTCCACTTCGCCTTCTCCCTGCCACCTTCCCTCCAGCACCGCTCGCGTTCGAGCCAGTACTCTAGCTTCCCCTCGACCTTCGAGGGCACCCAGACCCGCTCGCCCGTATCCCCATCCGTCTCCGCGCGGAACCAACGAGGTGCGTGCGGCGGCAACTTGCCCTCCTCCCTCGCGCGCCGTATCGCCCGCTGCTTCTCCTCCTGAGCCACCTTCAAGTCGTTCGCCAAGTCCCACTTGCCCATCTCGAACGCACGCTGGTCCGGCCTCAACCGGCAGTCTGTCGGGCAGACATACGGCTTCAGGGTATCCTTCGGGCAGTCATTGAGGGTGATCGCGAATGGCGTGAGGTTGAAGGGCGACCTAGGCGGCTTCTCCGAGTTGCGCCAGAGCAGCAGGTAGTCGGACGACGCCGACGGCGAGCCCGGTCCGCTGACGCTCATGTCAGGGTGTATGTGGCCGCTGCCATCCGTCGCCAGGCGTGCGATGAGCTGCGAGTTCCACCGGCCGGCAATCTCATATACAAGGCGCCCAGAGGCATCGACCACCTTGCCCGCAATCTCGAAGGCGTCCCGCCCCCGCCAGCCGCGCGGCTTAAACGTCAGAATGCACTGGTCGCCCGTGCGGTGGTTGGTCACCTGGACTCTGGTCAGGCCGAAAACTCGAGTCACGGACGCAGATCATCCACGTACCACCATGTCCCCGTAATGGTCGATCGAAGGCTGTGCCAAAATGAAGCCCGAGACGCACGTCGTGACCTTCTTCCAACTGTAGTGCTCGACCACCTTGCCCTTAAACTTCTCCGACTTGGGGTAGTCAGGCGCCCACTCCTCCGGTAGTAATAGCTCTGCGTGCGCGACCCCCGTGGGGCGGATCTCGAACGACTTGCCCGTGAATTTGTTCTTCGCGTCGACCTAGACGAACAAAAGCACGTCAATTACGTCGCTCTTGACGATGCGGTCCTCATCTCGCGTACCTCCCCAAAGTAATGCCAAAGCGGCGACTCCGCCCAGCAGGCCGAGATCGGCGGGTGATGGCTGACTTGCTCGGACACGTAGCGGTACTCCTTGTCGAAGCTCACGTACTCGAACGTCTCGCTCAGCATGGGGTTGAACGGCTTCGCAATGCGCCCGATCGTTGAGGAGTAGTTTGACATCCCGAACGCTGCGACGTACGCTATCCTGCGGAGAGCGTCGCGGTCTTTCGCTGCCACGTCCACTGCAGCAAGGTGAGCCCTCGACCACACATGACAAGCCATGATTTGACTCACAGCATTCAGAGAACTCCATGTCTTCCGCCATGCGCTGCAACATACTCGTCGGCTCGTTGAACGACACCGGGAAACTGATCTTCGTCAAGTCCTTCCCGATGCTGTTCTTCAGCACACTCCAGAGGCTGACGCTCGGCCGGTCATCCGCGCTCAAAGGTAGCTCATGGCGCAGGTGCCTGTACCCTTCATACGGCTTGCAGTCATACCCTGGCGGCAGATCCGTCGCATCATGCGACGGGCTCTTCAGCGGGGCCGGCACCTCCAGATTCGGGATCGCATTCGCCTCGATCGCATCGAAGAACTCGTCCTCCTCGTCGGTATCGCAGCTCTCCCCGTCGTCCATCGCCGCGGGCGAGAGCGTCTCGCGTGCCGTCAGCGTCGCCTGCGTCGAGCGTCGGGGCGTCAAGATGGGCCTATCCGCCGTCTCCGGCTTCGGCGTCGGCAGCGTCTCCTCCGCGGGCGTGAACACCTCTGGCAACGGCACACGCGCCTCCTGCGCCACCGACGACGCTCTTGGGCGCAGCGTCAGCGTCTTCACCGTGCCCATGCCTACGTTATCGGGGTCGAACATTCGACTGCCGCGCCTCCTACTCCTTGCCCTCAGCTCCTTCTCCAGCTCCTCGCCCTCGCGCACGACCGCCGCCAGACTCTCCTCCCACACCGCCGCGCGACTGCGCTCCTTCGCGAGCTGCTTCCGCCACCAGTCGTCGCGCTCCTTTGCCATCCCGACGTGCTCCGACACGAGCTTCTGCGCCGTGCGCAGCGCGTCGCCAAGGGCTGTCTTAAGCTCGCGCGTCCGCGGGGGCGTGTCGAGGGGTAGGTCGAGGTTCGAGAAGAGCTGGAGGGTGAGCTCGAGCTGTGCAGCGGCGGTGTTGCCCTGCAGCTCGAATGTGTCCTCGTAAGGTACGCGCCCCCGTCGCGAGTCCGAGTCTGACTCTGACGCGTCCTCGTCATCGTCTCGGCGGTCATCATCAGGCCGCGGACTCGCACCCGCATCGCTCGTGTCGTCCCGTGCACTCTTGTCATCCAGGTGCGAGCTCGAGGACGCCGCCTCGTTCGACCGGTGCGTCCTGCTCGAGCCATGCCGGTGCATAGACATCGACAAGCTCGTGACACTACCTCGAATCGTCCGATGCGCTGCCGGCGACTGCTCGCCAACGGAGTCCGTACTCTGGATGCTGATATCGTCGCGCTTGTACCACTCGATGCTCTGGTTAATGGCCTGTATCCAGCGGTGCGCCTCGACGGGGTGATTCGCCTTCATGTACCACTTCTGCACGCCGGAGTGATGTCCCTTCGACGGCATAGAGTGCACTTCGAACCGCAGCTTGTCTTGACCGGGAGGAGTTTTCAGAATAGCGGTCTTCATTGATATGGATCCTCGACTTGCGATGGTCTCGTCTTCCTGGTGCCGGTAGTCTGTGCATTGTGAGTATCATGAAGATGACTGGACGCGGGCCGGATAACAGAAGGGCCGCTTACATGAGAGGACTCCGTCCTTCAGGACGAACCATCGCGTGTTGTAGCCCTTCGCGACATTGGTGTACTTGTTGAGGTAACCTTGCAACGATGGCGGCTGCGACGAGAGGACCTGATTCTGGATTAAAGTCGCGTCGTGGTTGGCGTCTGAGCTGGACATTAGCACACTACATACGGCGAGGCAGAGGTCACATACACTGTCGTAAGAACACGCGGACTTTGTCGTCTTTTCCCGTCCCCTCGTAGGGCATCTTGCCCCTGCGATTGCGCACGAAGACATCGGCGCCAGCTCGCACAGCCAACTCGATTAATCGGAGATCACGCCGCTTAGCCGCCTCGTGCAGCAATGACGTCCCCGTGTCGTCGTCCAGATAGCTGAGGTTCACGAACTTAATGCGAGGCGATTCGAGCAATTCGATAAGGCCTTGCGGGGGAGGGGAGTCGGGTGGGGATAGGATGTACGAATGCAGGAGCGAGCGATATCGTGCGTTGAGGAAGGATCGAGAATCTGAGAGCGGGTGGGTGAGGTCAGGGATAGCGGATGTGCCGCACTACGCACCTTCGATGGCGCGTACAACGGCCTTGCCGCGCGCGACATCCTTGCAGTTCCGGCCTTGCGAATCTAGGATGGTGTCGTCTATGTTCTCTTGTTCGAGCAGGAGGTTCACGATGTCGGCCCGACCGAGCGAGGCGGCCAGATGGAGGGGAGTGGTGCCGGACCCGGGGGGATGGATGCCATTGGGCGAGATCGCGCGATGGGAAAGCAGCAGAGCGACGGTCTCCACTAAATCCCTTGTTAGTACGCGCACGGCGGGATCGTCAAGTCCACGCACCCGACGCGCATCGGACCGCGAGATGTAGCGCCGCCGCTCCCGTATCCAGGTCGCCATCCTTGTCGACCGACTTTCGTCTATCCTTGCCAATCTCCGCGAGGAAGGGGTGGATAAGGGCGGGGTCGCCGCTGCGGATCGCAGCGAGGAGCTTCACTTGGTACAGTGGTTCTGACGTGTCTGCGCCGCGTACTGTCAGCATTGCCGGTCCCCCGTGCAGATTCGAGCACACGCACTGGAGTCCTTGCCAGAAGACGTCGTAGACGCCGCTTTGGAAGAGCTTGGGGACGCCATGGTACGAGTTTGGGGGTGTATACGCGGGCTGGGCTTGTAGGCACCGCACTATCGTGCCGCGAACGGGCCAGACGGTTGCGTGTTCGTGCAACAGGTGTCGTGTGAGACGATTTGGATCGAGGGGATGCAAAGGAGAGAGAACAATGGGGGGTATGAACAATGGCAGGACGAAAGCAGGAGGAAAGCAGCGTTCGCGGGTTCGCCAATGAAGCGCACCCACGCACGTGGCACGGACCCACAGAGTTGAACTTCGCCGGTCGGCACCTCGGGCTCTATCTCAACCTTCGGCAGGTCTGCGGTAGAAAGATGCGATAGGTATGGATACTCGACTACAGGAGGCTAGCGAGCGACATGGACTAGGGCTACAGCGTAACAGGAGAAACAGAGCGATAAGGAATGTGCAGGCGAGGAAGCAGCGGGAACTCAGGAAAGGAGGGAGTGACTACAAAATAAGACGGCCAGGAGCTGAGGTATGCTACATAAATCGTGTCAAGTCATAGACGTGCCGTAAGAAGCAGAGGGGAATATTAGGACAGATAGTACAATAGAAAAAAAATCAACCTCGTCGGCAGCGCTTGTTGTCCCCCTCGGAGTCGCTGGCACACTCGCGCTTGCGCTTGAGGTAGGCCTGAAGGGAGATACGACGAGGACGACCGCCAAGGTGAGAAGATCCGGAAGGAGACTGGGATTCGAGGGAGGCACGGCTCAAAGCCTTCGCGAGTGAAGTCGTCTCTTGTTGGCAAGACGCCGAGAGTGCGCTCTCGGCGAGCGCTAACAGGCGGTCTTCACTTGACTTCGTACCGTGACGGTGGTGAAGAGGCCCGCATTCAACGGGGTGCTTTATAGACGGCGATTGCTGTCCTGACGAAGTCGTCACATGGAAGACAGGGGAAGGGGAAAGTGAGCGCCCTCCGTCGATGACCGACTGACAACCCTCAGCCGCTTGAAGGTCCGCAACATCCCTCACCTTCCCCACCCTGCCCCACTTCACGTCCTCCATTCCCATCGTATCCTCCATCGCCCGCACCATCGCGCGGAAGATGCCCACACGCCGCCTCGCCTTCGCCGCCGCGTCCCGGAACGCAAGCAGGACAGCCTTCTTCTGCTGCTCTATCGCATCTCTTCGCGCACGGGCCTCGCGCTGTTGTGGACGTAGAGGGCGACCGCGGCGGGAGCGGATTTCGAGATCGGGGTTGGCGGGGAATGGCTCTGAAGTAGCGGGGAAGACCGGGCCACTGAGGGGAGTCGTGGCAGGTTGAGGAAGAGACGCGGAAGAAGATGCAGATTTGGAGGTGTCTCCTTTCTTGACGTCGCCGGAGGACAGGGCAGAGGCTGTGACCGTCTGCGGAGGAGCGGCAGCCTTCGCCTTCCTCGCCCTGAAAACGGGCTCCGGTATCCTAGGCCCCACGACGCAGGGCTTCTTCGCCTCCTCCTCCTCGACCTCCTCTCTATAATACGGTCTGCGCGCCTCCGCTTTCGCGCCCTCCACCTTCGCGACGTCCTCCTTCACCTTCGTGGCGTCCTCCGCCACCTTCGCCACCTCCTTCACTATCTCGCCTTGCTTCGCCCGCGCATTCACTTTGAGCGCAAACTTCGTGTCCCTCGGGATCCGGGGCTTCTTGCCCGGACCCTTGGGCGCGTCCACAAGGTCGTTGAAGACAAGGATGGCAGGGCCAAGCAAGGCGGGGTCGGATTCAACGAGGGGGTGGAGGGCAAAGTCGGGCTTGGGGCGCTCGTAGTCGTTCACGTTTGAATTGATGAAAGGGTCAGTCGGATCGGTAGGAGAGTTGTTGGACTGCGGTGGCTTCTTTGTAGCCACACCAGGATCATTGAGGCCGTCTTCACTCGAAGTCAAGGGTCGAGAAGGACGATCACCGGTCACGGCCTGCGCGACGGTCAGAGGAGACCCAAGCATCGGAATGGCAGAACTGGCGCCATCCTTCTCAGCACCGCATTGCATAGCACTGTCGCTCGGAGCATCCTTCTCGGGATTCGTCTGCCACTTCCTGGCGATCGGAACAGTAAGTTCCTCGGGGGACTCGGCGTGCGGCGAGGCCGAGTCTGGATACTGCAACTGCAGCGGACCATCGTCCTCAATATCGCCCTCGTCGTCGAGAGAAAGGTCGATGAGCAGCGGCGGCAAGGGTATCTTGGGGAAGCAGGACTGGGCGACACAGATGGGCGCATCGAAGTGAGCAACACAACTGGGAACATCGGGATCAGCGCGCTCCGACGATCGAGGCGACGCTGACATTGGAGGGGAGGAAGGTTGATTCTCGCACGCTTCGTATGTTGACGTTGGAAGGACTTGAGAATCGACCGACTCTTTCCTTGCAGGCACAGGCCCATCGGCGCTGCCCCACGGCCGTCGCCACAAAGCCTCCTCATCCGGCGCGTTCAAGATGAACGACAAGCTGGTCTTGCTCGAGTGAGCGGGCTGCGTGGGGCTCAAATAGTTGGGCTCCGCAGGATGAGCATCGCCAGCCGCGCCTCCCCAGTTGACTGGATTGAATACAGGCCGAGGAGTGTCCCCCACCAGGGGAGCACGATGTGTGGCGCCATGAACACGATGTTCCCCGCGGCGTCGTTGGACGCACGACCTCCGCGTAGAACGCTGCACGCCCGACTTGCGGCCAGCGATCGACCGCCTGAGACTAGCTTGTGATGAGGCGGAGGACTTTGCGGGAGACGAAGGGGCGAAGTAGAAAGGATCCTGCTCCAACACGCTCGTGCGCGCCGAGTCCGGGAGCGGACGATGATCGAGAGAGGGAGAGCGCGATCGGTGAAAGGAGGGCGTCGGGGAAGGATGGTCTTCATCTTCTTCTAGAAGATCTTGAGAAGTGAACAATGGCGTCTCGCGGAATGTGAAAGGATACGGGTGTTTGCGGCGGGCTGCGATGGAATCAGTGCCGGATGTGGACGAAGCAGAATGTGGCGCACCGCTGGGTCGCTTCCCGCGTCGTATCGGATAGCTCTGTATGCCAAGGGTGCAGTCCAGCGTCGGCATGGCTGTAAGGATCGTAGACTTGAATGCGGCGAAGGGGTCGTCTATGGTGAGATCGGGAGACGTCTAGGGCTTGGCTGTATGTGACGACAAGCAAGAACGAGGAAAGGGAAGCTCGCCACAATGAGGACAGTGAAGGGAAAGGAACGCAGGAAGGAAAGAAACCATTGAGGCCTTTATATATGGCTTTCGAAGCTACATGGGGTAACCGTGGCAGCACAATAGATTGCGGGTGCGTGACCTAGTGTGGGCGCAGCGCATGCCGGCATCGTGAGAGGAAGGGTAGAAGGTGATTCAGGCCTGTCCTCCGCGGTAGACAGCCAGGACGATGTACTGAATGGTAGTGGGGTGATCATGAAAGCTCAGGACAAGCTTGAAGTTGTAGCATACGTGCCGCTCACGTTATCGCGACACCACGTGTGAATTGCATCTCTGACTACCAGAGAATCTTCAAATTGAGCTTGTCAGAGTTACGTTCGTATTCATAGTTCTATAGAGCATTATACCAAGTAACAATTAATAATTTAGCTACGTTAAAGTCCCGGAGCGGGTATGTGAAAGTCGAAGTTCCGGTCTGTCGTGAACCGCGTTAAGGCCTTGTGCGTCACACCCTCGATAACTATAGCGTCCTTCCTGGATTCTACCAGGTCAATCAACTGCTCCTTGAGATCATGCTTGCACGCAGAATAGAAATTCAGAGTTAGAGACGTCAGGTTCGGGAGGGGCTCAGAGGGCAACGGGTCGTCCGCCCTGGTCAGCCAGTCCAGAAACCTAGGACATAGCAGCTCGTTGACGGTTTCCCTGAACTCCTTGGTAACCTGTCCAAACAGCGTGGCCGCGACGTGCAAGTCCTCGAGATGCACCAGAGCTCCCAGGCACTGGCGCACGGCAGCGAGCGACCCTTGCCACACGATGGCTTCGAGTGAGAGGCGGCGGAGGGTCTGCGCGAGGTTTGTGCGCTGTGCGACGTTGTAGAGAGTGATGAACGGGCCCGGTCGCATGCGCTGCTGACCTATATCGCGCATGGTGATGCTCGCGAGCTTCGGGGCATCCAAAGGGGCGAGCGCCGTGTAGCCTAAGCCAGAGAAAGTGGCATCGACGAGATTCGGAGCCGTGATCTGGATGTCTGAAGAGATTGAGGGCGGGAAGGCGAACGCGTAGTGACGGCCGTGGACTCGGAGCACGGCGAGCGTCTCCAGCTCTGCCCTATGCCGCGACACGGCGTCGACTACCCCACCGAGCTCCTCGTCATTGGCCGTGCGGAGGATAAATGTCAGGTGCGGGATGTCTTGCCAAGGGAGGCGGACGTTGGGATATGCGACCTCGAGGGTCACATCACGGAGGTTGGACGCGTTCGCGAGAAAGTCAAGCGGAAGCTGTGGTTTGTCCGCGTCCGGTTCCTCGTCGTGCTCCAGCCAGGAGATTGCTGCAATAGATACCGACTCCAGACGCGGCAACTCCAGCTCTTTTTGTCGCGCGAAGACGAGGAAATCGCCGGTGATGTCCAGCCTTCTCCACCTGTGCATCGACAGCTGCGCGACATACTGAAGAACCTCCGCCGCAGTTTTCCACTCCTCCTCATCGATGGTCATACATTGCCACATGTACGCGTCAACAAAGATATGGAGAGGTAGCTGCCCAGAGCGCGCCACATACGTCGAGATAGCATGCTTTGAGGGCGGTTCGGGATCAGTTGGGATGTTGACCTCTGTCCACAGCTGCGGGGTACTGAGAGCGACGGTACGCCATACACGGCAGACCCTCGTGAGACATGGCTCTCCGAAGTTCTTGTCGTGAATGCGTACGCCTGTCAGCGCGAGGTCGAAGATCAAGGACAGGATCTCGTGTGGCAGCTGCAGCACCGGCGCCAGCAGGAAGTTGTTGATGTCGGTCTGAGCGAGTAGCTCGAGCCGTAGTGCGTCGATTCGCGCAATTTCCGCTCTGAGTTCTGAGGTAGATTGGACGATGCCTCGCTTTTGGGAATCGGAGAGAACGACCCCATCGCGCTGCATATCGAGGTGCGCCGTTTGCCGCGCTCTGTCGAGAGGAGTTTCCATATAGACAGAGTATCACAGGACAAAAGTATCTCTCGAACTGAGAGAAGTCGCGAATGACTGAAAGGAGAGCAAGATGGGAGCTTGAGTTGAGCTGGAGCCGCTCGGTCCTCGTTGACCGGCTGTTTCCGACTGTCCACGTGCCATCCCGGTCCGATGTTGAACTTGGAAGCTCAACTTTACTCTAACTCCACTTCTCTCTCAGTGTTCCCCGCCACAGGCTCAGCGAGTTGGCTTGCCCGGGAGAAGTTGCCAATAGAGTGAGTCTGCCCAGGAATTTCCAGCGCTTTTGCAAATTCATCAGTGATTATAATTTGGTGAAAGTTCTTTAGGAGCGCCTGAATTTTTTGGGCATGTGAGTAGACATTATTCTGAGCGCGTGAGTCGCCCTTGACGTCACAGCCTCGCTTACCCTCCGGCGCGACGACAGACGCGCCTCAGCTCTTCCAAACCTGACCGCGGGCTACGATACAATTACCACAAGCCCACCTGCCATGTTGAGGGGGTTTGACGCCGCAAGCAGTGGGCGTAGAGCACAGGCAGCATCGGGACCCATGTTGAAATCTTTCGCAAAGATTGTGAAGTCGTCGTAGAAATCATTGTTCTTGTTACATGAAGTTCGTGAAAAAACATCGATTTTCAGGTTGTTTTTCGTGTAAATTCCTAGGCAGACTCACTCTAATGAGGTGCTTGTCTGGTAGAGGAATCTTCTGCGCCTGTATTACCCTCGGTCGAAATTACTCTGGGCCCGTGAAAGTTCTTTGGAATATTCATGCACATCCACTCCCCTCTGAAAGTTTGGATACGCCTCGAGGCTTGAGTCAACATAAGAAAGCTGGCAGTGGAAGATCGCAAAAAGTAGAGATTGCCAAGGCTGTGTAGGTCATGGGACGCCGAGGCTCCTCGGCGAGTCGCACGGCGCGTTCGTACCTGACGACGAGAACTAAATCGAGAAACACGAGTATTCTTGTCCAGAACCATCATCTGCAGTCCCCATCGTGGACGTGTCGCTCGTTCCCCAAACCCTCGTTCGGCGTGGCATCCGGTTCTCGTCGAATATTCATTCCTTCTCTCCATAGTTCCCGCCCGACGGACGAAAATTCCGGCGCCGTCCTCCTGACCGACCGTGTCGCGTACAGATGCACCTCCCCTGTCCTCTACTTCTTCTTCTACTCGCCTCTTTCCATGTCGACGTCCTCGCCGTGAAGCTCCCCTTCCATGTCATCCACCCGAACCACGACGCGCAGGACGCGGGGCTCGCACGACGCTCGGGGCCCGTCGGCGCCTTCACCAAACGCTCACTCCCAGCGGACGCCCCGCTGAAGCGGAGCGCCCCCGCGCACCGCCTGGCGCACGAACGACGGCGAGCGATGGAGCAGTACGCACCACGTCAACGCTCATCACCCCCACACGCCAAACGCACCACGGCGAACATACCCATCTCAAACACCGGGAACGCACAGTATATCAGTAACATTACCCTCGGAGGAGTCACGGCACGAGTGCTGCTCGATACGGGAAGGTGCGTGTGCGATCTACCGGGCGTGAACCTCGCCGGCTAAATGTGCATGCTGCTAGCTCCGACCTCTGGGTATCCTTCCCCAACGACCAGCCGGACGCGAAGGACCTTGGCAAGAGCGTTTCGCTGTCCTATGCAGTTGGAAACGCGCAGGGCGACATCTACGCTGCGGACGCCGAGTTCGGCAACTTCTCCATCTCACAGCAGGTCTTCTGTGCGTGTCAACCTTTGCGACTGCGCCGAAATCTGACCTTCCTTCAGTAAACGTCAAGGACACTTCCTCCTTCTCCAGCGATATCCATGCTCAAGGATACGATGGCCTTCTCGGCATCGGTCCGAACGAGGGCTCCTCGATCATGGACGAGCTGGACCCCGACGACGACGACCACTCCGCCGACACCACCCTTGCCCGCATCTTCGCTGAGAACTCCACCGAGAACAACTACATCACCTTCCTCCTCGATCGCAAGAACTCCCCTAGCACCCCCTTCACCGGCCAGCTTACCATTGGCGAGCTCGTACCCATGTTCAGCAATATCACCGACATGCCCAAGATTGATGTGGAGACAGTACACAAGCTGCTCGAGGAAGGTGCGTGATTAGGCCGTCGCGCAGGCGTACTTTCATTGACGCTGTCATAGAGCAACATTGGCAAGCGCTAACCGACAAGGACAACGGTATCATCGGTCCCGACGGCAACGTTATCAAGTACGACTCCATCGTCCCCAAGGCCCCCGACGGCCAGCTCGTCGCAGTCTTCGATTCCGGCTTCACCTTCTCTCAAGTCCCCCGCGAAGTTTCCGACGCCATCTACGGCCGCGTCAAGAACGCCGTCTACGATTCGGACAGCGAATACTGGACCATACCCTGTGGTCAGGAGCTGAACATCACATTCAACTTCGGTGGTTACAAGTATCCTGTCCACCCCCTCGACACCGTCGACGACAACTTCGGTATCAAGAACGCTGCGGGGGAGCGCGTTTGCATTGGCTCCTTCCAGCCCATCACGACTGCGTTCAGTCTTCTTGGGAACTACGACATGATCATGGGCATGAGCTTCTGTCAGTTCTCGCGTCCTTCGGTTCGTGTCTGAGACTTACCCTCGGTCGCAGTGCGAAACGTTTACACGCTCATGGACTTCGGCAACTGGGTGCCCACATCCAGCAACGACCGCGGACACCCCTTCATGCAGCTCCTCTCTGTCACCGACCCGGACTCCGCGCACCAGGACTTCGTCACGAAGCGCCTGGACGGCACGGACACGACCGGCGACGACAAGTGGGCGCTCCTGCCCGAGTCGCAGAAGCAGTCGTCCCCGGTCAGCGACGAGGAGAAGAAGAAGCAGTACCAGGAGATGATCCTGTCGCGCTGGCCCTACATCCTCGTCGGCTGCCTCGCCTTCGTCATCATCGTCGTCGGCCTCATCATCTGGCGCTGCTGCTGCCGGCGGCGGGGCACGGGCAAGGGCCGCGGCTTCTTCGGCGTCGGCATGAGCCGTGGGCCACCCAAGGAGCAGGCAACGTCGGTGACGAGCGAGTACCTGAAGCTGCGCGAGCAGAACGCGAGCCAGTACTCCGTGAACGACCCGCATGCGAGCCAGTACTCGGTGCACAAGCAGAACTACTAGCCGGACTCGGGCAGTGTCAGTGTCGTGGTTATGCGGACCCCTTCCGTGTGCTATCTGTCTACCAGCAGTTTAAACTACTAATTCGCACAATGTATTACTGGATTTACTTCGCCGCTGCCTGTGGCTCTTGGGATCAGGGACTAACTTATGCTGTTGTCTACCGGGGATGCTACATGATAGAGCGTGAATGTCGTCGTGAGGGACGCCACGTATACAGCCCTATATCCGCGTGAACGTCCATTCTACGCCGACTGCGTATCATCCAGGCGACCACCCTGAGACTTCACTTAATTCGATTACTGGCCTCGCAGCGTCAGACTGAAGCTCCTGGTGAAGCTGAACATCGCCGACAAGCATTGAGCGGCTCACCCGGGCCGGCTGTGATTGCCCAGATGCGTCGCGCGCCATGCGATCAATGTGGCTTGTCCTCTGGCAGCCACGATCTTGGCTCCAGCTAATTTACCCTGGAACTGCTATAGCTCGAAGTGTGCGTTTTGGTACTATCTGTTCATTGCTGAAGCTTATGTCGAAGTCTGCTAGATGCCGCAGGAGAAGGGTTCCCGAAATGAGGACTCTGGCCTGAGCAGAGCACGCGAGCTCGCGACTCTCGACATGGTCAACAGTCGCGCAGTCCTGGACCACACCCAACGGGATGCAATCAAGCAGTCGACATCATTGCTCAGGGCAGAGCTCGCGCGCATCGACGCGGAAGCCCGGCGCCTGAAGGCTTTGCGAGGGGAGCTAATCGCCCAGCTTCAAATCAACGAAACTCTCCTCATCCCTATTCGTATGCTTCCGCACGATGTCCTCTCCGACATCTTCCTCGAAGTCGTCTCGAGATACCGCGCAGTCTCACGCAACCTCGGAACTCCAGCCATCGCCCGCGTCTGCCGCGAATGGCGCGCTATCGTTTTTCGCGATCCTCGTCTATGGACCGTTGTCAATGTCCCATATCGCGACGATTGGAATGAGAGCGTGGAGGCTATCATAGAGGCTTATCTTTCTCGCTCTCTGCAGCTCTCCTTACACGTCTGCGCCAGGGGGGACATGCGCGATCCTGAGCCGTACAGGAGCGGGAGCGCAGACGACGACGACGCCTCAGTGGTTGATCTCACCATATCCGATGACGATCCAACCCTATTTGATATGTTTGCGTTACGTGCTATTCAGTGTATCGCTGCGCTGTCCGCACACAGGTGGAAGTCTCTTTGTCTATCAGGGCACCGGGCCGTCTTCGACCAACAAACACAACTGGAGCTCCCCATCCTCGACAGCATCACCATTGCTGCAAGATCATCATACGTTATTCTCTCTGACGCATTGACTCTGTCCTTTCTGGCGCACGCTCCTTGCCTGCGCAAGATTGTCGTGGACGTACGAATCGCCTTTTATGATCTGCCCAAATGGGAGACGCTGAAGCACGCCACGTACCTTCTGCGCGAATGCTCTCGGGCGGAATTCAACAATATCGACGACCAGCTCTGCAGTCAAGAGCAGCTTGAGACGCTTGCCGTTATTCAACAGGACTGCGACACATATGATCCGGTTGCCCTGCGCGGTGAACGCTTGTTCTCCGGTACATTTATGCCTCATCTCGCCACCATCACCGTGTCTGGTGCTGGACACTCGATCCTCACTGCCCTTCTTGCACCCGCGCTTCAAATGCTCGTCGTACATGATGCGTACCAGGATTGCTATGATGAGGAGGACCCGGGCGTCATATCGTTTATTATGCGTATGGATTCCCAGTGTGCGTTGCGATCCCTGCGCGTTCTCAAACTGGTCCGCGTCCTTCTGGATCAAAATGCCGGGATGGACCTTGTGTTTCGATGCTTGGAGCGTCTACCGTCGTTGGAATCGCTACATATCGAAAGCAGTCGACACCTCTCGGATGCGCGGAGTATCCTGCGCTACGAGCTGCTAGTGTGGCTAACTCGCACGGCGGAAGCGCCCGCGCGCCTACCGAACCTGACGAACCTCGTCCTATATTTTGGCAAGGAGCGCCATAAGGGGGCCAAGTCCCGCCTGCGGAACCTCCTAGCATCTAGGGAGACTTGTGGAAGTGCAGAAGGTGTATCCCTCAAGGCCCTAACGCGCTTCAGGACGGATATCAGCAAGGAGCTTCAGATTGGGTAGTCGGAGGTAGCAGTATTTTCAACGCATTCATGTAGACCTGGACGTAGCCGGATCATTGAACACCCCAGACTATCTCAATGCCCTTCAGAGCGGAGTGATCTCGAGTGAACGGCAAGTTGAACCGTGTGAAATATTATGCCATGTGCTTTCCGCTCCGGCCACCCGGCGCGCTGGGCGACGAACGCGTCTTGTCCTCAACCACCTACAACATAACCCAGGTCGCGTGTCGTGCGCCTCACATACTCGTCGAAACTTCATACCTCGATTGACATAAGACCCCAGATGCCTGCAACGAGGCATCCAAGGACGGACTCGGAGCACACTAGCCCAGGACGCGCACAGAAGTCAGCCATCCAGAAACTCCCCCACGACACACTCCGTGAAATCTTCCTCGAGATAGTTTCGACGTACCACATACTCTCGCGCAACCTAGGAACGCCAGCGATTGCCCGCGTCTGCCGCGACTGGCGCGCAACTGCTCTTCAGGATCCCAGACTTTGGTCGACCATCAACATTCCGTATGGCGAGAGCTGGAGCTCGTCTGCTGAGAATGAGATACGAACGTACCTTTATCGATCCCGACAACTCCCTTTGCATGTCTGCGCCACCGGCGACATGAGCGACCTACGCTACGATGACGACCAGGAGATGTACCTTGGTGGCGATTTTGGTCCCGGCGACGAATTCGCGATGCGCGCCATTGAGCTCATCGGCAAGCTCTCCGCTGACCGTTGGAAATCCTTCTCACTCTCTGGCCATCACGACATCTTCGACCGTCAGGAGAAGCTCTTCCTTCCTCTGCTCGACACCATCATCATCGCCGTCAAAGCCTCGCCCCTTCCTGAGACAGCCGATCCACTTCGGCTTGGATTCCTCGAGCAGGCGCCACGCGTACGCAAAATAACTCTAGACGTGCGTTATCTAGCCTTCAGTCTACCGGCCTGGGGTAGCCTCAAAGAAGCCACATACCTACTCCATCATAGCACTGACGAAGAGTTCATGACTGTCGAGAATCAGATCAGGCTCCAACCTCAGCTCGAGGCGCTCGAGGTGCACGACTTTGACGGTCATTTCGGGGTATTCGCACCCCGTGTTCTCCCCATCGGCGCGCTCATCCGCATGCCGCATCTGACCACCGTGACGGTCTCTGGCATCGGACACCTCATCCTCACCTGCCTCGACGCGCCCAGTCTGCGCAACGTAGTCGTACGCCACGGCTACGAAGAGGGCGGGCCAGGTCCGCTATCTTCCATCATGCGCTTGCCCGACAAGTCCTCCCTACGCGCCCTCGAGCTGGCCCGCGTCGAACTTGACGAGGATGTCGGAATGGATATCGTGTATAGATGCCTGGAGGGCCTCCCGGCACTGGAGTTGTTGCGTGTCGAAAGCAGCCAGCGCTTCGTCACACCTGGAAGCATCCTGCGGAACGACCTTCTCGTGTGGCTCGCTCGGAATGAAGCCGCGCCCGTACGTCTACCGCAGCTCGCAGGGCTCTTTCTATACTTTGGCGCGAGCCGTCCCAGGGGGGTGGAAGAGCGACTGCAGAAGTTACTGGAGTCTCGGGCATCGAAGGAACATGTTGGTGGCGTCTTCCTGAGAGCTCTGACGCGCTTCGACACAGACATAGGCGAGGAATTCCGTATGGCATAGTGGGAGTACTCGGATATGTTTGATTGCTGAAACCGATTTGAGTAATGGAGTTCTTTCTGGAGTGGTCGGTGGATTAGTACACGGACCTCTGGATGGGCAACTGTGCCACAGTACCAGTGCTCGTTGGACTTTCGTGACTTTCGGCGAAGGACGCTTCGACCGTGTGAAGACGACGCGTGATCCCGCCTTCCCGATCACTTCTGATGCGGAATGATGAGCATCTCTCTTGTCGCGTCGAGTCGAAGGTGCGTTGCAAGATGCGCTCACTCAATCAAGTTCCACCTTTAGCATCTTCCCTCCCTCCATCCGTTGCACATCCCATCTTCCTCCCCTGATGATCCCCACTCAACGACTTCATATAGACTTGAATTATGCCACCGGAAGAAGAGACTGCGCGACACAACCTTCAGCAAGCTGTCGAAATATCCGGACTTTCTCTGCAGCGGCACGGCCTATACCCCTGCCCCTCTCAGAAAACGGAGATCCAGAATATCATCGGCGAGCTAGGTTCAGATATATGCGCGATAGACGAGGCAATCTGTCGCTTGCACGCGTTGCGGAATGACCTGGTCGAGCAGCGCGCCGCCAGCCGATCCGTCATATCCCCCATCCGCACCTTGCCCAGCGAGTTGCTCTCGGAGATCTTCCTGTTCGTCGAACTCCGGATATACCCGATGGTGCTTACCAATGGCCGCCTCTTTCACCGTGTCGAACCCCCTGCCTTCGCTTGCGTCTGCTTGGAGTGGCGGCGCGCTGCGCTCGGAACGCCAGCGTTGTGGACCGATATCCATATCAACGCGGCCACTCGGGTACATGAGAATTCGACCTTCATGATCAACTATCTTGCTCGGTCAGCATCCCTGCCTCTTCAGGTGCATCTCCACGCTGGTGATATACGCGCCAGGGCGGCATTTTCGCTTCTGGCTCGACTATCGCAGCTCAGATGGGAGAGTCTCACTCTCGACGCATGCGAACGGCTAGAGCCACTCGACACTCCGAATCTGTCTGCCGTCCATGTCACTAACGACTGCTCAAGCGACGATATCGACTTGATGTTTCTGACAGGCGCATCCCTAGTGCGGAACTTGTCACTTGCCTTGGATGTTGGCAACATCATCCTGCCTCCTTGGCCTGTCATCTCTACTCTAAAGCTCACCATGGTGGGCGCTGACGACACCGAGTTTTCTCACGCGAACAAGGTGATCAACTCGTGCCGGCAGACGCTCGAATATCTCGTCGTGGCCGACAATGGCGACGATCCCATCAATACCGCCAACTCCAACCGCGGGAAACCGGTCGAATTGCCGGCCCTTGTTTCCATTGACCTGGATAACTACACCTACGCTATGATGCGCACGATCATCGCCCCCAATCTTCGCAGCATCGCTCTTCGTCGCTGCCCAGCGCACGACGATCTCGGTGAATACGTGCTCGCTGACAGCGGTCTCATGGCCATGCAGTCAGTGCGCTGCCTCACTCTCGTCGATTTCGATTTCGCATCCCTTGAGCGACTGCTCGAGGCGCTCGACGGTCTTCCGAACCTAGAACGCATCAACGTAGTCGACATCCTATGTGGAAACAAATTCCTTCGTGCGCTCGCAGATCTCGGTGGCGGTGAGCGACCGCTGCGTCTGCCGAAGCTCACTTCCCTGTCGTTGTTCTTTCGTCTGATGGTCGGGGTGACGAAGGATAGGGAGCGGCGGCAGGCATTGACGGAGCTGATGCTTGCGCGGAGAGCCGATTGTGTTGTGAATGGCGTGCTGGTAAAGGGGCTCAAGGAGCTGACGACGAACTTGAGCAAGGACGGATAGGTGGAATAGTGTATTATCTTGGCGCAACTCTCAGGCTCCTATAAACAGAGAAAAAGTCCCTTTATATGGGCTTTATGAGTTCAAAGTCATAACGATGACCCCAGATTGACCGAGCTGAAGGACAGGACCGGTAAAATATATAGCTTTAATTGCGCGACTTCGCGCAGTAGGCCATCTCTTGTGGCGCACATGGCCACAACGGCAAGCCCGGAAAGTTCAATCCCGTCCTGCCAGTATCCTGCCCCCGACGCCGAAGATTTGAGGTTGACAGTTTGCTCTGCGGCGCGACCGCTCCCGCACCTGCATATATCTGCGGTGTCTATAGAACCAAGCGGGCTGAAGCATCTGTACGCTGCGTTCCATGCCCTGCAAGCCCTCAAGATAGAGAAGCCCGGGACTTCGTATGTTCTTGGTTCAGAGTTCTTGAAATATCTGACAGTACATCTTGGGGAGGCTGCGCATCTCCTAACATAAATCCATTTTTTCTCAAAAAGGCTAGCAACGGCGCGACCTGGTTTTGGAATTGGTGGTTTTGCGGGCGGTGGAACATTCAATGGGAGGTGTAGAGCAGTTTCTGAAGGGATAGCTTTATGGCCACGCACCTCCATGGACCCACAATGACAGCCGGGACCCTCGGATCAGATAGCGGTCTGGGCCCGTTATCTTGACAACTGTGATCTTATCACGAAGTCAGCCGGCTCCCCGCTTTTAGCGCCTGCCCTCATCCGCCACAGCTCAACGCATTCACCTCCCGGCAGCCTGGTGCTGACCCATCACCTCCCCTTGCGCCTGACCACCACCACCATCATGGCCGACATCGATTACTCGAAGCCCGTCTCGACGCTCCTTAAGGAGGGGACGATGGAGGCTCACAAGGACGTTGAGCATAGCGACGCCGCCGCACAGCTCCTCAGCGGCAAGCTCGAGAAGGGGGAGTACATCCGCTACCTGATGGTTCTGTACGAGATATACGAGTGCGTACAACGCTCGCCACATTTCCCCCATTGCCCTGACCCCCCTTGCAGCGAGCTCGAGCGCGCGCTTGAGCAGCACGCCACTCACCTCGTCCTCGAGCCCATCCACAATCCGACGCTGCTCGCGCGTGCGCCTGCCATCTCCTCGGACATTGCCCGCCTGCTCGATGCCCCCGCGTGGAAGGCCCACCCGTCCTACCTCAGCCTCCGCGCGACGCCCCCGCCAGCCGTGCGCGCCTACAAGACGCGCCTCCGCGAGCTCGCGCAGTCAGAGGACCCCTCCCCCCTCCTCGCGCATGCCTATGTGCGCTATCTTGGCGACCTCTCCGGCGGGCAGCAGATCCGGCACACGATCGCGAAGGCGTACGGCCTGGATGAGAACACGCCTGAATCAGGGCTGGCGTTCTATGACTTCAAGGAGCTGCAATCCTCGAAGAAGGCTGGGCTGGGGGAGATGCGTCGCATCAAGGACTGGTTCCGCGAGGGCATGAACCGGGGCGTGGGCGACGACGCGAAGCGGAAGGGTGCGTGTCGTGTGCGATGGCGTGCGGCGTCATGTGCGGTGGCGAGTGCTGACGTGCTTTTCGCAGAGGCGATCGTGACGGAGGCGAACATCGCGTTCAAGCTCAACGGGGGCATCTTCGACAGCATCCTGCTCGAGGATGTGAACCCCGAGAACGTCGTGTCGCCGACAGAGAAGCAGTTCCCAATGTCTTCGTTCTTGTCGGTCATCATTGCTGGTACGTCCACTTCTTCAGGGTGTAGTCACATATTGTCTGATACGTCGTTCTAGTCGGCCTCGCGCACTTCATCCTCGTTGTCGGCGGCTTCACGGGCGCACGAGGGAAGGCCAAGTGGTTCGGCTTCGAGGAGTGGTTAGACTCAGTCTTCAAGAACTACTCGTCATCGGCATGAGAGTCAGATAGACACGCATCACCATCACTGCTGCATCTTCTATGCTCGTCCTTGCATCCGTATCGTCCCTTCCTGCATGTTTTCTTTCCCTCGCTCCGCTCACTTTTCATTGGCGCGTCTGCTATAGCTGTACCCGCATTCTCTGTCTGTATTACTACCCACAACCCTATTCCTCTACACGTTTTGTGGCATATATGCACCATCGGCCGGGCACGTTCACGGGAGACATTAGTCCTTAGCTCATGATACACATCGTTCATTTACGATACACATCTATCCCGAATGCACAGTCGCTATACAATGGACGGCGAACAAGACGCTGCGCTGATCGACTACGAGCTGCGCGGAACGGACTATGAACTGCGTGGTCTGGCTCATGGTAAGTTTCAAGGTTACTAGGGCTTCGGATACGGGACGCAGTAAGGGGCGGAAGACGCAACAAGGGACGGAAGCTGGGAAGCTGACATTGTCGAGCGTGCTGAGGGCATGTTGGAAGCCTGTTGAAGGGGTACACGGCGACGCCTTGAGCCATCGATAGCGCAGCGACTGCAGCTCTTGCCGACACAAAGGCGGTTCCGCAGGCAGGCCTCATCACGCCATAGCGCCCGACGCTGCGCTTAGAGCGCCAGACTCCCCTGCCGGCGCTTGCGTGGAAAGAACGGCAGACAAAGCCTGCCAATAAAGGAGCGCTTGGTGGTGTGTTTGGCGGGCTTGCTGCTCGTCGTGGGCTTCGTGCTTGGCTTGCTAGTAGAATGCTTCGTGGACTTGCCACTCATGGCCTTGCTGACGGCGCTCTTCGCGCGCTTAGACTTGCTCTTACCATGACCACGACGCTTGTGAGTCTTGGAAGATACCCCGAGCTCGTGCGTGTATAATGCCTGGTGGAGAGGTTCAGTCGACGACTTTCCAGCGGTCCATGGTATTGCACGCACCTCCAATGCTTCGTTTACCCCCTGCGCGAAGCGCCAGTATTCGTCCGCAAGGCGGAGCTTGAGGATCCACTCAAAGGCATCGGGCGTAGAAGGAGGGCGCTCGCCCTCCTCGCCCGGGGTATTCGAGCTGAAGCGCTCGAGGCTAGCTGCCCTGCCGTGACCCTCAGGAAGTGAGGAGGAGCTGAAGGCTTCCGCAGAGCCCATTGTAACCCCTAGAGTTGCTGAGGATGATTCGCCGCTCATAGGCACAGCCAATGTGGAAGCCGAGCGTTGACCCTCTAGTTGCCTCAGTCGATCTTCGAGAGCCCGACGGACGTTGATCAGCCTGCAAAACCTTCAGTCAGGTACCGTCAGAGATTGACTAGCAGCGCCACGTACCGATTAACATACGCAGACATCTGCCTCTTCGACTCCTTGTTCAAGCGATCGTACAACCTGTACGCTCGACGAAGCGTTCCATGCACGATATCGTCCGCAGCGGAGAGGAGGAGCTGGAGCTTGGTGGCATTGGGTAATTCGAAGCGGATCAGGGCAGAGTCATCAGTCGGGCGAGAGTCAGTGTTCGAGTCAGTGCCGGTGGACATGGCCACGTTGGGCGATGCAGAAAACGCGAGCTCAGCCGATGTCTGTAGGGTTGGCAGCTGGAAGCAGAAGGTGCGCGCGGCGCGCTTCAGGGACGCTGGAATGTTGAGATGAGATTGATACGGCAGACCCAAAGAGCGCTATGTACCTTTGCTGAGCACTCGCGCTCGGGCGTCTTCAGGGAAGGGAGAAGTCGGTAGGGCGAGGGGAGATCCACCTAGTTCAATATGGCGGGTGTCGAGGCTATTGCATATGATTAATTTGCATGAATATGTGGATAGGTACTGAGAGACGAACCTAGTCAACCTTTCAGCTAGGAGCATCTCGCTCTCCTCGTAAGCAACGCATATGTCAGTCATGTAGTCGCCAAGCAATCCTAGGACTTCAGCGAGTACGACTGCGTGGACGTGATCGTCGACTGTGGCATTGTACTCTTCTTCGACGGCGGTGAGGCTTGAGAGAGGCTCGAGAGGGTCTTGGCGGTTTGGATCGGCCATGTAGGGGAAAGCGCGCGACGAAGGGGCTTCCTAGTGAGGTTGGTGTGGTGGCGGTCAGAAAGAAGGGGTGTTGAGCGCAACCAGAAAGACGCGCAGCGCTTATATTGATGGAACAATGGCCATGACCGCCTCGTGTTCGTGGCCATGGTGTGACGAACAGGAACAATGGCAGTGCTTTTCGACACACCCATTGCGGCCATCGCGAGATTCTGCCGATGATTTCTCCAAGCCAGTAGCAGCGACTCATTCAAGCCATTGGATATAGAAGCGGTCAAGCATTCTGCGGAGGTGTCGCCCGTCGTGATGGTCGGGGACGAGGTCTGTTCGGCAATCACCGAGCCATTGTTCTCGATCCTATCAAATTAGCATTGACATTTGTCCGTAAATCGACGACAACTGATGTACTCTATCCGATACATATCTTACAGACGAGGACATCTTTCGGTGCAGTATCCCCATCGCCAGCTTGAAGAAGTCGACGTGGGCTGAGGTTAAGGGCTTTCAATACCGCCGAAAGTTCATCAGTACAATGAGTCCCTGAGTATGACACGTATGTTAGTCGACGAAAGCTTGCGGTGGAGCTCGTCCCTCTGCTTCACGCGTCTGCGTTGCACGAAGGGCATGGAAAGTCTGTCAATGAAGGTGCGCTTGGGAGCAGACGCCCTACCGGCGTAGAAAGCATCCGAGTGCTCATGAGTCTCCACGGCGACACAAATATGCCCGTAGGATGTCTAAGCAGAAGTTCAGTACCCTCACCATGACGGATGAGCATACTATGCACCTTACCTCGAACGTGCGTTTGACATCGTGCACATAGCGCCAATATTGATCCGCGACACGCAGCCTGAGCGTCCACGTAAGAGCCGCACTCTCCCTTTGAGCAGGTTCACACATGCTGGTGGGCAAGGGCGGGTCCCGGTCGGCCGGTCGGGGTGTACGAGGGAGAGAAGCAAGATCAATATCGAAGGGGCAATAGTCATCGAGCCCGTCGTCCGCTGCGTCGTGCGAGGTATCGAAAACCAACGCAGCGCGATTGTCCCATAGTTCATGCATTTGTTTGATTGTCTCTTGACGGAACCAGACGATTCTGAGGCCCAATTAGTGGAGATTCCGCTTCAACCCAGGGAAGACTGACTTCTTAATTTCTGAAACTAGATCACGCCGTACCTCCATGTTTGACGAGTCATAGAGCTCTGCAGCGCGCTGCACGATGCGCCGTGAACCACAATCGGCAGCACAGAGTAGACCGTCCAGTTTGACATCGTCGAAGAGCAGAGAGGTGATCGTGCTAGCGATAGTGCTGGGGTCAAAGTCGCAGGCTTCACCAAGCTTCAAGATATCGTCGGGACAGAGGAATGCTGGAATCGAGGGCTTCCGGAAGTTAAAGAAGCGCTCCGCGTGATTGAAGACGTCTGTGACGAGCTCAGTGCACTTTCGTGTAGGAAAAGGGTGCAGGTACCAATTTGGTCTACGCTTCCGAGAAGAGATACAGAACATGCCCGGTAACGCCGCTGGAAGCAATACAAGGCATCGTGATGGGCTGCGACAAGAGAGGATCGGCAATTGCCGAACTTTTGTTCTCGGATTGTGTACCGACCCTTAACGGGGTTTGCAACACTTTCGGAATTTGGGCATTTTCTCGACTGTTTCGCTTTAGAATTTCACGAGACTTGGTAGAACTGTCCAATACCATATCATGAACGGATCCTCTACATTTGGCGGCCTTCAGGGAAGAGGAACCCAGGAAATTGTTGCGCAACAGTCGCCGATGCACAATGCAACAGTTTCGGCATTTGCCGAGAACGCCTCCCATTTTCTATCTGAACGGTCTTACCTCCGTCTAACATGAAAATTCACAGATGCTATGAGCGCAGCGCGCTCTACCCATATGCCAAAAAGCTAAGCGAACGGAGGATGAGCGAGCTCGGGCTGGGGTGTTGCATTGCCCGGCACCTTTCGCCGCTTTGACCGATTTTGTTGCAAACCCCGTTAAGGGTCGGTACTGCTGCACGGTTTGCAGTATGTACTCGGTAATAAGTAAAGCAAAACCACATACATATAATCTCTATACTGCGCTGTAGCTAGTGCTTGCAGGTGACAATGTACGCCTGCACGAATTCCAACATCGATGGGCGCATGTAGGCGCTATCACGTGACCTGTGACGAGAGGACTGGGTCACAGCAGCTTGGGCCCAGCAGTCTAGCGCAGACACCCACGTCCCCGCACCGCAACATCTCATATACGGTCTTAAGACCTCCTCGAGGAGAAAGGGAAGCTCTTGAATACGACATATCTCTTATCGCGCGCGCGAAGCTTGACAGAGAGCTGCTTATCCCCGACCGCGGGAGCGACGCAGGCCACAGCACAAGCGCTGGTGATGAGCGCGACAGCAACGATGACACAGACAGTACCAGCAGCTGCATCCGGAAGCAAGAGGAAGGTGGACGTACTGGGAGGCGCGGCCGCGGCGGGAACCGCGGTCGACGACGACATCGTCATACTAGACGGGCCCGGCGAGTGGAACGGCGCCCAGGTGCCCGCGAGAAAGAGGCCGCGCGTCGAGGTACGCGATCCGACAATTCTGGTTCTCGTCGCTGACACCGGACTCCAGGAGCAGACAACCACGCTTGCCACGAATCCACAACTCCCCCCACTCCCACCCCCTCGACAAGCGCCGCCACCCAGCACAAACGTCAAGCCGCGGGGCAACCTGAATGGCTTCTTGGCCCTCCAGGCTGCTCTGCGCGCGAAGCGCACCATGCGGGGGTACTCATCCACCCCAAGTACCAAAGAATGGACCGAATGGGTACGCGAGTCACTTTGCGTTCGCGTCCTTCTCTGACACCCCACCAGGGACTGGGATACTTCGACTTCGAGCTACCCGACACGAATCGCTTGATCGCCGAACACAAGAGTGTCGTCAGCCGGCCCCTCCAGCCAGCGTCTCCCCCCAAACCCTCGTCGGTGCCTTCGGTGCGTGTACCCCCACCGCCCAGCTGAATCTCTCCTGATGCCGTTGCAGCCCGCGAAGCTCTATCAGGACTCGCTGCGCAACCAGGTCACCTCCGCCCTCGCGCTCGCCGAGACGCTGCACGGTCTTTATACCGGGTCCGCGTCGAGCAGCCAGCAGGCCGCGTCTATCCCCCAAACCATCGCACCGACGGCCTTGATGCTCGCGAGACCCGCGCCCCCTCCCACGCAAGCTCAGGCGCCTACCCAAACCTACCCTCCTGTACCGCCCGCCGCACAAGCGCCGGCGCCGCCCGCTGTGCCCCCACAACAGCTCAACCGCAGTACCAGCAATGGCGCGCAAGCATACCCAGCCAATACTGCTGGACCCTCAAGTACTCCGCGTGTAATGGCTCCGCCTCCCGTCCCCACACCTCTCACCGCCAATCAGGCCGGCTCTCGCCCTGCGACAGCGGCTCCTCCCACACCCTTCGTCGCACCCAGCACTTCCGCAAGCGCTTCCCATCCTCCTCGACCGCCCAGCGCGCAAATCCGTGATCCTCGCATGCAGCCACTACCACCGCCAACCCCGATCGCGCAGGCTTCTCCGCACCCCAATGCGGCGATGCAGCAACGGACCCCGATGCTCCAGCCACGGACCCCTGCTATGTCGCAGAGTACGCCGGTCATGCAGCAGCAGCGAACTCCTGTTATTCCGCAAGGAGGACCAGTCATGCAGCAGCCAGGCGGATCCGTGATGCCTTCGGGCGCGCCAATGGTGCAGCAGGGGACACCGATGGTGCAGCACGCGACGCCGCGCATGCAGCCCAACATGCAGCCGCGGCCAGCCGGAGCGCCAATGCCGGGGACTCCCCAGCAGATGCCCAACGCCGCTGCGCAAGCGCACGCGAACCCGACCCAACCTCCGAACCTTGCCCAAGCACAGCAAGCTGTCATGCGGCAAGGTGTCACGCCTCAGGCCGTCAGAGTCTTCCAGCAGGCTATCTTGCAGGGCGCTAGCTTTCGTCTCACGCCGGAGGCACGCAGTCAGTTGCCGCCGAACCTGCAGCAAGTGCTCAAGACGGCCCCGGAGCCAAATCACGGCGCAGTCGTGCATCGCTGGGCCACCCAGCTCTTGCGGAACACTGGGGTTCAGCAGGCAGCGGCGGCGCGGGGTGTGCAGTCACAGCCCCCGCAGGGCGGCCCTCGTGCGCCGGCGGTGGCGGCCCTGACCCCTCAGCAGCAGCAGCAACTCGCTGCTCGTCAGGCAGCAGCTCGGCAGGGTGGGCAAAATCCTCAGCACGCAGCCCAGCAGATGCAGTACATGCGAATGATGCACCAAGCGCAAGCCCAGGGGGCGCCAGCGAACATTCAGGCGCAGAGGATGGGCGCGCCCCCACAGCCGATGGCGGGCAGGCCGGTCATGGCGGCACCTCAGCAGATGGGTGCAATGTACGCTGGACAGGTCCCCCAGCCATACAGTCAACAGCAGCGCGCATAGAACGACGATCCTCCTCCGTCGACGCCATCCACTTCCCAAACTCACGACGCGCGGCGCTAGTCGTCGACGTTGGCAGTTCTGCCCTTCCGCCGTGCTTCCCCCGCCGCCCTAATCCTCCTATCCCCTCAGCTCTCCATATATCTCCACTGCTCTATATCTCTGACTTGTACTTATATCTCGCTCTCGTGTTACTGATCTCGTTCTCGCCGTCCATCTACTCATAGCGCATACCATACATCATAACATTATCCCCCAGCATCCCTATCTATCCCGTCCCCATCCCCCACCCTCGCCTTTCGTCGACATCTGTACTTATACCTTATTGTACTGACTTCACCCGGAACCGTCGTGCTTTCATACCCTTCCATTGGCTGGTTAACCCGCACACGCGGTCGTTCTCCGACGATCGTGCTGTCGGGGCGACCTCAGCACCTGCTACGCCATGACGGTTCCGTTTCTTATTGACTTTTCTCTTTCTATACTCACCCGGATTTTGTCGACGTTTGGCTCCTTACTTCTGCTTTTGTGGAATACTATCGCGCGCTGAGTGACTGTTCCTCGAACCGCGGGAGATTGACGGTTGTGTGACCCAGAGCAAGTACCTCCCGAGAGGGCGTCTTTCGCGCAAATTTGTGACACAACTACGGTCTATGATTTCTGCAGTAGTCCTTTTGTGCGCGCTATCGATCCCTTTTGCGCTTTACAGGAGACGGGGACACTACACGATACGACTTCGCAAATTGCCGAACGTGATATGACAGTGCGTGATAATTCCTTTGGCACCTTGGCCATGTACTCCGTCTTCAACTGATCGAACGACTAGGCTGGACCCATGTCACCTCATTCCACGGTGCGAGTATGAGAACTAAGGACAGGTAAAGCACAGATAGCAGGCTTGTAGGCTCGTCAAGACACAGAGTCCGATTCGGACTTAGTCTCTCGACCAACCAGCGACCGCCGTCACCGATTCGGATTGTTATATGCATACCATTCGCTGGACTCAAAACAGGACAGTACGGAATACAGAGAGATGCTCCTGCTCCTACATCCCTCGCTCGAGCGGCGGAATTGCGGATGCGTGACCACAGCAGATCGCGGATCGTTTAAATAGGCGCGGCTGCCCGCGAGACCATCGCAGTGCCCGCTCTTTTGTATACTCGTCTTTGATTACCATGGGACAAATCTACAGCCAGATGTTCCCGCCCAAGGCGAAGTTCAGCGTGAACCACATCCCTGACCTTTCCGGGAAGGTCATGCTCGTCACTGGCGCGAACAGCGGGATTGGGAAGGAGACGGCCAAGGTGCGCCAACTACAGCATATCATCCCTCGTATAGCTGTGCTTACGCCATTCTCTATCTCTAGGCCCTGCTTCAGCATAATGCGAAGGTATACATTGGCGCTCGCAGCCCATCCAGAGCCGAGGAGGCTATCGAGGAGCTCAAGAGCGCGACGGGCAAGCAGGCGCTTTTCCTGAAGATCGACTTGGGAAACCTCAAGTCCGTCAAGGCCGCAGCGCAAGAACTCCAAAGGTACGCGTGTCGTCCGCTTTGTGCTCGACTGCCCTTGTACTCACGTCATATTACAGCAAGGAGACTCAGCTACACGCTTTGTTCAATAACGCGTTAGTGACCTCGCGCATGTACGTCTGAAATCTACTGAACTGCAAGACAGAGGTGTTGCGATGTGTCCGGTAGAGATGGTCACGGTTGACGGCTACGACTGCCAATTTGGCACGAACGTTCTAGGTGAGTGTATGATTTTACTGCTCCCCTTCTTATCTGACGCTAAACGCCGCCCCAGGTCATTTCTATCTAACCAAGCTGCTGCTCCCGACCCTGCTGTCGACCGCGAAGACTACTTCAGACGGCACCGTCCGCGTCGTCAACACGGCTTCCAGCGGGCACACCATAGTCGACAAGATCGACTTCAACACCCTCAAGGACGGCCCTGCCCGGCGCAAGATGAGCACGACTAACTTGTACGGTCAGAGCAAGCTGGTACGTCCTTGCGGTGTTTCATCGCAATTCACAAGCTGAATGGTGTTCCAGGGCAACGTCCTCTTCTCCAATGAGCTAGCGCGCCGCTACGGTGATCAGGGCATCATATCCACGTCGCTCAACCCCGGGAACCTGTCCAGCAATCTCTACCGTCACATGAGCCCGATCGTGCTGAAGATCATGGTGAGCGAGGCCCCTTTATTTCTGCGCTATGCATTCCAATGTTGGACTCACATATGCAACCCAGAATTGGACGGTACTATATCCCAATGCGATGGGCGCGCTTACGCAACTCTACGCCGGAACCATGGACGGGAAGGAGCTCAATGGCAAGGTGATATATGTTCCCCCGCAATCCCGGTTTATCATACTCAGTCGACCTCCAGTATCTTATCCCATGGGCTCGTATTGGTCACCCTAGTCGCGCTGGTTCAGACGCTGCCTTGGCGAAAGCGCTCTGGGAGTGGTGCGAAGAGCAGGTCGAGGGATTATGAGCTTGTTTCTTCTATTCTCGACCCGATTATGGTCACTAGCATGCCAGTGTTACATACTATCCTCCTCTCGCCATCCGTTTCCCTTCGTTCCCGAGCGACATTCGGGTAAAGCACTTCAATAAACACAGTTCATTTCAGTCCTTCATATTCCTGAGCATCTCCGTGGAAGCTTGCGCGACCGAATCCTGACACCGATTTCGCGTGACCCGGAATCTGCCGCTGCTGGTTATCGGGAGGCGGCCGGCGTATGCCTTTCATCCTGCCACCATGACTGATTGTCCTTTCAGTGGCCCTTTGTGTGAACTATCGCGCTTCCCTTCCAATAGATCTTTGACCATTTATGCTATATAGGTCGACTCTGCGCTTCTCTCTTCTCCTCTCGCCTCGTCCAGTCGAATACGTGGCCTAGCACGGGTACCGAATCCATTCACCTAGCCTCTTACCAAGAATTCCACCTTCCTCAGCGCAGTTGTGCCCCAGCTCCTTCATCTAATGGACCATGCACTCCGGTATATCGGTCGACAACGTCTTTGTGCCTCCGCTGGGGCCGGAACACGAGGTGGCCACCTCTCCGGCGTCTTGGCCGCTCGTCGCGCCCATCCATCGCCTGCCCATCGAACTGCTGTCAAGAGTCTTTGTCGAGCTTAGCGGTGCTCAGGTAGATCAATTCAAACACAAATCAGATGAGCGGTACGTCCCTCATCTCATGACCATCACGGCTGCCAGCGTGTGCAAGCGGTGGCGCGCTGTGGCTCGAGGTACACCAGACTTGTGGGCATCTATCTACGTCAACAAGAAGACTCGGCACGTCGAAGCATTTCTCGATGCATGCATCCTCAACTCTGGTCGGCGCTCACTCGACCTGCACTGCTCTTCCAAGAAACTCCTTCCTACCTTCCTTTCACGACTTTTGCCTCACAATGAGCGGTGGGAGCATCTGTCCATCTCCGCGGGTGAAACCACACCCCTCGCTGTCCTGTGCACAAGCCGATATAGCTTTGGGGCACTGAAGGAGCTCCATCTCGAAGTCGTAACTATGCCATCGGGCACGTGGGACTTCCTCGCCAACGCACCTCGCCTCGAAGAACTCTGTGTGACCGGCTCGTCCACGCGGGGAAGAGTCATCATTCCACCCATGTACAACCTTCGGAGGGTGGAGTATCATGTCATGTACGAGGTGTATCACGTCTCCTCCATCTTCGACGCCGTCGCACACTCTCGCGAGACACTCGAGTCGCTCTATCTCTCCTTCAACTGCTCGCCATCGGACCTGGAGCTGGGGCAGCCGGTGCTCATGCCCGCGCTCGCGCAACTGGACCTCGACTGGACGTGCCAAGTCTTCATGAAGTCCATCATCGCGCCCAACCTTACCGACATCGTCAACGTGTGCCCGCACGACGAACTGAGTACACCCCGGCTCGTACTCACACTAATAACCCACCCGCAAGCCGACCCCCGTTCTCTGGGATTACTCGACCTCCAGGCTCTGTACGTTCTCGACGAGGAGCTCAGCCGGACCCTCCTGCAAGCCCTCACCCTCATGGTCAATCTCGAGGTTCTGCAATTATCCTATGATCCCCCCACCAGCCCGCGACGCCCCACCGCAGCGACACCTTGCTCGTGGGGCTTTCTCTCGCGAAGCACCACGGTGTGCCGCCCATCCTGCCACTTCTGTCGAAGTTGTCCTTCGGCATCGAGCCATTCCTCAGTGCCGACGAGCTCGCGCGGCAGCGCCGCCTTCTCCTGGACGTAGTCCGCTCTCGGATGGAGCCGAAAACGCTCGATGGGCAGGCATTCGTCGCTCTACGGGGCTTCGCAAGCAGCATCGAGCTTCCCGAGCTCCGCCCGAAAGTAGAGGAGTGGTCTTGTACTGCACAGTATGCATACATCGGGAATTGAGGAGTGTGAGCGGACGACTTGGGGTAGTCATCGTCTTGTGGAACTTTGTCTAATTTGCTCGAAATGTTCTTTCCTCACCAAAGCGCCACCCTCCGCTCCTACTTACTACGACTGCATGCGCTGAAAGCACCGCCACCATCTGCCACTTTTGCCCGTCTCTTTCAGCAGTCCTGAGTAACTTGTAAGTCCAGGAGTTCCCTTGTTCCTCACTGCTCAGGTAGTACACCGCCACCAGTGTTCTTAATCGATTCCGGTGCGCTTTCATCGATCTCGGAATACCCAACACGGTTAAGACCTCTTCACCCACATCACAGCCCCTTCATGTCCCCTATTCCGAGAAGTTCATGTCCGCGCCGAGTGGCGGTGCGCTTGTTCCCTTTGTTATTGTTCTTCGGAGCGAGAGGCATTCTTTTGCGCCGAGATAGAGAGTTCGTCGTCCGAGAGGTAGGCTTTGAATATAAGCTTGTGATGCGAGAAGTAGGCTTCACCGCAGGCTTTCACGAGAGGACAATGTTGAAGCGAGGACATTGACAGCGAGTGGATGCGACGCAGTGGTACGAGCAGTCGAGGAGAGGAGATCGGGATAGGACCATCGCCGACGCTAGCCAAATTATACAGTCTCCGAGTACGTGCGCGCTCCAAAGTCATGTCATTCGATGAACGCGATGACTCGTATACGATGGTGTGTATAGACTGGGGATAAACATACTGGCGACATTACTTCCTGTGGCGGGGACTGGCGAAGCGAGATGAGTGGCAAAGGGCGCTTGAATAGGTCAACGGACTGATGATGGAAGTCCAGAGCGCACAGCAAGGAAAGACGAGCGCACAGCAGAGAAGAGAGCGCGTCATACACCTCTGGATCCCCAACATGCCCACGAAGAAGGACAACCGTCCCGAAGAGACATGACATGCGCCATCGGAGGGCGCATGACGCCCGTCATCCCAATGACAGAAGCGGCATCGCGAATGTGACCCTCGCTGTGCTAGAAGCCTGCAGCGTGGTAATCTCACGAATTTGGACTGCTGGCGCGGTCAGCTGCGGGGGCGGGGTACCACGTCCTTACTTCTTCAGGCATTTTGTTGTGTTCGGGGGATGTTGTGGACTTCGGAGCAGGGGATTACCGTGTCCGCAGGGCCGATGTCATCCCCCTTGCTCGAGTCCAGACGTAAATCATCTCATCGAAGGCGAATGCCGTAGTCAATTCAGCCATGATCACTGAGCATGACCTACGCGCACCGCTAGCACGAGGCGCGCAACTCTGTCGTCGAATCGCGAGGCCCGGGGCGGTGAGGCGGGGGGCGCGGTGCTTGGGCGGTGCGTGTGGGGGCCGCGTCGCACAGCCTTGCAGGTACACCGAGACACAGCCTCGCGCGACACCGAGCGTCGAGGTTACGACCGGAGCGCACGTTTCGTCATCGGGCGCGCTACGGTGGTGGCAGCGACGGCGCTGCCCGCCGTCGGGGGGCGCGCCTGCCTTGTTCGTCTTCGGATCATGACGTGCGATACATGATCCCCCCACACAGGTCGGGCGGGAAATTTTACTCAATGGGCTGCGCGGACAGCATAAAGGGCGGGGGAGGAGAAGGGGGAGCGTACTCTGCCCGACGCCGACGACGACGACGAGGACAAGGTCAAGTCGCGCGCGTGACAAATATCAAGGGCGGAAAACACGCTTCAGACGCACGTGGCTTTTAGACGGGAGCGATCAGAATTCGGTTCTCTTGGGTGGCGCGCGCATACCGCATCTGGGTAGCTTGCCTTTTGCTCTCACCGCCGAATCCCGGCTCTCTCTTTGACGCTTCGCTCCTTGTCCTTCCCCACCACCACACCAGACATGCCCAGAGAACTCCCGGGGCTCTACTTCGACACCGTCCGCCAGCGCTACTTTCCGCTCGCCCAGCGTCCGGCAGGCGCGACGACGACCACGACCACCGCGACGACAGCTACCAGCGCGCCACGTCAGCCGCAGCAGCACAAGCCCGAGCAGCAGCAGTCCCCGCGCGCCGCACTCAAGCGTAGACGCGCGCCTCTCTGGGACTCGTCGCGCGCTTTGAGAAACGCGCGCTCCTTTGCCGAGCGCGAACGCGCCGTGCAGTGCGTCCCCACGTTGCGCATTTGTGGCTCTTGCTGACGCCTCCTAGCAACGCACAGTGCTTTGAGTACGCACACACCTCCGTCGTCGAGCAATGCAAGATCCCCGTCTTCCATCCCATACGCTCATTCTGCGTGCGTGCTTCCCCCTCCTATTCCGACGTATGCACTTACACCACGTAGAGCACCACATGGGGCGGCCAGCGATACAGCTTCATTGGAGATAGCGCCGGCTGGCTCTACTCCCAGGGCAAGTACGCATGGGAGATAGAGCTCAATATCCACCCGAGGACGGAGGTGCGTAGTGTGGCCCCTTATTCGCGTCCCCGCCATTGACGCTTTGCTCAGATATCGTCTATATGCGCCTCGGGATCCCTCTGCGTGTGCGTACGGACAACATCTCGACTCGCTCATACTCATTTCCCCTCAGTGCTACTTCCTCCGGCCCCTCAACGAAAATATCCGTCCAAGACCTCAGTACGGCGGGGTACGTGTTCGTATCATCTTTCTTTCTGAACGGGGTGCATCAGAGACCCTGTGCGCTGCGAATGGGGTGCTCGGTGGTGCGCGCTAAAGGCACGCGTCGGGTCGGTCGGCGAGTACGCGATATGAAGGAGAGGGTTTAGGCCGGCATGCCCGACATCGTACCATGTCGGCTTCTCATCATGAGCGCACGCGTCACTCCTCATATCGACGGGAAGCTGTCAGCGCAGCAACCTGGCAAGCGTGCTAGCAAAAGCCATCTCATTGACCGTCTATCGTGCTCCCACAGTTCGCGGGGTCCCTGATCATCTCCCTACTCGCTTCACTCTGTTTATCCTACTGACATCCATCACTCAGAAGAACGTCGCTCCTGACGCTCAATAACGTCTACGACGTCCGCTGTAGTCACCTGTCCGGCTCCTCGCTCGTTCTCGGCGCGGCGAAGCAAGCTGTTTACCTACCCGACATCGCGAATCCGACCTTCCAATATCTGCCTACGCATAGCGATGTATACGCTGTTGAGCGGGAGCAGGTGAGTGGAAATGGGGAATGCATATATGTGGTGGACGTTGCACATATGTGGCGTGGGCCTGTATATATACGGCGAGGAACTGTCTGTATGAGGCGAGCGCTGCATATATGCGGCGGGGACCTGCATATATGCGCCATAAACCGCGATATCTGGCAAGACTGAAATCATTTCATGAGACTAACCTTCCTCGCAGGACCTCATCTACACCGGTGCGCGTAATGGGAGCATACACCGCTTCGACATGCGCATGCATAAGCCGACCGGCGACCTCCTCTTCCCCGACCGCGAACCGAGCAACGTCGTCAACCTTCGCGTCATCCGCGAGACACAGCTGCTTGTGAACCATCGCAATGGCTTGGTAAGTCTTGCGTCCATGTCTTACCCCCTGTCTCCTTACCCTCTCTCCACATTACTCTGTCCCTACCTCACCCCTCTTTACCTAACAAACCACTGCATATTGACCCCGCCATCAGATCGCCGCCTACGACCTCCGCTTCCCGCGTGAGTCGACGCCCGTGATGACCTACGCCGGGCAGGTCCCAAGCCACTACACGCTTGGCTTCGCCGTCGACCCCGCGCAGGACTTCGTCTTCGCCGCGGGCGACGACCGCCGCATCCGCGCGTGGTCCCTGCGCTACGGCGAGCTGCTCGACCCGGGCCCGGGGCAGAAGGCGGGCGGGGAAGACGACGATGGCTGCGCTCGTGGGCACGCGCGCATTGGCTACGACGACCTGGAGGAGATGCCCATCGACGTCCCGACGGGCGAGCTGCCCGTGCGTGCGCGGGGGAATCCGTTCCGGACGGTGTTCCCAGACCGGGTGGCGACGATGCAGGTGGCGGAGGAGGAGACGGGCGAGCGGGTGCTGTGGGCGACGAGCGCGGGGGTGTTGTATCGGTATGGGCTGGGGCAGAGGTATGTGGGGTAACATCCGCGGATGATCTCTGCACACTGGCTTCGTCTTGTTCGTCGCCTGCGCGTGCGTCTGTTCGTCCTTCTCTTTCCGCACGCAACGCAACTCTTGTCAGTCCTCACTGGACCTATTTAACGTACACTAAGACCGCACTTGCGCATAGTATTGATACTGCATAATAACCTCCCATCCCCAACAGCGTTCGTTGTATATATGTACTACTTATTGTGGACCGCATTGGCCAGCGCGCAGATCCTGGTCAAAGACGCTGGCGCCCATACACGTAGACTTTTTCGAGCTTTTACCTGTCTGTAGCGATGCAGATGGATTTTTTGGCCAGATTATCAGAGGCTTAACCTGTATGAAGATGAATCGTATAGCGTACAGTTCATTCCACCGGAAAACTTGTCACTGTCGCGCTTTCCTGTTGCGCAATCGTGGCTGGTCCCGGGGAGGTCCTGACTATCATTACTGACTAGGGCGACAAGCGCGAAGCAGATTGTAGGGAGTGGCTATCGCGGGCTTTCGCGTAAGTGGTACACATGAGGTTAGAACCCCCTCGACCTGGGCCGCAACAAAGGACACTGGCTGTACACAACTGAAAGGCTAATCTTCGGTGTCCGCGTACCCTCCTCATTCCCCCAAATATGTATGTCCAAATGTCTGCCACTGCTTGAATTTAGGGCCGAGTTCAGGACACTCCACGTCGCTTGCAAAACTCCGCAGAGCAGCGTATGCGTGTCCGCCGAGGATCTGCGGAGTCACCCGAGAGCGGACTACTTCGACAAGAAGGCGACGCTGCCGCGCGAGCTCGTCGTCACTGAGAAATGGCTCTAGGTTGAAGTACAGCCTACGCAGGCATGGCAGGATAGGCGGAACACCGTGATGCTTTGCGAGGGAAAGTCCAGTGAGCAGCGCGTCGCTGAGGTGGGGCGCGTCATCTTGATCAGAATGATACGATAGATGCAGTACCTCTACATTGACCATGCGCGCGAGGCATCGCAGGAGGATCTGACTGTCTTCCTCGTCGAGGATGTATAATGAGTTGAGTTCGAGGCAGCGCAGAGAGTAAGGATCGGCTTGCGGGTGCGATATCATGGCGAAGACGAGCTCGGGTGCAGACAATTCGAAGTCCGGATACCCGTTCACGAGCTCTTCAAGGTTGGGTGCGACGATAGACTTCATGAACACTTGGCACGCATGATCAAGGTCTAGTTGCTTGAGCGCGGGCATGACGACCGGCGTCCCAATCTCCAGATCCGATGGTGATGAAAGGAAGGCGATACAGAGCGATTCGAGTGCCTCGCGAGAGTGTGCGACGGCGGCGAAGATGGTGGAGAGGTGATATATATCAAAGATGTGGTATTCCACCGTTCTGAGATTGGACATGGGCGGTATGATCGCGCTCTCATTGTTGGCAGATGATTCGTAGACACGGAATTCTTCCAGCCGAGGAGCGCTGGCTAGGAAGTCCCACGTCCCCTGAGGCATAGTGACGTAGGAGAGGTGGAGTACCTGTAGAGCCCCAAAGCAATACTGACCGGTAGATAGCATGGCCATGTCGACAGCCTTACCACCGTGAATGTTCAGAGAGGCCCATCGCGCGCTGTGAGGCAAGAGTCGCGAGAAGAAGATTGACAGGAACTCTTCAGAGCCACAGAACAGGTGGAGTTCCTGCTGACCAGAGCTGGAAGTGCACGCATCGATGTACGCGGCGACGTGGCGGGTGTCCTTCGCGACGCTGATGAATGTCCAAAAGGCGGTCGTGCCTCGCGTGACAGCACGCCACCGCCTGCACACGCTGCCAACCGTGATGGTCATGAGATGAGGGATATGTCTGATTTCCGACTTGTATTCGAACTGATCGACTTGGGCTTCGCTAAGCTCGATGAAGATTTCGGAGAGCAGCTCGACGGGCAGGCGATGGACGGGCGGGATGAGCGGCCACGGCGCGGAGGAGACGACTGTTTCATGATCGGGTAGCAGAGAGTGCGCACCGTCGACGAATACTCCAGCGTCCATAACGTAGTGCTTGGCTCGAGTCTAGCAAGCGGCGTCGATATCCTGGGTGTGCCGATGCGTAATGCGCATACGCATGCGAGAGGAGAGTGTGGGATGAGCCAACTTGTTGCACGGAAAATGAGAGATATAGTGATAGAAGAAGAGGCGTTAGAGTCACCTCGCCACTAAAGGGGCGATTGTCAATGGTGGTGGCAGGATGAAAGGCGGCCACGCGCCTGCTGCCGACCGGGTAGCGGCAAATCCCGGGTCACGCCGAGATCACGAATATAATTTCAAAGTTCGACTTCACTAGAGGAAGCTCCGGCTTCGCCGGCTCTAACCTTGCCTTGCGCCTGGGATCGTGGGCTGGGCTTGTGCACTGGACTCTCGTTGCGCGCGTGACTTTACGGATGTTGTCCAAGAGCACCGTACAAATTGATGGGGTCAATTAAGGGCGGGAGAGACCTTGCAAGGCAAGGTAATTTGCAGTCTCGTCCGGCATGCTTCAAGCTTAGAATGTCAGAAGTTACCGGGATGAACAACTCATGGCAATCAAATAAAGATGACAGCCTCATTGGACAAACAGAAGCAGACTGCACTTAACGGGAAATATTGAAACGCTCGGGATTTGTGTGAAAACTGTAATGGTAACATGGAGGAGGAGGATATAGGAGATGTTGCATGTCGCTTTTATTCGAAGGATGAAGACTCGGGAAGAGAGCGGAACACTTTAAGCGTAAGGACCAGAGGTCGGGACACCGAGGAAGTCTACGATGAAAGCCAATAGGAAAGAGAACCTCCAGCGATTGTGGGCTTTGATGACGCCCTCCAAGTGGTCGCGCGCAGGCGAAGAAGAGCGAGGCTCAGTAATCGTGGACGTCAGATACGCCTTTTCGCTGTGATGAAGGCACAGACGACCGGTGAGCGCAAAGGAACAAGCTGTCGAGCGAAAACGAAGGTACTCGCCGATGATCACGAATGTACTACCCGCGCCGATGGTCAAGAAGATACTCGTTGGCAGTCTCATGAAGGCACACACCAATGACCGTAAAGCCGCTCACCGGTGAGCCCGAATGCGCTCTTCAGGCGCCTGAAGCTTGAGAGATTCGCGTCACCTCGAGGAGCAGGTAACGTTACTGTCAAGCGTCGATGCAGTCGCCGGTGCCTTCGACGCAGGTCATCTGCGTCGGCGTACATACTTGCCGTTGGTCCTGCCACACCAGGACATAAACCCGCTCAACCCAAGCATCAACATCGAAGAGTAGAAGACCGGCGCAAATGACCTCGCCGACGTCAAGGTCGAGATATCCACGCGGTTGTATGCTGGCAGCGTCAGCAAGCAGTGGAAATGATTGGCAGGCGTATAGAAGGCGATTGAAAGGCGTGTAGGAAGTGATTGACAAGCTTGCTATCGCTCCATCGTATGCAGGTGGAGGTTGAAGGCGGTTGAAGGCGATCGCTCGATTGCGAGGCGCGGCGCTATTGGGAGGCCCGACGCTATTGGGAGGTGTGTAGTGTCTATATATTGAAGGTGATTGGGTGCTGAATGCCGTGGCGTTAGCTATGCATATGGCGGTGAGAGTGACTGCACAATGAATGGTTAGAGCTACACATTGGAGGTGGGAGCCATGAGGCGGCGGGGAAACGCGGGGTATACAAAGGGGCTTCCCAATCGGGAGGTGGCGACATCTGTGTGGTGGGAATACGCGGTTGAAGACTAAATTTCAGTCTGAGTGTGAATGGCCGAGGAGGCGCCGTATAAGGAATTCTCAAGGACGACGTAAAAAGGAGGCGGTCGAGAGAATGAGATCAAGGCTGTTGAAGACGCCGTAGGCCAAGGAGCGGAATCGTGATAGACGGTCGAATCGACAGCGCGGCGCTGAACTGAGATAGGCAAGCGGGAAGTGAGGAAGTACGGAGCGGAAGTAGATCAGCCACGTTTGGCAGCGAGCACGAAGGACGACTGACTGCAGAAGGGCAGGTACGGAGGGCGGATTGGGGGTCAGGAGACGGAGTCTCCGGAGGTGGGGAAAATAAGGACGCAAGGAGAAGATCAGAGACGCATATCAAAGCTGTAGAGGACAAACAAATGAGAAGCAGCGAACAAACAAAGGGATGACGCAAGGGGGGAGAGCGCGGAATTGGATGCAGGCGCATGGACTCGACCTAAGACGCCGCAGATTGAGGAAGGAATGAGGAAGTCAAGTTACTGAATAAGAAGAAGTGGGGAGTCTGTAAAAGGAAGCGCGAATCGGGCAGACTAGACAGATACATCGGAGTCGAGAGAAGCTCACCTCCTCACGAAGAAGCCCATCTACCTCGCTGGCGAGCGCCCACCTGTCCTTCAAGCGCTGGTCAATCACTCTTCAAGCGCTCATCCAAGCCCTCCAAGCGCCCGCAGAACCCGGTCGAGACAAAGCAGCGTAATGAAAGACGCCGCCCCGTTGATGAACCTGTCGAGTCCAGAATCAGTGATAAAAGCGAGCGACCCGTTCGAGGCAGCGCAGAGGACGAATGCAGGACGCTCGCTGGGCAGCGGCAAGCCACAAAAGCCGACGTGAACCCTCGCCCAGCCGCGCTCGCACAAATGACTCGGCCAATCGATTAAAAAGTGCGTGTAAAAGCGCGCGCGGGTTGGCATTGGCCAAGCCACGCTGTATAGCGGGCCAACTTGAACTTAAAAATTCCCGCGCGGCAGGCAAACAAATGCGCGCGGCAAACGCCGGGCGAGGAACAGGGGCGATGACGTCGAAGGTGTAGGCGGGTGTGGGCGCCATGCGGGCGACTTCGTCGCACGCGAAGGCAGAGAAGTGGCAAAGAACCTCCTGCGCATACGGTGCCGGGGGCGAAGCTCAGCTTTCAATGAACTCCGGAGGAGAGTCTGAAGCTTGAGCTTGCGAGCTCCTGGGGCAGCAGCTTATGCGTCTGAACCGTCGGTGAGAATGGGGAGGTACAAGGAATGCGATGCGAAGACGTACAGTAGAATTCATCTCCGGCGAGAGTAGTAAACAGGCTGTATATCTGCGTAAAGGAAGGGCGATAGAGCCAGGATTGACCTTGGGATCGCTGGCTTGGACGCGTCACTTTCCTTGTCATGATGTGCGCGAGGCGATGGAGACCGGAGGGGGGGGATTCATTTGCCCAATGGGCGCCATGACATTGAACGCGGCGGTAATAGCTGCTATGACAATGGCTGCGAAAAGACGCGGAAAAACTCGTGTGGTATGAGAAAGCGGTGCGGCGGGGTACATTCGGAAGAGGAGATGCGTCCATCGATGGGAGATGCCGACGAGAAAATAGAGTGGAAACGCGCCTGGTGAGGAAGATGGGGGGACGGACAAACAAATGGCAACGCAAACAAACAGAGCCTAGATCCTGCGTGCCGAGAGTCGGGTTTCCGCAGGGGCTGTTCTCCGCAGAGACGGAGCGGGGCAAGAGCGGGGGAGGTGATCTGGGGTCTCCGGAGGAGAGGGAAGGAGGGGAAGGATGAAAAGCATGTACAATGGAAGGGAGACGTCGAGCACGAAGAGCGCAGTTCGCTGCCATGGCTGACGGGCAGTATGACAGTCGACGACCGGGGCCACAGCTCGCGGTACGTCAGCCCGCCATTGTCATTTGTTCGTCGCAGACAAACTGGGAGACCGCATTGAATGACCAGTCGAGAACGGAGGCGTTTCAAACGCAAGAGATGGAAGTTGTGGGCGCACAGATGCTATAAGGCGAAAGACATGACGGCACGAGTAAGTATGAGGGAAAACGTGTTGGGCGTTGCGTATGGTAGTCGTCATGATTTTGATGGCCGCCCATGTCCGTCCTCCGGGCGAAGGGGGTGCTGCTGGCAACGGGAAACCGTAAACCAGAGAAATCGGAGTGGGCGGCTACAGAGGTGGGGGACAGGTTCCGCGCGTCTAGAATATGCTGGGCGATTGTTTATCTGATTCCGCTGTCCGAGCCAAGTCCGAGCGGATGAGGGGAGGACGAAAAGACAAAAGTTGCCAAATGCGGAAGACAGCGGGGCACGCGACGCTGCGTAGGCACGTGCGCGGCGACGGCCTGCGGTGCCCACCTGCCTCCGCTCTTGCTCTAGACGTCCGCCAGCACACCAGCAGGGCCATAAGCGACCTCGACGTGCCAGGCGGTGAGCTCGCCGTTGCGCATGGCGAGCGCGGGTCACTGACTTTCTCGCCCAGAGTTCCTGATCAGCATTTGCCATTTGTATTTCCCGCGCGGGCTACCCCCATTTCGCGACTCTATTCCGGTCGCGGCGGCGGCATCGATCCGGCGAAATTTGACCCTCATTCGTGCCCCGAAGGAAGCGTGCAGCCGAGTATGTATGCCCGCGCGACTCGTGTGCCCACGGTTTTCTCTCTTCCCGTCAAAGAGCGCGACGGCCTGCACGGCGAAGACACAGACTTCGACGCGCACGAACACGACACGCGACTGATCACCGGCCTTGTCGCGCTCGGAGAGCGCGTCTACGTCCGGAATCCGCCCAGGAACTGGCGCACTACAGAGGCACGTAACCTGCTAGCCTTCCTCGTACTGCTTGCGGACATTGCGCGGGGATGGGGAGGGCGAATTCCGACCATCGCGTATATACTAACGCTTTCATAGACACCCCACACCGGCAATCTACTTCCCCCCGCGACTATGGCGAAGAAACGGCGCTCGCTGCAGTCCCTCTTCATTCCTAGCGACGCGTCGCACGCCCGCACGCCCAGCAAGGAGTCCGTCGCGTCCTATTCCTCTACCGGCTCCGACTCGGCCACGCCGACCCCGAGCCATTCACCCCCGCCTGCAGATTTACTCGACGATGATCCCTTCGCCAACCTAGCATTACCCCGCGTCTCCCCCTCTGCTCCGCCCAGCACGCCCGTCATGGCTGCCCCCACCCCGCGCTCCCCTCTTCGCGAGACACACAACTTCTCGACGGACACGCTCATACCAACCCTGCGCTCGCTCGCCGAGTCGCCAACTCCGCCGCCTGTGCCGCCGAAGGACGATCTGCCGTTTACGCGACCTACCACTCCGCGTGCATCGTCCTCGGAGGCACGGCCTGCTCTGGCGCGTCCAGCATCTCAGAGACCCGCTTTCAAGACGCGTCCATCCCTCCCTTCCCTGCGCGTCCTTGCCAACATGGCCCTGTCCTCTCCCAGGGTATGTGAATATGCGCAGCTATGGTACGCGTCTAATCATGCCTTTAGATTCGCAATGGCCGCGTTGGCGCGCGTCTACCGTTAGAACCATGGGCAGACGAGCCAGCGACGCCGAACATCACTGCACCGCCGTCTACGCCCTCTTTGAGCAGCGTTTTCGAACTCCAAGAACCAGTGAACTCAATCTCCGCACCGCCTACCCCATCCACCAGCTCTATGCCGGACTTCACCTCCTCCCTCGACTACTCCTCCCACCCCGACTACATCTCTGCCCCCGACTACAGCTCCAACGACTCGCGCTCAAACAGCGACGAGGAGACGGAAGAGACCACGAGCAGCGAAGAGGAAGAGCTGCAGATTGGCGAATCTTACGCCGCCGCCGCAAACGTGTACCTGCCCTCGAACCTTGGTCTTCCGGACTTCGAAGAACCGGCGCTCTCGCGGCGCCTATCGCGGGTTACGCAGTCCCCGTCGCGGCTGCAGCACTCCCTCTCGCGCATGCCGTCTCTCGCCCGCTCCTCCTCCTCTTCCTCTGGCTCGTCATCAGGCCTGCCAACCGATGCCAGCATCGACTTCGGCTGGGACGGATACATGGCCGAGGAAGAGACTAGCCCAGCACCAACTGACCTCCCTTCGTACCCGTGGGGAGGCAGGGATCGTGACTCCTTTACGGACGCAGGCAGGGATTCCTTTCTAGAAGGCTCGCCCAGATCCTTTCGCGAGTCCTTTCTGAGCGAAGGGCGCGATCCCTTTCTAGCGGACGCGCCCGACTCGTTCAGCGAGTACGCAAACTTCCTCGCTGCCGCGCGCGGGTCCATCCTGCTCAGCAACCGTGACTCCTACCTCACCCTTCCCGCCACGCCCCACGCCTCGTTCTGCTCGTCGACGTCGCAGGACACGCTGCGTCCGCTGTCCCAGTTTCGCATGGCGCTCGCGCGCATCGCGGACGGGGATGAGCCCAACAACAGCACGTCGTCCGCCGAGCCTTCTGATGCGGGAGAGTGGGGGCAGGCTGGTGGAAGCGGGAGCGGCTCGGCACCGATGAGCTCGTCCGCGTACGCCGCGGCGTTCGCTAGTGGGAGCGGCGCGGGCCGCTGGCGCGCGGGTGGGCAGCAGGGCGGCGGAGGGGCTGGTGGTGCGGGCGGGGAGCCGCCGCGCCGGCCGACGAACATTTTCTCGTCGGCGAGTGAGACGGAGAGCAGCAGCAGCAGCTCGTCGAGCAGCGAAGATGGCGATGATGTGCCGCTTGCTCAGCGCATCCCTGGTGCACTGCGCGCCCAGCGGACTATCCGGCGCAAGGTGCGCGAGGAGAGGGAGGAGCGGCGGCGAGAGCGGGCGGCGCAGAAGGCCCAACAGCACCCAGTACCTGCCATCCCGAGCACTTCGCAGACTCAATCAGCAAGCACGAGCGCCAACCACCGGGCGCATCCAACTCGCGGGCAGACGATGCCGGTCCCCGCCCAGGACCTGACCGCGCGCCTGCAGCACATCCAGCAAGCCGGCTTCCTGCACGGCCCGCCGCCCGAGCGCGCAAAGACGGTGCGCACCGCGCGCTCGTTCACGGACGCCCACCAGGCGCACGCGCAGGTCGAACGCAGCCGGACGCACGTCGAGCGGAGCAAGAGCCAGGTGCGCAGCCGCAGCGTCGCCCCCCGCGGCGAGGGCGCCCCCGTCCAGCGTAGCAAGTCCCACGTTCGCGGCGGCGACGCGCCCGTACAGCGCAGTAAGAGCCAAGTGCGCGGCGCCCCAGAGCCCGTGTCGCCCACTGCAGAGCCTGTCCCTATGCCCCGCGTCAGCGTCGAGCGGGGGCGTTCAGTACGCGCCGCGGGCTCCTCGGAGCTGGATCGCGGCCGGTCGGTCCGGCGGGCCCCAGAACGGCAGGCGACGGTGCCGATGCCGCCGATGCCTCCGGTGCCGGCTGTCCCTGCTGCGATATCGGCGGTCACGGAGCAGACACGCATCTTCGTTGGCGACCGCCAGCGATTCCATACTGTAGAGGTGGGCCCCGCGACACGGGCGAGCGATGTTATAGACGTCGTCGCCGCGGAAGGCGTTCTCGATCAGTGGGTCGGCTCTGGCGGATGGATGCTGTTCGAGGTGGCGCAGGATTTCGGCATGGGTGAGTGTTCATTTATGGTCAGCAGAGAACTCAGCTCATGATCTGCTCCAGAGCGTCCTATCCGGCCCTTCGAGCACGTCGCCGACGTTCAGGCAGGCTGGAACAAGGACAAGACCGTGAACACGCTGGTTCTGAAGCTCACGCCGTTGGAGATCAAGTTGCGACCGTCGTCTCTGCCGCAAGCGTCTCCTGTGCATGGCGCCTACGTCGAGTGGGAGAGCCGGCGGGGCAAATGGACCAAGCGCTATCTGCGACTCAAAGAACATGGCCTATGGATGTCAAAGCGGGACAATGTGCGTAGCTTCACTTGCGACGTGCATTTCGCTGACGCTCTCGATCCACAGGGAAAGGATGCTGTTCTGCTGTGCCAGCTATCCAACTTTGATGTCTACACCGTGACGCGGCTGTACAAGGCGCCAAAGCCCTTCGTCTTCGCGATCAAGTCCACGGACAACCTCTCCTACTTCGAAGACACTGCCGACTACCTCCACGTCTTTTCCTGCCAGCCCTACGACGGCGAGAAATGGGTGGAGAAGATCATGCTCGCGAGGGTACGTGCCGTCATCGGTTCGCTCGGCCTGAGCTCACAAAACCCTGCAGTCCTACGTCCTTTGCCAAGAGCGCAATGTACTCTCCTCGACGAAACCCGCTCCAGCGCCGCGCGTGCGGAAAAACACCATCTCCCGTCCAAATCAGCAGCCCCTCGTCAACGTCGCGCCTGCGAACGTCTTCGAGCCTGGCTCGCTATTGCACAAGACCTGATCGTAGCCATCGTCTCTCTTGGGTCCCGGAACCTTATCCACCTCGTGCTTGTTTACCCTCTTTGGATTTTTCGTCGGGTCCGCACAGTATTTTCTTGGTTTGATCGTGGATCCTGTGTCCTGCTTGATTCTGGATCCTTGTCCTGGCGTTTGCACTTCATCTTCGCCCTTGCGTTGCCACCTTATCCTTAGGCGTGTATGCGCCGTGTTGTATAATTACTACGACCACTATCTATCAGTCTATTGACCATCCTCGCGCATCGACTATTCTCGCGCCACTGTCCTTTCACCGTCCTATCTGCCATCTCAGACTTTCCTTTGCGTGTTTCTTTCTTTTTTCTTCTTTTCTCCTTCCTATTTTCGTTTCCCTGTCTAGCTGTTGTTCCATAGATATGTAGAGAGACGAGCGTGCTAGCGCCGTCGACCGTCGAGTAGCAAATGTAAAGATTGTGCTCATTTTCTCCAGCAACGACCTGCGAATGATCTACACAAAGCACTCGTATCGTCTTCTCATCCGGAGAGTCGTGCGCGCGATGGAATACAGCACATAAGTACGTTATGCCTCCTCGCTATGGACATACTTACCCAAGTACGTATGCTCGCAGATATTAGTTCCTGACACACGAACACCTCCTCGTACTTCTGGTCCGAGCTCGGGAAACTCCAAGTGCGTGCAAAAGCACCGTAGCGCAACGACGTCTTGCCCGAAAAAGGACCGAGGCTTCATCCTGGAGCGAGCAACTTCCAGGAGAGCGGAACGGTGAGCGACGACCGCGGCGGATGGTAGTCCTCGAGGGTCCTCATCGAAAAACCAGTGGAGGTTTCGCAACCTCGGTAGGAGAAAAGTGCTGCTGTCGGTCTCGATCCTGAGGCCTGGAAGTAGAATCTCGTTTAGAGAAGACTCTCCATCATCCATGACCGCAAATGGCGACCGCCTGACGGTGACGACGAGAGTTCTCAAACTCGTCGCGTAAGCGAGGCATCTCAAGAGGCCTCGACTATCTTCCTCGTCAAGCTCCAGATGCAAAGACGATATTTGGAGAAATTTCAGTGCACAAGGTTTGTTTTGCGGAGAAGAGAGGAAGTGGAGGAGAGAATCAAAGGGGTACGACGCCAGCATGACTTCTCCAGCCAAGTCCATCAGGAGGGTACCGAGCTGTGGCGCAACGATGAAGGGCAGAAGCAAGAGAGACGTGTCGATAACGTGGAGGGTCCGGAGATTGGGAATGTATATCGGGGGACCAGAATACTGCAAACCCGCTTCAGGGAACGGAAAGGACAGCCTGACATCTGTCAGTGTAGCATGTGAATGAGTCAAGACGCTCAAGGCAATAGAAGAGTGGCAAGGGTCCAGAGTCGTGAGCTCAAATAACTCCATGCTGGTTATGATGGGCAGTCGAGGGTCGACGAAATCAGCCCCGACGAAGAAAACGTCGAGCTCCGTGAGCCGAGGGGCATTGCTGAGAAAGGAGAGCGTGCCCGGCTTCATCTCGTCGAACCTCTTGATTCCCACATAATCCAGCACTTCGAAGGTGTAGCGCTGATCGGCGAGGAAGGAGAGATCATAGTTTGCAAGGCCCGTGATGGTCAGGCTGACCCATCGCGCGCAGTGATGAAGAAGCCGCGTAAGTGGCGCAGGCGACTGAGCATCGCAGAAGATGTATAGTCCGGCATCTCTCGAGAGAGCGACACATGTATCAATGAGCGCCTCGACATGGCGCGTTTCGGGTCCGATGAAAATGTACGTCCAGAGGTCCGCTGTGTCGAGTGCGACTGCACGCCACCGCCTGCATACACAAGCAGCTGTAGTGGCCATCATATGGGGCATGAAGCATGGCCACGACTTCTTGCAAGACAAATCCACCTGAGCCTCGCTGAGTTCCACGAAGATCTTGGAGAGCAATTCGACGGGCAAGTGATGAACGGGTGGCACGAACGGGAACGAGACGACCTCGGCTTGCGACGGAGGAGCATGCGCAGGGTGAGTCAATGTGCAAAATTCCATGATCTGTTCTTTCGAGATACGGCAGGAATGGTGGGCGAAGGGTGGGCGAGTTGGTGACCCTGAGAGGATGGAGTCGATGTTTGCGCCGAGGAATTTATGAGCTCGCAGCAAGCGACAGAAGACGCAGAGTGTAGACGTAGCCTAGGCATTGAATCATCAGAGCGTTTTAGCCCGTAAATAATGGGCGGTACTGACCGTGCCACTCCTGGAAGGGTGGTGGCGGAACGCAAGCAGGAAGAAAGGTGGCCATGCGCCTGGCCCCTTTCCTAATTAGGTCGACGGCAACTTCCGTGACTCGTGAGCGATGCAAGAGCCACGAGCGAGGAATGCAGGTTCGCGCTCAGGCTTGGGTTCGCGTTGGATCAGATGTCTATCCTGCGCTCATCGTTGTACTCAATGGATTTTCTCCACTCATAAATGTCATCATAGCGTCTGTACAGATACCGAAGAACGATATATAAACATCGTAGTCTTTTACTTGTTCCACTCGTCCGTGCTATATGGGCCGATGTAGGCATGCTCAGCAGCATTCGAAGTAGCAACGTACTGAAACTCTGCCCCGAGTTCATGGATCTCCACATCAGTGGTAGAACTATGCAGCGTCCGCTGGAAAGCGGCGCCATGAGCGAACTACATATCCAGGAGGAGGAAACGACATCGTGCAAGCTCATCCGATTGTCATACACAAAGAAGCTTGGTTTGTACGATAGAGTCCGCTTAAAGCATTCCTATACATCATTCATATATTCTTTGATCATACTGCAACTCCGGAACCATGACGCAGCGCAGCATACTCACCGTCGTGCCCTCTGATGCGCCTGGCGCTGAAAAACGCATTTTTGTGCCCAATATCAGAGCGATATGGCGTCTTTAACTGGCTTGACCATAAGGACTCGTATATACCTTACGACGTCGTGACTGTACAACGGGCGCGTCGTAGGTATTTTACCGAGCTATTATCAGAGAGACACTGTTTAAAAGGGCCATTTGGGAGGCATTTGACCGAGAATATACCCAGAAGACACTTCGAGGACCACTTAGAGCTCCCTTAGCCTTTCCTACCCTGGGATGTGCGACGGGGATGACATCTATTGGCTCTTAGAAGGGGAACCATCCGGGCAGTAGGCGTACCTAGCGTGCTGCTCACCCATGTCGAACACCATCCTCGCTCGGTCTTATCGCTTGTCAATTTGGGCTACTGGACAGTTGTATCTATGAGGTAGCAAGGTGCGAGGACTTCATAGGACCGCAGCCGCGGTCCTCACCCAATCGCCGGGACGCGCACGAGTCACATGACCGTGTCAACTCGAACACTCACGTGCTTCGGACTTCGCCGACCGAACAATTGTGCGAAGTACCGCGCCTCACCGCGCGGTCTTCCACTCGGCTTCGGGCACGATACAAGCGAACACAGCTGTCTTGGCGGCAGGCAACGACTGCCGAACCTATCTATACCAGAAAGGCGTCGAAGCTTAGGCGGACCCGGACCAATATGACTCGGAATTTCAACACGCAGCGCTATCCGCCATCGGCCTCACCGGAGAACGTGCGACGGCCTCGGAACGACGGAACGCGGCAGGCCAGTTGAGGGGAGGAAGGACAGGAATTGCGAGAAGCTGCTGATGCGCCTCGCGGGAATTATCCGAGATCGGGAAGTTTTCACCAACTCGAGTCATTTTGCATCGGCCGTGCGCCGCCCTACCTACCGTATATATACCGAAACGTACCTACAGTTCGAGGACTTTCGCCCACATCAGGAGCAGAGCCCTTGCAGAGCCCACACTTTGCATACAATACCAGAACTATCAGACCAGAAAAACCTTGAGAAATCCTTGAGAAATCCCTTGAAAAGACCATCTCCTGGCGTGATTACTTCTGAGAAACACTTGTGAAAAGCCTGACGAGCTGCCGCGGTCGAGGAACTAGCGCTACTTCGCGAACTTCCAAAACTCGTCTATTTGTTGGCACTATATATTCCCTAGCAATACAAAAACACGGACTCGCTGCGCTTCTAGCGAAGTAACTGTCTCGTCTTTGGGTTGTTTGTGTGGTCGTTTGGCGACTGTTGAGCGATCTCTTGCCACCTTAGGCGCGCTACTTCTCTGAAGCGTACGATCCCATCATCTGGAGCCCACCGCGAGGGAATATATTTGTGCTTGACGTGTAGTCGAGTGACAGACCGTTGGGGTGACTTCTAGCGAAGTATCCTGTGTACTTTCGAGTACCACCATCGAGACAAAGTCTTAGTAGAGAACTACAAAAACGGCTCCTGGACGAAAATCCAACCTCGAAGCCGAACAGCCTGACTGGGACAGTACCTTAACTGGCCGGTCGCAGCGAAAAGCTAGAGAAAGAGCCCGTTTAGCCGCAGTCGACGCCGCGAAGCAATCAAAGCGCGCTCAAGCTAGACAACTAGAGACACAGTCCTCTCAGACTGCCTCAACCTCGCTGCCCTTACCTGGCGCGTTCCCAGAATCCCCACCTCATCATTCTCCTGTTACTCATCCTCCTACACCTATCACAACTCCCACTCGTGGTACTTCAACCACTCCAGATCCTCATACACTCGGTGCAAATCGCACTACTTCTACCGCTTCGTCTCTTACTCCTCTTACAACTTCTCCTGCGCACTCTGTGCCAGCCTCTCCAGTTCCTAGTCTATCTGAATTGATTCCTTCGCGTCCTCTATCTGTTTCTTCCAACCACTCTCCCGATATAACTACTGAACCGACCGTTGAACCCGAAACTTCTCTCCGTACCGTTACTGTCCCGAATCCAGCTACCGAACACTCTACTATAGATACTATGACTCGTCACTACTCCCACACGGCGAGCGACGCGCCCCGCTTCGAAGAGGAGCGGGACGTGCTCAACCTCCCGACCATCCTGCGAGACCTTCTCGCGTACATGAAAGATCATGGTCTCACGACCTTCGAGCAGCAGCGTGCTAAGATAGCCCTGCACGCCAAAGATCGCCATGTACGCGCCCTTTGGGAACAACTCGGCGCTGCGCCGGAGATTACCAACTGGGAAGAGCTAGAAACAGAGATACTTGCTCGCTACCCCGAGATAGCAGGCGGCCAGACAGGTACGCTCGCGGAACTGCACAAGATCTGCGCGCAATACCGAGGCCTGACTGCCGAAGATGGGGCGCGTGGAAATGCTTTCCTCCGTCGCTTTGAGCCAACGGCTATGCTGTTGATTAGAGGGACTCATAATATCACGAACTTTGAGCTGTGTTCGCGACTCGCGTCCGTTTGCAGCTCTGAGCTTCTGAACACGCTCGACACCATCCTCACTGGGAGAGCCAGCCGGTTGCTGGTCCCGGGTGCAGCGAATGTGGAAGCTGAGGAGGGCGAGGCAGCTGTCCCGGTGGAACGCCCCATTAACACGTCCATCGTGGAGGGTGGCTACCGCTGGCAGGACGTGGCCTTGTGCATGAGAGAAATTTGGAAGCGCGCGTATACGGCATCCGCTCATGGGCTCGGAGGCTTGTACCCTTCGAAGGGTGACAGCCGAATCGTCGAGTCCCCGGATTCCAACTCGAGAATTGTGAAACTAGAGCAAGAGCTACATGAACTGTCCGATCGCACAACAAAGCAAGGTCGCGAGACTAAGGCAGAACTTCGTAGTCTTCAGACCGAAGTGAAGGCCGAAATTTCGCAAGGCATGCAGAAGAGCGACCGCACGTTCGATATGATACAACAGACCATACAACGTCTGACCAACCAGCTCGCGCTGTCCAACCAAGGGGTTAGCGCTCCTGGACCGGCGGCGGCTGGAGCTCCACCGAATTTTGGGAATGCTCGTCCCAACTATCCCGGTGCCATGAACAGGCCGTTAAACCAGTTTGGCGGGGGCGGTCGTAATTATCAACGGCCGGCTCTCACTTGCAATTGGTGCGGACTGCCTGGACACATTATGAGCAACTGCTATGACTATCAGAACCTTGTCAAGTCGGGCGAAGTTGTAGCCGACGAGACAGGTACGATACGCGCTAAGTCGGGGGAAGTAATTCCTCGCCGCACTGGGCCGTTGGATAGCCATATGAGAGAGAAATGGCAGCAGATCAGGTCGCAGGCTACTAATACGTACGCTACCGCGTCGTATATACAGAATGCCGGACTAGCTGCTGACGATACAAACTGGAACGCTGGAGTTGCGAACCCGGAGTTCGTGCTGGACAGCGGGTATACGGGAGGCGCGTCTTATGCCCCTTACGAGCAGAGCGAACCCTATTACCCGACGTCGCAAGCGCACCGTCCGCCTGAGCAGTACAACGTTGCTGGCTCGTCGGATCAGCCTCAGCAGGGTTTTTGAGGAGTTCAGGGATTCGCGCCCAGCATCCCTACCAGCGCTGGGGGCGCGATGAGAACCCACAGCAATCAGCGCCCGTTATGATACAAAATATGAACAATTCTTTAGCAAACAGCGCACCGCAAGGTGTGCCGGATAAAAGCTCGAACTCGCGGCCTGCCCCGCCTCGTCAGGACGGGAAGGCGCACCCTTTTAGAGATATAGCCGACGTACGCTTTGTACCGCGAGATCAAAGACCTGCAGCGCTTCCGGTGAAACCGAGCTCACCTCCGCAAGGAGCCAGCAAGGATAATCAGAAGGCGGCCGCGGCCGCGAAGCCGCAGGCTCCGGTACAGCGAGCGACGGACCCCGAGAACGTACTCAATAAATTACTTGACACTCAGAGCCATACCTCCGGAATTTCGCTGCGCGATATTTTGGGGGTCAGCCCTATGCTGCAGGACCTGCTTCGGAAGGCTCTTACGCGCCGTACCGAGGTAGTGGAGAACTTTGGGCAATTGTTTTACAAGAACCTAATCAGAGAAGCCTATCAGACAAAACAGCTGGATTATTCGAACGGCATCCGACCAACCCTGGACGCAGCGTCTGACTCAACTGAGCCAGTTGTGCCGGTGGATTGGAAGGCCTTGAGAAACGAGCTAATTACCACCACTGTGGAGCTGCCCTCGCATCATGCCGAGAAAGTCCCTATCGGTTCCTTCGTGCAAGTCGACGCTACCTTGGAGGTTTACCAAAGCCTCACCGAGCGCGAGAAAGCGGGGGTAACCTTTGCGGGAGACTCAACTGGCTCGTTGAGGACAGTGTGGCCCAATGTGAATAAAAATGGTTCGGACGAAGGCATACTGGATAGTGGCTCCCAAATTGTGTCAATGTCGAAAGACTGCGCGCGCGACAAGGGGG